TTATATGTCAATAATTTTGTAGTAATAAATTAAACTAATAAATTTAAGTGAAATATGATTAATTTCAATAATAATGATATGATAATTTGCTTCTATATAATATGTACAAGTCAAAATAGAAAAGGCAAAATAAAAAAACCTGTATTATGCCGGGACCATACCAATACAAATGTAATTAAATAGTCTTTAAGAAATAAATGAACTGTACTTTTTTACAATGATATTAGATTCTTAGAAAGTACAGTAGTACGTGGATTGAGACGCTCCGATTTTTTATATAATCTATCAATTTTATCACGAAGCAAAATTAACATCTGTAATAATTATTTATCGCAGAAACAAAAAACAGAAATTTTATATAATATTTACATCCATTTTATATGTTATGAAGAGTTTACATTTATAAAAATTAAGTTTACAAAATTAAATTATAAATAATTACGTAACAAATATATGCTTATTTGAAGTAATTTTGAATAATAGTCGTACCGTGATTTTAAAACTTAAGAAAATATTTTAATGTCAAAAATACGTGACATTATCTATACATGATCCAAGTTGGAACTGTGCTAAATAAGAATAGAACAGAAATTATTTTTTTTTCAAATAGACTTGTTTACAAGCTCTTTATCAGTTTTTTTTATGATTGTACTGTTGGGTTTGGGATGTTGTAATCTGCTAAGAAGAAACCGCAATAAACTCAATATTCACTCTTTTCAAATTATTACACCATATTATGATCAGTTGATTTATAAAGGTAATATATAATATTTAGGAATTTTAATTTGAGGATACTCTACGACCAATTTTAGTGGTATTTTAGTAGTATTTTTTAGTGGTTAACATCTTGAAGACATATCTAGGTTAAAAAAATTAAGGATGAATAAAATTTAAAATTAATTACCTAAAATTGAACGCCATCGACTAAGAAAAGAATTCCACTGTACAAAGAAAGTAGGGAAGATAGTGTAGACGTAACGAGAAATTTTATTGAGATATATATTTTACACAAAATATGACCATGAAATAATGAAAGAGCTCACTGTGGAATATGAACATTAAAAATATGGTACGAACCATATTTTAAATAGTAAGATGTAACAAAGAGAAAGAACGTTAGTTTACATGACGAAGACAAAAGCGGCTGGCTACAAAACTGAGAAATGGTCATTTATAATACCAATTAAAAATAATTAAAAAAACCAGTCAATTGCGAGTTGAACTCAGACGCCGAGGGTTCCCTACATAGATGGATAAGAGATAAAATTATCTTTACTGCTCCTCTTATATGAATTAGACAGTTCATAGTTATTATTGATATTTCAATCGTAATTTGTTACTTTAAGCCGTAATTTTGTTTATAAATTTGGACCGTATTTTGTTCTATTTTAGAGGGTTTTTGATAATCACTCAAAAATGGCGTTAGTTAAAAACATACCTTTATATATTCTGTAATATTCACGTATTATTTTATGAACTGTAATTTTATTGCTCCACAAACTTCGGAGATAAGCAAGAATGGGTTTTTTTTTCTTACAATTTGTGATGCGAGTAAAAAATTACTGAGTATAAAAATAAATAAAAATCCATTTTAAAATTAACAAATAAAACCCTTTCTTACGATACAAACAATCTAATAAAAAAAGTAACAATATTTTTTCAATTATTGCCATTGTAATAGATGCGGGTCAACATAATGTAAAACTATTTAAAATTTATAGCATTAGTGGTTGCTGAGATATACAAGTAGCATTGTGACAGACGGACGAACAGCCAAAGTCGCATCATAAGGAGTTCTTCTGTACCTTCCAAAGTATAAAAATGAAGAATAGTTTAAAATTGGTTAAACAAACGGATTGATTAGATACTTTGCATTATAAAACAAAGTAGGTTTAAATTATTTTATTTTATTTAGGTTTTTTTTATCGTATCTATCTGAATATTATATCGTATAAAATATTATATAAAATAGTATAAAAAATTCTGAAAATGGAAAGTTTAACTATTTTTTTCATTCTTATTATTTTGAACTCTATTAAAATATACTAGAAGCTGATTTTACTATGGGCAATGTTGATAAAATTGAATTGATGATTCCGAATGATTCCAACCATAGACCTGCGATGAACTATCGCTTGTACATGGGATTGTTTCTTAGAAACAGCGGTGCATCTCAGACTGCTCGACGCCGTAACACAATGGGCCCGGTTTTTTTTGTCTCAAGCAAAACGAACCCGTCTCAGCCATGCGACGATAGAAAAAATGCTCCAGACGTCATTTCGAATGCTTTGTTAAATAGGTAACTGCGCGCGCACCTTTGATGTTTTATATTTAGTCTTTTACCTGTACTTTTAATGAAGTCGTTAGAAAGAATTAAAAAGAACTACATAGCTGATATTTGTAATCGAACGGAACCATAAAGGTCAGCTGGGTGACAGATAAGTGGCATAGGTATTCTTAAATGTTACTTGATCACTTAGTTTAATTATATTTTGTTTAGTAAGTACCTATAGATGAGGAAAATAGATGAGTATATCCTGTCACATGTAATTCCCCTGTGGTCGCGATATAGAATAGGCCACCCCTTCCTTTCCTGTGGGTGTCGTAAGAGGCGACTAAAGGAGCTAAATGGTCGAGGTATGCTCAGTAGAGTCCCTCTTAAAACATCTCCAATATCTAATTGCGGTTGCCAATCCGCCTGCCAAGCGTAGCAACTACTGGCAAAACCCCTTTAGGGAAGGCTTATGTTCAACAGTCGACAGTTAAAAGCTGATATGATGATGATGATTATCTAAATCTGATTCCAAAGATATAAAATTTAAAGGTATATCTATTTAAACATTTCATAACAAAGATATTTATTACCAAAGAGTGATAAAATATTACCAGTAATATTGAGAACAGCCGTCTATTATTAGTAAAAGTAACAAATAACTCTTTTCCTTCTTTTTTTCAGCAAAATATATTGCATACTCTTAGCAAATTTGAAAACAATTATTGGTGTAATTGAAAAAATGTAATATTTGTAGCTATCAAGATATAATTAGGTGTACTTTAATGGATTTCTTTTTGGTAGGTAACACCCTTAATTTCACACAGTATGATTTTGTCCTATGATGTTGCATTTTAAATTATAGACTATTAACCCAATTGGCTTTATTATTAAATAAAACAAGTGCGAATCGAACTCAAATTATAATTGAAAAACAAGTTGTAAAAAAAATATTTATGATGTCAATGTCATATAATGCTAATGAATTAATTACAAATTTATGATTTTCGAATTTTTACTTTTGCTGTACGATATTGCTTATTGCTAAATTTCATGATTCTAGGTTAACGGGAAGTACTCAATAAACGTTATAAATAAGAAATATACGCAATAAACTGAAGTATCTTCTGATTGCGTTAATTTAGAAGTGTGATTTTTTTACAGCTATAAGGGGCTTGAATATTTAACCTATTAATTTCAGCTTCATACCTCCATATCTTTCAGAGAAAAAGGGTCTTGATAGACTAAAGAGACGCAGAGATAACAAACTGCTCCTATAAGGGTTTTATTTATCCTTTTGAAATATAAGAAATATAAAAGAAACATTGTTATTAAATATACCTTATCAATGTATGCGGTTTTGTAGGTTAATTAATTAAGCCAATATTATTCAGGTATGCTGAAGAACCGCCTACTTAATTTTATGCAATTTAGAATGGCAAACAAGCTGATGGTCAGCCTGATGAAAAGTGGTAACCGTCGCCTATAGACATGAACAATACCATGGATATTACAGAGTATACTATTTCGCCCATGTTACCCCCCGTGCGTTGTCATTCCTGAGGATTAAGATGCTAAGCCTCTGAACCCTGTAAATTCACTGCCATATCCCACCCTTCAAATACAGTCATGCACACAACTACTTCACGGTAGAAACATGAATGGGACCGAGGTACCCGGGTGAAGACTTTGACTTTTGTACTCGTACAAAGTCTCTCTGTGGTAAACTTTCCTATAAAGTAATAATGTTATTATTATTTTATTTATATATGACAATTCGTACATAGTGATTCTACTAAAGTGGGGTAAAATTACCTACGTAATATTAAGCCTTTGTAGATACCAAAAGCTGATAACCAAGTCTATGGTATTTTACTCAAAATATGTGTCTAGGTATAAAGAGGCCACGTTTCAATGGTAATACGTTACCGGTTTGTATCGGCTAATGTGTGCATCACTGCCGTTTGGACCGGTTGGGTAGACGTCCCCCCGCTACCCCTCACCCCCTCTTAGCCGGGACACCATACACTACATCTGTATGGAAATAAATCTCGATTCACCTAATGTATGCAGTTATAATATCCACACAAGGTGGTTGGTAATAACTATACATATTTATTTTGATCTTGTGTTTTACAGAATTAATTCATGCATTTACATGAAGTGATGATAGCTGGGTAGTATAAAACTATTACATATTTAAATTTTAGACAGTCGTGGGCCCAATATAACACAGCCCAATTCTAGAATATAAAAACCGGTCAAGTGTGAGTTCAATTCCGAGAGTTCTGTACAATAACATCATTTTGTTATTATATTGGTATATAATAATACATAAGTTAAAGTGTCCTTATTATATTTTTTATATAAAATTGACACCCCATAATTATTATTAACTATTATTTCAATTAGAAATTTCTTATTTTAGGACATGATTGTGGTTAAAAACCCGACCGCATAATCAAATTTTTTTAAGAGGGTATTTTTTATAAATTCTAAAAAGATGAACGGATAAAGTTGCACCATAAGGGGTTTTTTTATACCTATTTAATGCAGAACTCTAAAAATTACAGGGTTATAAATATAAAGTAGGTAACCAATATAAAGGGATCTTTGGAAGTTCTTATCCCATGTAAGTTGTTTAGAAACAATAACTTGATTTTAATTAGTAATAAATATTGATTTTACTTAAATTGTTATTTCTATTTATTAAAATATTTTTTCTTAGGCAAATCACAGACGAGGCGCAGATCATCGGCACGCGACAAACGGAATAAGAAAAGTAAGTTCGTAGAATGCATCTTTGTACTCATTACACTCTTATCACGTTACTAAATAAATGAATATACTTGAATTTTTGGATCTTCACACATTACAATTATGTATGTTATAAAATTTTCTAAATATATATACATACATATAGCGCCAATACGAGTACTACATGTAAGTTATTCCTAAATTACTGTTTTATTTTTATATTATTTTTCTATTATATGCCATATATGGTGTTAAATCCGCCATTTACACTACCTATATGTTAAAGTTTAATAAACAAGTAAATAAATGTACCTATTTGTGTATCTTTATGATTTTATTTCAAACTTACATAATATAATTTGTAGATATACTAAGTAGGTACTATGAGGAGATTTTATACAAAAGTCATCTACACAATTTGCATGACCTCTGTTCCTCTCGTATCCTCTTCTATCTTGTAGCATTCTATAGTTCTAGTATGGCTATGTTTATGTTCCAGTTTGAACGGTGGAATATGGCAGTAAAATTACAGGGTATGAAGGCAATATTAGTCGTCAGGAAAAATAACACATAAGGGACATCACGAGCATTACAGTGTATTCTATATCATGCTCACGGTGCTGTTCATATCTATCTTCTGGAAAATGGTAATCAGCATCACACAATGGTCACCACTTTCCAGAAGATGACAGCCACGCTGTTTGCCATTCCATGTTGCATAAAAGAGACGCCTATATAGCCTATAGATTATAAATTCAGTTTGAAGAAACTGCTCCTTAATATAGGTGAAAATAATTAAAACATGAAATTATATTTTACCTAATTCCATTATTATGAATGCGAAAGTTAGTGAGGCGGTATGTTTTGATGGTTGTTACTCTTTCACATAAAAAGTACTGGGTGGATTGGGTGTACGGATAGGTTACGATTATATTCTAAATATAATACCGTATATACTACCGTATGTAATACCGATTCATCGGGGCAAAGCCGCGGGATACAGCTAGTACAATATAATAGGGCAACTATATAATAATAAATATATAATATTGGTCCTTAAACTCCTCTGCGCTTTGTAGTAAGAATAAGATAAAATCTAGATAAGTAGTTTGTGCCGAATCCAGTCACGAGTTCATGAGAATGTATTATGTCATCAGGTTGCAGCCGAGTCGATCGCGATCAGTTCAACACGATTTTGATCAATATCTTTAAAGGGGAATACAAAAGAAGTGTGGAGACCTGGGATGCGGAACACGAGGAAAACCCTCAGCCAGAAGTCGTTGCTAACTGGAAATTTAGTGAGTTAGACACAGACAGAAGTGAAACCTTGCAGAAATCTGAATATAGAGGACTCAGAAGGCTTATCAAAAAGGTGTTTTTATTTGTAATTATGCTAACTTCCATACGGTAGATATAGTAACTACGTCTAGAGTTATTTTGTGTTCTCCACTTAATATCTAATAATTTCTACACACGTACTTATTAAAGGCTCTACAAGTAGATTCGAGAGGTATTCAGTAATAACATGTGACTCGCATATTCCTGAGATGCATCGCATGTAGCTGAGATGTGACTGTTGATATGGATGTATGGGTTTGAGATTGAGAAAGAAGGCAATAAAATAAGTTTGAATGTTCCCCTAGTGATAGACAATTGATAATGTTGTAAAGAAAGAATTAAGTGTGAATATAGATAATCGTAACTGTATTTATACAAGAAGACCTAAAACGAAAATCTAGAAATTGGATACTGTGTGAAAAATGATATGATAACATAAGAAATGAATAATGAACAAACAATAAATAGAAATAAATGCAATAGGAAAATATATTATATAGACCGCAAATAGATTGGAACAAACAGAAAGATGATGATGAAGTACAAAATACTTGCAAAATGTAAAATAGAACTGTAATTTGTAAAATGAATGTTCATGATCTTGATAAGTACTTTTGTAAACGTTAAAGTCACAAATATTGTCGAGTTGTCTGTTCCTATTTGTTATATATATTTTTTTTCTACTACCTGTGAATGGAAATTATTTACTGATGTGCACAAAACATATTTCTTAATGTACTGATGTTTACATAGAAATAATGTTTACAAGGAAATATTTCCTATAAGAGCATTCACAACGAGATGTGGAAAGCGTTGCAATTATTTGTCAATTTTCAAAAACAATTGAAAGATGAAATACCTTCGATTGTTTTTTAAAACTGTTGAAAAATTTTCTTGATTGGTTATTTAAAATGTGCTCTATCTATAAAACTAAAAAGTTAATCATGCACTATAATTGAGCCTGCTCGTTTGCCTCCCTTACAATTAAGAAGCTAAACAATGAAGCAATGCATTAAATCTTATCTTTTTGATATAACATTAACAGGTGATGAAGCCGAAGCGGTGTGCTCGTGCATGGGCACCAAGCTGCGATAGCGATGGTAATGGTGAAATCACAAGAGCTGAATGGGCAGCGTGTTTACTTGATAACCCCGAGCTACGTGCACCGGACTGTGAGTACCAATATAATCTATATATGCTGAGTATTAAGATTACTTTAGGAGACAATAATTATAATAGCGTCATCTAGTCCCAAATTAGGCAGATATTTAGTCTAAGACATACTTAAATACATTTTCAACCGACTTCAAAAAGAGGAAAGTTCTTTATTCGATTGTATATTTTTTAATAAATACCTTAACCTCATAACTCCATCAGTTGTAAACCGATTTGAAAAATTATATTTTTATCTATAAGGATTTACTTACAGATTAACTGCATATAAATCAAATCAAATATAATTTAAAATAAAGAAAAAGGTTGTCATCGTCAAAGTAGGTATTTGGTAGGTACTATGCCTTGTGTATCCAATTTTTTTTTATTAGTTACTAGCTTTTCCCCTAGCGACTTCGTCCGTGACCGGAATATTAACTGAGATAAATAATAAACTATGTCACTGTCCAACCCCATCAGTATGTGTATACTAAACTTCATAATAATTGATTTGCAGCTAGGAGCAGTTTTTATAGAAAAACATTTTACATGGGTATTGACATAGTTATGAGTCATTTCCAATAACTTACATATTCGTAATTCGTGTAAAGGTGTAACAGAACTGACAACCTGAAAACTAGACATTCATGAAACTGAAGAACTTTCTCAAAAAACTTAAACCTTTCATAAAAACAACCCATAATTTTTCAGTCGTAATTCCTGCTGGCCTATTTTAAATAATAAAATAAAAAGTATTGGCTGGGAATTTACTATAATAGACCACAATTTTAAAAAAGAATTTGTAATTGCTATGGAAAATCGAACATTTTAATTTTCATTATATACTTATTATAAATAATATTTTGTTTCTGCTAAGTTTTATACTTCAGGCTTTTAAAGATAACAATAAAGAATATCTATGTATGATTGATGTATGTTATCCAGACGGTAACCTTACTGTTTATGTACCTAACAGTTTATACCGTGTCTATTTTAATAATGAAATAAATTCAAGATTTTTATCTCTATCGAACTGACATTTACGATGTCCTTTACGATTTGTATTGCACTATTTGAATATTTTACCAAAATCCTGTCTAGGTAGGTATAAATATACATATACTATACTATTTTTATTAGTATACAAATGAAGATTCGTAATACTAAAAGAATGTCGAGTGGAAACAGATGTATAGAGTTCAACAACACTAATAAATAGAATCTCAATATTTAATGATACTTTAAACTTTATTATAACGGTTACCCTCATAGGCAAGTCTTTTCAAATTGGCACATCGTCTATTAAAGTTTATGTTAATTGATGTGACATGAGTCGTTTGCATGGTAATACGAAATGCAAATGTATGTGCAAACATAATAATAATATATAGTCTCTCTCCGTTTCTTCATGTCGTTGAACGCAGACGAGGGCAGCGGACCCGAAACGGAGCCCGATTATAAGGAAGAGGAAAACCAACCGGACCCTAGCGCAGGTAATGAAATAATTACAATATCAAAGTGTGTATTTATTACACTGAAATTATCACTACATATCGTATCTGTCCGTGTGACCAGCCCTTCTGAGACAAATGGTAAACAAATCGATCGATAGATACGTTTTTGCTACTGTATGCATGACACAAATAGAGATTGAACAAGTGTTTTTTCCTTAAGTGTGCAATGTAGTGAACATGTGGTCATTGGAGATTGGACACATTGATCGATTGGAATAAAACTAGACGTCTTTTCTATTTCAAATATACGCATTATTGGCTGTCATTAATGCGTTAATGCGCTGTAGTAAATAAACTTACTTTTAAATTTGTAATATTAAGACAGTATAAAGAAATACTTTTCATATAGAGTAAAGATATGAATACCTAGCAGTCATATACAGACTGAAATGGAAAAGTGGTCTCTACAGATAATCCTTTAACTGTCTAATTATAAATTATATAAGATAATGATAATAAAAGTGTAAAGCTTAAATAAATTCAGGGTGAAATCAGCATCTCGGAGTCTCAAATCAAAAGTCAAAAAGCACACTTAGCGAAATAGCATGGAAAGAAAATAATTAGGGAATTCTCAATTCCCTCGTATTCTTTTTTATGTTTAATATCTTCTTTAATTCTGAATAACTCCTGATTTTTTGCATTCGATACTTCGATGTTGGTTGTATTGATTAAAATATTGTCTGTTTTTACAATAAAATCTAAAAGTACTTGTATTAATGTAAATACTTACTTTTTTCAACAGTGTTGCCAGGCATAGTGAAAAATTCGTTCGCACCCGATGGGCCTGACGCAGACTCCCGGCGTGAAGACGAAGCAAACGACTGCCTCACTGATCGACAGGCAGTGTTAGACGAACAGGTCTGGTGGACTATTGTTTGTAATGAGTAGGTTCTATTACCTATTTACAATGTTTTGCAAAGCGACTGTCATTACATACCTAAATAAACGAAAAGTGTAAGTACTTAAAAATAATAAAGATGCTTGAATAAATGATTGGTCTTTGCAAATGCGAGGCCACTTCTATAGTTCTTGTATACAATTCAAATAAAGAATTAATCAAAACGTTAAAATATTTTGGTTGTAGCAGAGCGAAGTATGTAATTTCCTTTTAAAAGACAAGTATCTCGAAAAATAACATAAAGACAGCTTTCTTTGTACATCTACAGTAATCGCCAAGAAGAATGCACAAAGTATAATTATCATTGACAAATTTATTTCTTTTTTTCCTTTTACGAAAATAGTAAACATGCAGACAATTCAGTAGATGATATAACTGTGACGAAAAATTAATCCTTTATATGAATAAATCAGTTTAAATTTATTCAATCTAAATAAATGTCTATTAAACTCTTTATCTTCAAAGGGTTACATTTTCGCATGATCATATTTATTTATTTATTGCAGAGCGAACTAAAAATAGGTACTATTGTGAATAATATAATGAGTAGTATAAAAAATGACCATTTTTGTATATTATTCATTATATAACTATAAACAGTAATGCGAATTTTTTATCATAATACTACTACTACAATTATTTTATTTTTATATTATACTAGCTTTTACCCGCGCCTTCATCTTCATGACCGGGATAAAAAGTAGCCTATATTTTTCTCCACCTGTATAGTATGTGTATATATTTCATAATGATTGGTTAAGCCGTTAAGGCGCTATAAGGTAACAAACAAATTCACGTTTATAATATTATTATGGATGTAAGGCCTAGCCACGTGGTCCAGACATAGAATAGGCCATCCCTTCCTTTCCCGTGGGTATTGGAAGAGGCGACTAAGGAAAGACGAGCGATAGACAGCAGCGTCCTTATTAAAACATTTCCAAAGCTTTACTGCGGTTGCCAAGCCGCCTGTTTTGCGTGGCAACTACTAGCAAAATCCCTGAAGGTAGATACTTATGTTTAGCAGTGGAAAATAAAAGGCTAATATGATGATGAAGGACTGATAAGGATTCTTTTCCTATATATGTGGCTTAACATAATGTTTCGTATTATTTACTTGACTTTCAAAAGGAGTTTATTTTTCTGTTTTGTTCTCTTTACAACTACGTGATTACGGCATCATTTTTGAATCGATTTTCCCTATTTTTTATTGTAATCGATAGGATTTACTCCTGTGTTGGTCTCGATTATGTGATGATTAATGATAGCATTTTCCTTTACGCAGTAAATAACTTCTTTTTGCGATCCGTATAATAATTGACATATAGATACGTAATATTTACTATATATGATACTTATATATAATGATTCCATGTGTTCTCGGCGTAGAATAGACTACCCCTTCCTTCCCTGTGTTTGTCGTAAGAGGCGACTAAGGTAACATAACTTAATGATCGAGGGATGGAGAGCAGCTTGTTTTAAGGGGAACTCTTAAAACGTCATCGAAAACTTGATTGCAGTTGCCAACCCGCATGCAAAGTGTGGCAACTACTGGGAACCCTCTTCCCCCCAGATAGGAGGAACTCTCTATATTCAAAAGCGGAGAGTTAACGGCCTATATGATAATGATGATACATATTAATGAAAATGTACAAACTACAAAACATGGACCGATTTGTAGGTTCGTGCGTTTAAGATTAAAGTGGCTTTTTGCGTAATAATAAATATATGTTTGTAGAAATTATCTATTAATATTTTTAACTATTTTATTAATCAACAGAAAGCCGGCGGTTCTGTGCTATACGTGCCAGAGTGCACGGGCGACGGTCGATATGCGCGCGCGCAGTGCTACCGCTCCACTGGGTACTGTTGGTGTGTACACCAGGATACCGGGAAACCAATACCGGGCTCTTCAGTGAAGGACAAGCGGCCAGACTGTGACGCTGCACCGCAACACGCTAGTCCAATGAGAGGTACGTTTTTATTTGTCTTATACTAACTGTGCCCCGCGGTTTTGTCTGCGTGCATCAGTATATAATGTATCCTATGTGTTAACTTAGGATATAACCTACCCATTGTACCAAATTTCATTGCAACCCTTTCAGCTGTTTGAGTGTGATTGATTAACAAACTTACAAACTTTTACGTTTAATATTCACGTTAAATACTCGCGACTTCGTTTGCATGACCAGGATAAGTATGTCTTTCTTCATCATAAATGCTTGTATGTAAAATTTCATGACGACAACAAATAAATTCATTTTGAGATTTATAACACTAGTAAAAATAGTAGAATGGAAAGAGATAACCGTTTCTGCAGGGGGAAAGGGAATGTTAGTAATAGGGTATAATTGCCCCTTTGCGCAACCAATACACCTTATCAGGCCCTGGAAATCATCGTGGATAATTCTTGTTGAATACATCAGGATGCGCTAACTGACCTGCATGCAGCATGAAATACTCGCCCACTCACTGATGCCCCGGCCCGCCAGTGTATACCGATGGCGCAGGCAGAGCATCCATTCCATTATCATCCGTTAAAAAAAACCATTGTCAACAGACACGAATAATACTATGTATTATTTTATACCACAGTAACTATATAGACGAAAATTTGGGCTATGACTAAGATAGCCCAAATATGAAATAAGGAAATCAAATGTCTTTGGGTGCAATAATATTCAATCCTGAACGAGATAAAACAAAATTCCATTTACAAATAGTTGAGATTTCATAAGTAGTCATCTTATGAATAATACTTTTATTAATAGTAATAAAGTCAAGATAAAAATACTTGCGCTACTTCAAATATATATATATATATATATATATATATCACTAAATACAATATTATTCATATATTTTATTTTAAATTTCTTTTCACTAGGGTGTCCGGAACAAGTGAAAAATAAATTTTTAAGTGATCTCAGGACTTTCTTCATTAACAAGATGACCAGTTCGACAAATGGCACTGGACCCGGGTAAATATATAAATTTATATATATAAAGTATTTGTCATCAATACATAATAGTAAAATACTAACTGGTCGCTGTCTGTACATGGAAGACATATACGAAAAATTATTATAGGGGCGGCTTTATGAACGCAATAGAACCCAAAACAATGGTTTTTAGAATTTTTGCCTGTTTGTCTACAGCTAGTATAAACTAAGTGTGATTACAAGTGTAATACGAACACAGCACATCATATGAAGCGACCAACCGACGAACATGGGAGTAAACTTGAATAATTAAAAAATATTATCATAAATCGATGAAATGAAATGATGAAAATGTAAATCGTATACTTAACAAAAGTGCAGTCAAATTTAGAATCTGTTCAATGTTCTGTAACTAGTTATTTTTGAGCTTTAAATATCTTTTAGATATATATAAACGCATAAGTATTTTTCAAACGCATATCATTTGCACCTTGATCCTAATGGAATATTTTTTTAATATTCAGAGAAATGGTGAAATGGGGAGCATCGAACGAGGAACAAGCTGCTACCTGGACGTACGTGATGTTAGATAAGGACAAAAATAAAGCGCTGGAAAGAAGAGAGTGGAAGGGGTTCCACCAATTGATTGCAAATGTGGAACATTTAAGGAAGTGTGGGCGAAAGCTGCCTCGATATTGTGACGTAAATCACGATACCAAAATCAGTATTACAGAATGGATGGCGTGCTTAGAGGTGACGCAGGCTTCTCAAGGACAAACGAGTAAGTTAGATTTATTAAGTAAATACGTGGATAAGAGGTCCTGTAATAAATTAGGAGATAGGAAAATTAAGTTTCGCGTGAAACGACGGCTTCTTGATCATATAGATTATGATCAGGAACACATCGATGACCGAGAAAAGTATAAGATTCATGTGTTTTCAAATAAATTACGATATATGGCATTTTTTGTTTGAAACAGAAAATATTGGATTCAATGATTTTAAAAATATTATGAAATCAAAATGGGAGTAAAACAATATCATAAAAATTATAAATAATATAAAGAACGAATTGTGATTTTTTAAATCGCTTAATAAAGTAATATATATATATATATATATATATATATATATATATATATATATATATATAAAGTTATATTAATTATACATATTTGTGCACGGGTCACGTAAAATTTATTTTTTGATTAAATTGATTTTGATTGAATTCAGTATGGGGATAATGTAGCACCTTGATCGACATATGGGATACATTTTATGATTTATTATGGTAAAATATATATTATCTCTTATGGGAAAGTACTAAATAATAGGAGTATACAAATAATAGAAATAAATACAATAGATAGATGTAATATGAAAATGATATTGTTATAACGATGCACTCTAGATGAGAATGGAAACATTATAATTTTTAATGTTTTATACATTTAATACACACACAATCACATTTATACTTAGTTATTGGAAACGAACGGTAGAACGAAATAAGTACGTGCCCCGACAGCAGATCTCAGAGAATTCCACGGATTTTCTAAGGTCGGTCACCGAGTGTTGACGAGTGATATTCTGTTTTCTCCTCACGCACAATTTCTTGCTTAAGTCAATCTATTGACACGTTATTTCTTTATCCATAATAACCGTGGTGGTGTAGTGGTTTAACACAATGCATCAGCCTTCAACGGTTGCAGGTTCTATCCCTACAACATTTCATGACTGTTTGTATTTGTTTGGGTAACATGTATGTGTATTATGCACTATTAAAAAATATTTTTAATATGCCTATAAATTATCTAGTACCCACCTGCTCAATTCAGCATGAAATGGGATTGTTTAATATATCAACTGGTATTTTGGCAACTTGGCCAGCTTCTCATATTATTTTCGAATATATGTCTTCGTTACTTTTTTTTTATTAATTCAAATATGTAGTTTACGTGGCATACAGTTTATTGTTCCTTCAGTCACAATTAATATTTTTTAAATTATTATTGGTAAAAAGTTCCATGATATTTATTTTACATTTTTTTTTCTTTATTTTCACAGCTGAAGCAGCGAAGCCGTCTTCAAATTCCAGAAGAAAAGGTCCAAATCCATTGGAATCAATATTGAAAGCTGACGATTAGGTTCCTATGTAAGCAAACTGAAAACTTCGTGCCAGTGTTAGATGTTAAATGAAATGAACGTGTGTGAATGGATATTGTGTAAATCATTATGAAGATAGAATACTAGTTGCGTAGTGTGGTTGTAAGTTAAGGTCCTTGAATTGTTCTCATTATTGGCGTAATTTATTCGATAACATGTATTCCTAGTACTGACTTAGTTAATTTATATTGCTAGCGTGTGACTGTGATGTAATATCACATTAGCAAATCGGAGCTAGGATGTGTAACCGCGTACGAATGACTATAATAATAAAAATGTAAAGGTGGAATTAGACGAAATACCCAGAGATCAAAACGAGAGCTAAAACATAGAATCCTGTGCAGTTCACAACAATTTGAACAAATCCATAAACAATAAAGAGTGGGCAGTAGACATGTTTGTTTTCACATGGTACAAAAATTGTGTTCAAGTTAGTCGTCAATATAAATAAAATTTGACTAAATAATAATAATCAATCAAAAAATTTTTAGACTGCTCGTAGCATGTTTCACCTAAACCAAAATTGTAGGAATTTGGGAGGAATTTAGTGTTTATTCACGTGGTCTAACTTCACCTTAATATGTCTATTGTAATATATCCAATATGCATTGCTGTGAGTGTTTTAGACTTGATAGTATGTAAGATATTAGATTAATAATACGTCATGTTGCTTATTCTTGTCTTTGTCACACTTGTAAAAAGACCTAAATAGCTTATGGTCTCGATTATTTTATTAGTGGTTTAAATAATAAACCGTCAAAATGTATTTCTATTCTTTATTGTACTTTATGTTGTACTGTATAATTAGGAGGCCTTTCTCGTTTTGAATCGCATGTCACAATTTCCTAATAAATTAAGGAATTTTAAAGAGACAATTCAGGAATTCACTGTGCCTGAATCAGGTCAGTGTATGCTATATAAAATAAATAACTAATCCTAAGGTGACTCCAAGATGTATTCATATTATAACCACCATTTGGAATTTCATGAATATATTATTTTTATTTCAAAATTAATAAATATGCTATATGCTTTTATTAAAATTTAATAATAACTTCATGTATAAATTTTCACAGTTTTGACAAATAACAATTTGTCATTTGTTTACAAGGTTGTAAAATTACCACTAAAAGAAAAATAGTTTCACTCTGCTGAGTTTCGCACTATCGGGGCTGATTCTGAGGCGTAATTTTTCTAAATTTATCTCTTAACCTAATATTTTAATGTTGTAATAACACTGTTTTGTGAATCATCATAATCTAAAATTATAATAATTTTGTCTTAATCTACTCATATTAGAAAATTAATGCATATTGGGCCTTACAATAAATATTTGAAAAAGCTGAGATTAACTTTAATTAACGAGCAAATTTTAATATTAGAGATAAATTTAGAGAATTGACGCCTCAGAATCGACCCGATTGTTATTTTTAAACAGTTACATGTTACGGATTGATGCATAGATATATACATCAATGCGTAATCGATGGAACATACGTCAAAAATACCCGGTAATATTTGAATACCAATAATTAATTTATTAATTAGTTTTCCTTATTATAATTTATTAAATTATAGACATTATATGATATAAAAGATATACTGTATATAATTTCAGATGTATTACCGCCCATTTCTCAATGTAGTCCCGCCATTTTCTTCTCATGTCTGTTTAGGATCGGAGTAATGTTTTCTTCTTTCATTCATCTCTATTTGTAGTCATCTCAGTAGTCATTCCCCTTAGCATTACACATTTTACAGAATTCTTTCATCTCATTACTTTCAAATATCCTCTTATATACTCATTTTTTAACTTCTCTATTCCTGTTACACCACACATCCATCTCATCATTCGCATTTAATTTGTACGATACCATCTTTCATCTATCTAACAAAACAGCAGGTTAGTTCATACTCTTGTAAATCTTCACTTTCAGTTGAATTATTATTACCCAATATTTCGGGATCAGATCAAACAACTGATGAAACGTAAAGACGTCAAAGGACAGAAGACTGTGACAATGCGATTTTTACCAAGAAGGGTCATCCTAGTATCTTAAGTGATAATATTATTTGATTAGTAGGTGTGTAATAATACAGTCAATGCGTGATATTCATGAGATATACTAGCTTAGTAAAACGCATTTAAGAATTAATGTTTATATACATTTGTCAAAGCTCAGTTTATAGTTTTGTCTACTATGTATACTATATATTGAAAGTACCTATTTAAATTTTAGCAAGTCGATATCGAACTGTAAGAACTATGTGATATTTTTTCAATATTATTATTGATAAATAAATAATTTAATACATCAATTTCACAAATTCAATTCGTATTATATTTATAATAATGTAATGCATTATCAGTATCCCAGCTATTTAGTCCTTTGATAATAGTCCTCTACATACATACCACTACATAGTGAGAGATATTTGCAACCCTTCATTTATCTTTACGGAGGCGCCTAAGTGAAAATGCTATTTTCAGTCATCTAATCCTTTAGTTATATGATCGACTCATTGCCAAGTAGAGTCTTTAGAGAAACAATCAGTTCCGTTTTTCTGCAAAAATTTTCGTGCATAATTCAAAATTGGTAGCAAAATATGGGATGGAGAAGGACATAGGTTATTATTAATCCTCATCAACCGACACTGCTGTCACGCCAACAAAGTTACGGGCAAAAACTAGATACATCCACATAAATAATGAAACTAAAATCGATAAGATTAAAATATTAAATAGTATAATTTATTAAGTATATAGCACAGCAATTTTTTACATTATTTTCCAAAGCAAACCTTAACAACACAACTGTTTGTCACTTCACTTGTTACACTGGACAGTTCTCTTGTATTCGTCTATGGTCTCGTTAAGTATCTTCTGGAAGATGCTTTCAAAGAGTTGGTTCTTCACGATAGCTTCGTCAACGTGGAGCGCGGTCCACTCAGGCTCGCAGCGACGCCACTCTGCGAATAGTATGTCGTCGATGTGATCTGAACGACGGGACGCCACGCCTGCCAAATGAACAAAATAGGGAAGTTATTTTTATCCGACCACCGAATAAACGAGGGGAATTCTTTTCAAATAAGTATATCCGGAAATGGCGTAACGCACCGTAGGAATGAACGGTTTGACAGAGTTTAATAAATGGGGTATCAGATTCGTGTTGATTGTGGGCATGTACAGCACTATATCTCACGGAGTTCACACTATAGGTTCACATAATATATATGCATACATGCAAAACTCTTTAATAAAGAAAAAAACTTATGTACATATTTTTTACTGGACGAAAAAAGAAAATTTATATGTATCAACTAAAACATTTCCGTTTCTACAAAAAAATATTAACAAAACATCAAATGGTGAAATGTCGTTTAGTCCGCGTAATTTTATGTGTCAAAATCTAAGATTATGTAATAAAATTTATTACTTAAAACACATTTTATTTTTAATAATATAGACTTTCTTTTACATTATTAACAGATGTTTGGCACACTTTTGTAGAGAGACGTCGAAACATAATATTAGGCATCTGCTTATCGTAAATTTAACATTGTTTTTATAGTAAGACGGATTTTTACTTAAATATATAACCCAGTAATTACGTATTTAAGTCTAAAATCGATGGTTAGATGTACGCCTCTATGTTTTGAAGTTCGATATGTTTTCATAGGATACTCATGACGGGATAAAAAAATATGGTGACTATAAACTGTAAAAACACAAAATTTGACAGGCGGACTTTTGCGATTTTGTCACATTTATTAAATATAATACCTGCGTTCCTCTTTGTCACATCTACTTGTTAGGACGTATTTGATGTAACTCATTAAAATGTTTCCTCATAATTCCTATCTAAAACGTTGCTAAATCTTTTCGAAACACAAATTTTGTAAACGTGCATATTGGTAACGAACTAAATGGCACGAACTCAATATCCAAACCAAGGTAAATTTAGAAACATATTTCTTATTTGCCGTGAACCTAAGCAAGAATCACGTTTACACGATACAGCACGTACAATAACACTACGAATATCCATAATTAGGTTTTAAATATACATTCATAATGCAATAAATACCAGTATCCTGGTGATAAAATTTTAGTTCAAATATTAGCTTAATTTGCATTTCTAGCTATTTTTTCAATAATAGTTTAGTGGTGCATTGTCTTTATTGGGATACAGTTAACATTTTTGCTAGATCTTTTCCAAATCAAATGCTCTTTACATGTTTGATATGTAAACCCCATCAATGAACAGCCAAGTTTTGTAAAGGTTTTTACTTACTTGAAGTATATGTTTAATTAATAAACAAGAACATATTTACAAGCGTCAACATTTATTAGACAACTTGCTCTATCTTAATTTAGTGCTGTTCTTATATATACAAATATGTTATTATATATAGAAATATACACTTACCAGAAACAACTGCCGGCGTTACACCAGTCAAAACTTCTACTAAATCTAATGAGGTTTTCTTTACTAATTTTTCTGTGTCTGCTTGTGGTTTTTGGGGTAATAAATTGCACGAATCCCAGGGTTTGTCGCTTTGCTCCAATTTCTGTCGATGCAGTGTTTCATAACAGAAGTCATGAACGAACACATCAAATGCATCTGTTGTATCTTGGGGCCCAGTGTCTAAGCTTGTGAGGTATTTCTGTATACGGTGTGCGGTGGTATCATCAGCTACGAACATTCTTGGTATTTTAGTCATTCGTGACTCGGTGGGTGGAGTATACGGTGGCGGTGGTTTGTCCGGTATCTCCCGTACAACTAGAAGTTGGCACTGCTGCTGCTCTAAAGCTTTTATCTGAAACAATATATTCAGTTTGTCAATTTAAAAAATAAAAACACTACATTTTTAAATTTAATTACCACAGTAATATTATTTTATTTGATGAAAAAATTATAACAAATAATAAATACAAAGGAAAAAATAACCAAGAAATACATACTACAGCAGTTTTAAATAAGAAATGGTGTGTGCGCGATGCAATGTTCGCCAAAACAAAGCCCGCATTTAGTATGTTGCTGTAATATCAGGGAAACTATAACGCTGATTTTCAGCACGAGCCTCGACAGCCCACGGGGTTTTAATAATAAGTTACTAATTAGATATATTGTGATAAGATAATAATAATAATAATAAACTCTTTATTGCGCACAGTAGAGATATATACAAGGAGTGTTTATACAGAATGTGCATATACAAAAGGCGGCCTTATCGCTAAAAGCAATCTCTTACAGACAACCTGGCATAAAGAATGGATAAGTACAGAGAGAAAGGTAGATGGCGCAAGTCAGACACAGTAAATGCATAAAAGGAATCAAACAAAATGCAAAATATTCTAAATATAAAAAATAAGATTACAATACATAAACATACATATATAATATAAATAATAATACATAAACATAAATATACTTAATAGATCAAGATAAATCACACATAGTAAACGTCAAAGCAAATTAAAGAGATAGGTAATGAGATTTTACCTGTCTCTTGAACGAGGCAAGAGATTGCGCTGATCTAACAGAAAGAGGTAAGGAGTTCCAGAGACGGATAGCTTGGATAGTGAAAGAATAGGAATAGAATTTAGAAGAATGAATAGGAGTTACTAAACGCAGGGATCTCGCGCTGCGCAATGTACGACCCTGAGAATCGACATGAAACTCAAAGCACATTTTGAGGTAATCGGGAGTTGAAGAATGGAAAAGAATAGTGTAAAGAAGAGATAGAATGTGCCAGTTCCTGCGAAGGCGAATTGGAAGCCACTTGAGTTGATTGCGGAAATCTGAAATGTGGTCATATTTGCGAAGATTAAATATAAACCGTATACAGATATTCTGAAGTCGCTCAAGTTTATTTAATTGATCTTCTGTAAGATTAACATAACAGGAATCAGCGTAATCTAGAATAGGAAGTAGTAGACAGTGTGCCAATGCAGTTTTGGTACCGACTGGTAGAAAGTTTTGCAGCCGATTGAGACTACCTATTGGTGCAAATATTTTATGGCTTAACTGAGATATTTGATAAGATCAGGCCAGTGTTTGATCAAAATGTATCCCGAGATTTTTAACACTAGTACTATATTTAATTACTTGACCGTTAAAAACTACTGGTGGAAGATTAATTGAATTTATTTTAGATATATAATGAGGGCTACCGATAATAATACATTGTGTTTTAGATGGATTTACGGTGAGGCCGTAAGCTTTGCTTCAATCTGATATACGGGAAAGGTCTTCATTAATGATACAAATTGCATCAGTGATGTTACTAAAACTGGCTTGAGAGTAAATTTGGAGATCGTCTGCATAGAGATGGTAGGAAGATCGAAGATTATGTGTGATGGAATTGATAAATAATGCGAAAAGAAGGAGATAATACGCCACCCTGAGGAACGCCAGCAGTTGTGTTGCACCAAGAAGAGTAAAAATCTTCAATACGAATACGCTGCCGACGCCCAGACAGGTAAGAACGAAACCAATCAATAGCCGTTGGAGATATGTTAAGAGAACGTAAAATGGCGAGTAAAATATCAAAATCCACGGTGTTGAAGGCATTACTAAAATCCAGCAATGTCAACACCGTCAATTGCAACTTGTCCATGCCAAGCCGAATGTCATCAGATATTTTGATGAGAGCGGTAGTCGTACTATGACCTGGGCGAAAACCTGATTGAAAAGGATTTAGGAGACAATTTTGCAAAAGAAAGGTATAAATCTGATAATGCACAAGGCGTTCTAAAACTTTGGACAGAAAAGGGAGTATATAAATAGGGCGATAGTCAGAGAAAGTCAATGGTTTATTATTTTGGGAGAGAGGTATTACATTAGCATCTTTCCATACAGTAAGAAAGACACTACAGGAAATATAATTATTAAGGAGAGAAGTAATAGTGGGAAGGATAATATCAAGAATAGGGATAATCATGTTACGACTAACGCTGTCATTTCCAGTGGCATTCGACGTAATGGCCGTTTCTCCTAACATCACAATCGAAAAATTGATTAAATGAAAAAGGAGTTATGGTTAAGGAGTCAACAAAACTGTCATTTACGATATCAATCACTGTTACTATACGTGATGATAGAATGAAATGACAATACAATAATAACAATTGTAAACAAGAAATTTTGATCTACCATCCTTTACAATAAAATGACATGACAAAATAAAATAACACAAACGGGAGTAGAACACTTATTAAACAATTTAAAGTAGGTACTCTGTAAGGCACGAACCATTTTCAAGTGCATAAGTTTAATTGTAACTAATAACGCAAAGCAGTAATGTACTGAAGTTCGTAAATTATGTTCGAGCAATCACTACTTTTTTACGCGCTTTGTTCGAGACGTAGGAACCGTGGAACATGTGGATGTACTTTGGTTTGATGAAGCTTCTGCAGCCAAATTTTGCGACGGGTTCACTAGTTTATTTATCTCACTCATAAAAGTTATGCGATGCCTCGTTCCATCTGTACCAGTGATGATAACAACTCCATCATGAGTTCAGCATTTTTTTATGCCGAAGTGTTGTCTGGCAGCTAAAAAGGCTTCGTGTCTCACTGCCGTTAAGAATTCCGACACAGTGATGCCAAAACCCTTGAGCTTCGTTTTAGAATACCACACTTCATTCCTCATCTCCAAGTTTCTAAATTTTACTAAAATTGGTCGTGATTTTTCTTGTTTAAAAAGACCTAATCGACGACACTGGCCAATTTGGTCAGCAGAGACTGATGTCAAGATTCTCCACAATGATCTTTGATATCACTTGAGAAACAGATTCTCTTTGAGACTCAGGAATACAATGGAATAACAGCATTTTACGTCGACTACGCATCTCCATCTGATCTTGTTGGCGAGTAAGCAATTCCATCTGCTGCTGGAGGCTAGTGAGTGCAATGTTGACAAACTTTTGGAATACCTTAAAGTTTGATTCCAGTGAAGAAATAGTGGTAGGAGCGGTACTTTCCTTTTGAGTTTGCAGTTCATTTTGAAACTCGGCCATTTTTTAATTGAAATGCTCCATCAATGCTGCCATTGTAGTGTGTAGTGCTTCCATAATAATAAAATCAATGCAGAAACGAAAGGAGATAATAGATCAGCAGGTAGATATCACAGTCCGATTATAAATTCATAAGAAAACTTATGAAACAAATAGTCGATATTAATTATAATAATTATTAAAAGTGAGACGCGTATTTATTCGTGTTACGCGTTGCGTAGCTACCCGTGAAAAAAAAAAGATACTCATTTAGAAAGATAACTTTCGTTTAATACAACATAAACAAAGAAATTAATGGCTAATACTACAAACAAATAATATAAAAGGTAAACAAATTTACTGTCACGGGAGTGTAGTGAGTTTATACTCTTAGTCATTGGTTAAAAAAAAAAACAGTAAACAAAGTTATATGAATTTGGTATTACTAAACAAGTATATTTTTAGTCTACCATTATACTTAATTTTAATTATACATAATAAACAACATGTTACGAATTTAAAAATTGCATCATAGCTGTTGTGTTTAAAATTTTTAGAACAAAGAAATAGTACATTACTGCAGAGGCCAGCAACTGAGGCATTGATGGACGAAGGTGCAAATGTACGCAAGTCCATCAATGCCTAGTTATGGCCAAGACTTGTATAGTACTTTTCTCAATCAATGCGCGGAAATCAAAAGCACAATTTTACTTTTTAAGTTCAATGACGAATAACGAACAATAATTTTTCACGCGCTATAATGTTCCTTTGTTTTATTTTTCAATAAACAGCTTTCTACTTGCAAACCTGTTCGAAATTTAAATAAAACCTTTTTTTACCTCCTTGGTAGCCATGTTTCGAAGTAAAAGGTCATTCCATATTTAAATTACAGGAGAGATATGAGTTTACATAGTAATTTATCTAGCCGCAAAACACAACAGACATGGATTTTCATACAACTTTCATACGGCTGCTGCCCGCATGTATCGTAAAGTGCCGGCAAGTACGGCAATTTTGATTTATTTCGAAGAAGACTATCAAAATAATGCTCACATTTCCAAGCATGTTTGAGAAAGATAAATACATATATACCTCTCTCTCGATAGCTAATTGTTGCCGGCGCAGTTCTTCAGCTTCATGGTGAACTGGCGATGTGAGAGATGCGACGGATGACACGCTGGCGCACGGCGGTTGATTACTGATGCTGCTACTCTCTGCACAAGAGCATTAGTAAAACTTTAATCACTGAAGTTCCACATCACAATAATATGCAAACAAATACTTTATTTTAATAATATAATTGCAATATTACTTCTAATGTAATACAATTGCACGACGCCGGTCCACAAAAGATATTTAAAAAAAAATTATGTACGAGGGTTTATTAGAAGTAATAGAAGGTAAAATAATTATTTTTAGAAATTTTGTCTGTCGCTCTGTATATGTTTGTTTCGGCATCATGCAAAAACTACCACACCAAATATTAATTTAAAAATTTGTGTATATTTTGTTTGATAAGGCATTTAGAAGTAGTTATTTCATTGGTTTTCCTACTTCTGAAAGCTACGGGTATGAAGTAGAGGACCATAAAACTTGAAACTTTACAAAAACAGTTCGATTGTTTCAGCCCAAAATGATTAGTTAAGAGATTAGAATTTAAAAATTATTTAAAACTAAAATACCTCTTCCAAAATAAATAATTTTAGAAAATTATTTATATATTACTATAAAATCGACAGGTCTTAATTGAATTAATTATAGTTAATTAATCATAATTACATTATATAAATAAACAACACGGGAACCAAATACTTGTGCATTGATAATAATTATAATGAATATGGTTTTAGGTAATAACTACTAATTTATACTAATATTATAATAATTAAATTGCACTCCACAAAAATACTTAAGCTGTGGTAAAACCAGTTATTTTGATTTAAAAATTAAACTACTGACCTATTTTGATAAAATTTCCATGGGACCAATTTATAAGTATATCCTTTCAGAAAAATAGAATTTTCACAATAGGTTTACAACTGACGGTATCATAAAGTAACAAATATAAAAAAAATAAAATAAAAAAAAAACAAGCGGATTGAGAACATTCTTCTTTTTGAAGTTGGTTGGAAGGAAGAATTTTTTGTCTGTAATAAATAAACTATATATATATATATATATATATATATATATATATATATATATATATATATATATAAAGCTGCATTATCAACAAATAACATGGATTGAATTTTATTTAAAATCATTAAATTAGAGATCTGCCGGCCGATCAGACCGGTAGATAAACGGTGCGGTCGGGGCAGTTCACTAGTATATAATAATCCCGACAAAATAATTTAAAACAATATATAAGGCTAGCATACCTGTTGTGACAGATGATGTAGATGATTTGGAGATCAACCACAACGACATGTCTGCAGGCTGAGAGTCCATCGAAGCAGCGGCACCTGCTGGCACCGGCAACGGTCCAGTCTGATTTGTCATTACAGCGTTCGCTTCTACAGGTGATACGGAACTCTCGCATGCACATGACTTATCAGTTGAAACCGCAATATTAGTGTTTCGCACAGTCTCGTTACTATCACCAGTCATTGTAGAAGCACTCTGACAATTATGATTCTCAGATTGATTTAAATTTAAGTCAGTCACTTGAAGTAAACTATCTTTTAATTCATACATTACACTAGAATTATAATCCTGCTCAGAAAGATCTAACGGTGACTTCTCTCCTTCTGTTAGACCTTTGTAGTATTGATCAAATTCTTCTACTAGACTTCGCGCAGTTGATGGTGTACTGCTTTCCAAATCTGGATTTTTTATCTGATCTATAAACTTTTCAACATCTGTCTCATTTAAATTACTCTGATTGGTATTTGTTGAGTTGACTACATTCTTCAATGCTTCTTCATTAACTTCATACTGTTTTCCATAACTAAAGATTTGTGGTAATGATAAATTATGGAATAGAATATTAAGGTAGCTTCCATCGACAACTACGAAATTCTCTGCTGCGGTTTCAGTAGATTGATCAACTGGAGTTGTAGCTAAAATACTATCACCAGTTTGGATGCTTTTTTCTGCACTCGTGACGTTTGCCACCATAGTAACCGACTCAGGAACCGGTAGAGGTGTTTCAGCCTTGGGCCGGGATGTCGTAGTGTCTTCACATCCACTACTCGATAAATCAAAACATTTAACAGGTGCTATATTGCGGTCAGATCCCGTATTCCTTTTTAATTTCTTTTTTCCTAATAGTATTTGATCTACGTCAACACTACTACTCAATTTCAGTTCTATATTCTTCTTTGTTTTCATAAGTGCCACTTTACGTTTTTCTGTAAGTGCGACTAGCGCTTTACGCATGCGTTGCATTTCCCCACATTCGTGCTGTAGTTTTAAAAGTGCACCTCTTTGTTTCTTCTTCAACGTAGATATATCAGTATTATCCTGTTTCTTCTTATCTTCTAACCAAAGTATTTGTGATTTAGTGTAGTCCTTTAGGGCATCTTCTCGCATTTTAAGTACAAAAAGTAGATTCTTCGCTCGTCTTTGTTCATCACGAATGAGCAAGTTGAGCTGTAATAGAATTAAATAAATTAAATACTAGTAGACAAGTAATGACTTCTTAATTGATATAATGCTAATTCCACATTAGCGGAGATTCTGTTGGACCTATATGCTGTCAATAATCCTATACGTGCACAATCGACACAATTTATTAACATAGTGTATTGTATTAGAAAACCTACAATGCGAATATTGCCGATCAGGCACCAATGCAAAATTCGTGCAAAGAGAACTTAATATAAGTCAAAAGCGACCATATCGTGGCGGTTCGTAACCGAACCATGAGGATTCCGCCTATCATCATAATCATATCAGCCTTTAACTGTCTACTGTTGACCATAAGCCTCCCTCTTGGGGGGTTTTGCCAATGGCAACTGCCACGCTTGATAAGCGGGTTGGCAACTGCAGTCAGGTTTTAGAGATGTTTTAAGAGGGACGCTGCTGCTCATCTCTCACCCTCCCTTAGTCGATTCCCGCGATACGACACCCGCGGGAAAGGAATGGGGGACCTATTCTATGCCGGAACCACACGGCATGCCATGTGATAAATTTTCGGTACTTTAATAAAATCATAATACTCTAAAAATCTGTAAATTCGATTATTATTCATGAAAGTTAATGCGTAATACCATAAATGTGCAATGGAATCTTTAGTAATATTTTTAATAGATGCCCTATCAATTATATGGCTAAAAAGATATTAACAATTTTTATAACCAACTCGAAAATTTATTTTATATTAAATTTAAAAACGATAAATTTTATTATAATTGATGGAGAGACACAGTTTAACTTTCTTTATTGTATGATTTCGGTTAAAAGCTTTTTATTATGATTATTCTAAGTATGAATACGATTAAATTCCCTAAACAATGGTCGTAATATCAAATAATCACAATATATTCAGTCACAGATATTCAATAATTATTTTAGCGTTTCACAGTGTAATATTCGCTTAATGTGACGCTAGCCTAAAATAATGGGAAGCAATTAGCTAATAACTATGTAATTGCTATTAAACAAACTTCTTAATTCATAGCAGACCACTGCTTGATAAGCGATAACACATCAAATGACTAATTTATTATTTCTCACAAAATGTTTACAGATAAATATTAGAACGCTTACCAAACAAAGACTCTTGGATGCCATTGTTTCATCAACATTGTTTCCATTTTCAAGTTTCGATAAAAAGGAACTGTAGTCAGGACTTCGTACATCGAATCCACTATTTTTCACCCAACTTTCAACTTTATTTTCTGACAAACATTTATTGGATAGCGAACAAGATTCCAAATATTGGAGTGATTCAAAAAACGAATCTATAAAATTAAGCTCCCTTTGAAACTGTTCACAAATATAGTCACTTTGTAATAAACCGTTATTAACTCTTATTGTGCTGATTATATCCGACGGTTTTACTAATTTACTGTTATTAAAAACGTATGAACAATTAAGTGATTTTAACTCATTTATACAGTCAGTGTATTCGATGTCTGTTTTATCTTTTTTTTTGTAGGTGTCGTCCTGCAGTATATCTTTTAATTCTCTTTTTCTCATTTGTTTTTTGTAAACTGACACAACATTCATAGGATAGGCTAATGGTATTGGACTCGGTGACAAATTAGATGTATCACTACTACTACTGACTACATGAAAATTAATTTTTTGTCTTGTTGTACACGTTACTGTCGCGCGACTAATTATATAGGAAGAACTTTTATAGAAATTTGACTCATTATTTTCATCTTTATTGGGAGTTATTTTTAGAGAGGGCACTTGAAGATTTGGCAGGGATTTACTATTATAAAGCTTAACTATCTCTTTGGATTCGCTTTTCTCTTTTGTAAGGGTAACATTTGGTACTTCAAGACTATCAAACACTTTTGTTTCTTCTTGGAAATTATCACTTTCAATTAATTTATTTATCATTTTAAAATCATGAGATTCGATTTCAGTCGTTTGATCGACTGTTGTTAGCAATGGATCCGTTCCAATGTTAACATCTTTGGAACAAATTATTTTGTCTATTTCTGTGCTACAATCTATTTGCCTTATATTGTCAGATGTTGAGTGTATTATGGTTTCGGATGTTTCCACACGATCACGTTTACGATATTTTTCATCTAATGGTACGTGTATTACAGTAACTGCCTTATTTCTATTTTTAATCTCCTTTAGAACAGGATTTTTTCTTCTATTTTGTGACGGTGGTGGAGATTTATTTATTTGCGTCCTTTCAACAGGTTTAGTAGACATGTTACTTTTTAAATTCTCCAGCAACTTGCTTTTTAATAAACATACTTCCCTTTCACTTTCACTTGGTGTAATTATATTTTTACTTAGACTAACTTTGGATGACGTAAACGCGGTCCTTGATTTCCAGGTGGGTTCTAAAAATAAATAAATATGAACATTTTTTATGCAGAGACTATTAGTTATACATTAATTTAATAATACAATGTAATGTATTGAACAAACCTTTTCCTTTTACATTTTTGGCTCTAGTATTTTCCGGTGTGGACTGATTATTAGTACTTGAATATTTGCCCCTACAGTTCAATTTTGCAACACTTATATCTTTTCTGTTATTTACATTGTTTGTTTTAGTTTCCTTAGAATCTATAATTACAGAAATATTATCACATAATTAATTTTTTAATGAATTTAAAGTAAAATTTAATAAATGTTAAAGAAGTTAAAAGCTACGTAAATTTAAGACTCACATTTGGAAGAACTTGTCAATCTTGAAGTGGTTCTTTGTGAAAATTGCTTCTCTTCCTTAAATTCTGTACCAACTGATCTATTTGATATTTTTGTAGACGATGATCTCCTTTCTTTAGCTGTTATATATAGAAACATAAAAAATAAAGTACACAGTCGACAAATGCTATCGACTGTTGTTGCTGTGGGGAAAGTACCACTCAACATTACGCCGAGTACATTTAGGAATAATAAATAATTATGTATTTTAATAAGCTTAGATGGCTTATATACCTTAAATAAAGACAATATTTGAGAAGTACGATTTATTGGGAACTATTAAATTAGTTCACATTAAAGCCAAAATTACGATTTGCGAATAATAAGGCTTTAGACACACGGGAATGCACCCAGTCAAGTTTAAAGAAAAAGGAAATGGCGACGCAACAACCGTGTGTAATATTAACCAACCCATTTCGAGCTATTTTTGACCCCCTCACAACTTAAAATCTATTTAACCTACACACATGAAATTTGGCACAGGTATTAAAGGCCCTTATCTTGCCTAAAATCCATAATATCATAAATGTTGCTTAAATAGTTCTTGATATATTTTACGTTTAAAAACCGGCTTTTTTTACTGACTCACTGATTTATACATAAAAAACCTAACCCACAACCTATACTAAACAAACTTTCAGATGACTTGATATTTGTCATCAAGGATGACCATTGGAATTATAGAAATGAAAAAATCAGAACAATGAAAATTATAGTTCTTAAATATCAAAAAAGAAGAAACAAAAATATGAAAGTAGATGAATATACAATTCCCTGTTTGTTTAGCACATACTATTACTTTCCATAAATCACAAGGCCTTAGTCTTGACATTAGACTCCTCCATCTATAAGGCACAAGAAAGTTCTATAGTAGAATACAGTATACTGCATCGTCTTGACCGAATTAAAAATAAACACAAAACGTATAAGAAAAATTAAAGATAATGAATGGGCATTTCACTCTAATATTTCGAAGGTACAAGAAAATATGAAAAATAGCACGAGAAAAGATTTCACTACGATCGAAGTCGATGTTGTTTTTTTAGAATAAAATCTACTTGTTACGATTATCTATCGTCGACAGCTAACAGCATCATCTCCTTGACACATTTTAGGGCAGTTCGTTACAATAATGAATGTGTCGCGTTCAACAATTTTCTGATCACATGCCAGCTAGATTCTTATTACTTTCTCACACTATCATATGGCCATACTTTGCTCAATTACATAATATAACAAAGACATTTTTTCGATATCCTTAAAGTATCTAAAGCTATCAAAAAATGGAGTTCCTATAGGTACATAAAGCTAGTGGAGCAAAAGTATTCTAACGATTGTTCTTAGGCTTTGCATCATTGTTTATGGTATTGTGTTAAACGATTGACAACCATAAGTAGCGTAACAAATAAATTTGCTAATTCCTACATGAGCCGTACCGAAAACTTGTGAAATGATGTTTCCCGTGATAAGTTCTCTCTGTCCTATATAACCTCGGATCCTTTAAATACAACGTGAAAAAGCATCTAGTGTTGACTAACTGTTGAGAAGAGGGGGAGGGGGGGGAGGGATAGTCATTAATTTGGATTACTATACCCATTGCTAACAATATACCCTGTCAGATCCGTCTCCACGTGACCCCCCTGGAAACCATCGAGGTTAATTTCAGGCGTATTCATCACGATGGGCTCCCTATTGCTATCAATATACCTTATCAGGTCGATCTCCACGTGGTTCCCACTGGTAACCATAGTGACTAATTTATCGTTGAATTCGTCACGATGGGCTAACTGATCTGCCTTTTCACCTTCACCAATCATCCCTCACTGTTGCCCTGCTAGTGTGTCGGTAAACATAAGCACAGGCGGGGTTACCATTCCATTATCATAGATAAAAAAAATAACAATAGGCTAACTGGCCTGCCTTTCCATTCTCACATATCATCCCTCACTGGTGCCCCACTAGTGTATACTGTTAGCGCAGGCTACCATTTCATTACCATCTATCAAAAAAAAAAAAAAAACTTTTGAGAAAAGAACATCCTCCTTTCGATTAGTTGCATTTATGAACTACACTGTCCCTATGTTTATGCAGGGTTATGTGCCTATACATAAATCAATAATAATATTTTTTTACCACCACCACCACACTTTGAATTGACTGGAAGAGATCTCTGTCAGAGATAAGTCTACCCTTGCTCACAACATTTATAAATATATTATTTTATATGTAACTTACAAGTGCAATAAAGAAAATATATATATAATAAAATCGCAATTGGTCGCTATTTGTACATGGAAGATATATAAGAAAAACTATTATTGGAGGGCTTTATGAACGCAATAGAACTCAAAACAATGATTTTTAGGATTTTTGTTTATTTTCGGCTTAACCATTTTTAATGCAGTTGTCACTAATGCGTTGCGGTTTGCTTCACTTAATATTTAGTGTTTAGAATTTTAATCGATTCATAAATAAAAAAGTTATAAAAATCTAAAGAATCAAATACAAATAGCTTGAATTAGCTGAAACTTTTTTATTATATGTATTGACTAGCGATCCGACCCGCACGTGTAGACAGAATTTTCGAAAATCAGTAAAAATCAGTAAAAATAAAACTTTCAGCTAATTCAACTGATCGGTTATTTTATATGTGGTTCTTATAACTTTATTATTTATGAACCGATTGAAATAAACACTAATTGTTAAGTGGAGCAGACCGCATTCAAATCAATTAAGCCGTTTCTGAGATTAGCGTGCACAAACATACAGACAGACATTTTAATATGTATTATCATCAAATATTATACAATTATGTAGTGGAGTATTTAAAATAATTAAAGAAAGATTTTACTTCTTTCTATTATTATTCTTGCACACTGTATATTGCATTGGAAAATTTTCACAATCACACGTGCATCCTGCAACCCTCGATTTGTGGCATTGAGCGAGTTAGCGTAAACAGAATTATTCCAAGACGGTGTATACGTGATGAGCGAGAAGTGACCTATGCACACAAGCATCACTTGCTTGTTGTATTGGTCTTGACTCAGAATATCCTAGTATCTTATCTTTTGAGTGTTCTATTCTGTGCTATGACCGTATGTGTATTATACTAAGAATTATAGCGCAGAGTAAAGAATACCCAGAAGTTACTAGGAAATATGTTGAGTCTACGCTCATCACGTACACGCTGTGTTGGATTATATATATATATATATATATATATATATATATATATATATATATATATATATATATATATATATATATATATATATATATATATATAACGGGTAAGTTCAACTTCAATCGAGAGATCAACCGACGAATCCAACTCGGCTGGGCAGCATTCGGGAAACTACGCCACATTTTTTTATCCAAAATACCTTAGAATTTAAAGACGAAGGTCTTTAACCAGTGCGTGACTTTGCCAGTGATGACTTACGGATCCGAAACGTGGTCCTACACGGTTGCCCGTATGCAAAAGCTACAAGTTACTCAGCGGGCTATGGAGAGGGCTACGCTCTCTTTGCGTGATAGAATCCGAAACGAGGATATCCGCAAAAGAATCAAAATAACCGACATAGCGCGAAGAATAAGCAAGCTGAAGTGGAAATGGGCTGGTCACATAGCTCGAAGAACCGACAACCGCTGGGGAAGAAAGGTTCTTGAGTGGCGACCATGTACGTGTAAACGCAGTGTAGGACAACCCCCCACTAGATGGAGTATCGACCTGAAATGCATTGCAGGGAGTGAGTGGATGCAGGTGGCTCTGATCCGTTCTTCATAGCAGTCTATGGAGGAGGCTTATGTCGAGCAGTGGACAGATAATGGCTGAAATGATGATGGTAATAATAAAAAAGTAATTAAAATTATCCGACTTTCGATATGAATATTGTTTTTGAATGACGTAATGATTAAAAAAGTATGCCATATTTGGTTTATACTAAGTTTTTTTTTTAATTTAATTAACTCTTTTATGGCAACCCTTACAAATTTCTCAGCACATCAAAAAGCTTTCCTTCTGAGTATTTTTTAATCTGTGATTACAGTGTGCTATAAGAGTAAGAACTAGAAAAGAATGATACTGCCACCAATTCAATAATACCGCGTTCGTTTCTCGAAGCGTAGATAAGATTTGAATTCCTTTAATAAGCATGGTCGTGGGTCACTCAAAGAGCAGGTTTAAACGTAAACATTAAAATGGCACTTATTTTCTTTTTTTTTTTATTTATTTTCTCAAATACCTTCGTTGATGATTTGTCTACTTTAGCAACCGTATAAAATGTACGTGTTTACACATAATTTTAATGTTTTTACAGTAATAACTTTAGTTTTGTTTATTTTACCTATTATACTACTATAAAGTACTTTATATACTATTAATATAATTATTAATAACTATTTAAATATATTGATAGTAGGATCTCTATCGAAACTCTTGTTAATGTCTGGGTATCCCTTGTACGTACTGTACATTACTGACATTTGTCGTAAATTTTCGCTTATAAATCTTTTTTCCATTTTTTTAATATAATAACCGATTCCTTTTTATTATTTATATAAGAAAGTAATTTATTAAATGAATATAAATTTGTGACAACTCTATTGTGAATGAGGGGAAATGGGATCGACCAAAAAGAATATGAGTATCACCTCTATTATTTTATAATATCATTTCTATACAGATAATTCATTCTTATGGTGCTATTTTTAACACCACAATATCGTAAGAGATGATTACGAGAACAAAACGTAAATTAACTCCTCAGTGGGAAAGGAAGTATAGAGATTATTAACCGGGATTATAGGTATTGTCTCCAGCAATATACCACACTGAGGTTTACGTATACAAATACATATAATATTTTATGTCGCAACCTTTATTGCATTTATCATATGAATAAGACTCTTTTACTGATTTTACATTTTCTAATTTTTTATTTTGGACTGTAATTATGATTAGAAACAGGACATCACAACTTTGTTTTTTTACTTTTCTTAATTTCTTTAAAACGGTGCTTCTTAGAAACATGGCTTTATTTATTTTATAATATTTATATAAACCTTTATAAACTGTAATTATTTCAGATTTTTCGCTTAAGAAATTTCGGAGATAAGGGGACATAAAAAGAAATGTTTGAAAATGTACAAAGGCATTTGATATGATACTCTACTTGGACTAGTAAATCCATTTAGAAATTTTAAGTACTCATTTTATCTCATTTCAATATGTGTGGACAGATGGACGGACGGATGGATGGATGGACGAACGGAAGGACGAATGGACGGACGAACGGAAGGACGGACGAACGGAAGAACGGACAAAGTAACGGCGATACAAAGTGGCACCATAGAGGTTACATAGTACCTTTTTGTACAGAATCCTGAAAATCAATGCGGTAATAGAAAACATCGATAACCATGCAATTTAATCCGAGTGACAACGATAGTGCGACAACTCACCTACAACCACATGAGATTCTAATATGCTCCGTAAAATAGAGTTAGGTATTCCGAGTGTTATATTTACCACAACAGCAACAGTTGACAAAGCCCTCTAACTACCCTTCTACCTCGCGTCATTGACAAATTCTCAAATGTCCACACATAACACAAGCGATGTGCTTTGGCGATTCCAACAAATGTTGTAGGTCGGTTAATTATTATCTTACCACTAATCATTACAAGACAAACGCCTGCTTCAATTCATCATACTTATCAAAAAAATTTTGTTTATATAACAATAAAATAACGTATGTAAGTAAATATTAAGAGGATTAGATTAGGAAGAGTTAACCTAATTAGTATACTGAAAAAATACATACAGAATTTCGGATGAAGATCATTTTCATCATCTTCAGTGATAGTAACAATTTTCCTTTTAGTAAAATTTGAAGCCATCATTTTAGAGGAAGCCATCAGATCAGTTTTCAGTGATCGACTTGTTTTTAAATCTGGATCTTCAACTGTTACAACGCGACGCAACCGCGGCTGCGACATATAACTGTTTGGTGGCCATGATACTGCAACAATAGAAGGCATTTCTTTACAAATATTGACAGACTGATGAAAAAAGCAAAGATATTTTGTCAACATTTTTTACTTATGCATAAGAACACATGCAAATTTACTGAACAGCAGTCAGTACCATCTAAAGTGCATTTACGTTATTTGTAAGTTACGGGTGATCATTTTTACAACATTTTAAAAAGTGGTTATTGTGACATAATGATAATAGTTGGATATATAGTATCACAAAGTTTTTTGTAGTTACTGATATTTTTGTCAATATTGAAGAACATACTTTTGTTCTATCACCTATTTATAGCATTTTTTACACCTCGAGTTACATTACTAAAGTTTTAATAAGGATCCCTAATCTTTTCTAGAAATACATATAGCCTATGTTACTCAGGGTGAATGTAGCTTTCTAATGGTGAAAGAATTTTTTAAATCGGCAAAGTAGTTTTTGAGTTTATTCATTACAAACATACATACACACAAAAATACAAATCTTTCCTCTTTATAATATTAGTGTAGAAGTGTAGATATTATATACATATTAAAAGATAAATACCAATAGACATTTTTTTATTATAACATTACATATGACTACACCATCCTCAGTGAACACCAAGACAATACAGTTCATGAATATGATCAATGGAAAAGAAAATAAACTTTCAAAGGTTCACCACATAATTATGCTATATATTACACAGTACCATCTAGTAACTAATAGGGATGGGTAATATATAGTATAATATCTATATATTGTAGTTACAATATCTATATATAGGCCCAATGACATATTATTCAATATATAACTTCGAAATGAAAAACCCTGGCTATACTGAAATGGGTGAGAACCTTTTTTTGTCATTAATGCCCAGAGAAATCCAATATATAGATATTGCAGTGGTACTGATATTATCCATGATTACTAAAGAAAGCTTATATGTACTTAAATATTTTTTAATACATACAAATTATGCATAAAAGACACACAGAGCAATAAAAATGGTCATACTCATGAATGCATCAGAAGGTAAAGCTATGTATAAAATCAGCAGACCACAAAGCTCATCAATAAGATTTAAAGGTTTTAGTACTTATAAATAAGAGTATTTGAAGCCATTACTGCCTGTGATAATAGGTATAAAAAAAGAATTTTCCAAATGGTTTACAATTGACAGAGTTATGAGGTAACAAATATAAAGAAAAAATACAATAGAAGGAGGTTCTTTTCTTTTGGAAGTTTGTCAAAAATTTATTATGAATTTCTATTAGTTTCTTCGGAGCTTTATGGTTCTTTTTGTACCACTGAGGTAGCAAACAAGCATTTAGCCCACCAGATGGTAAGCAGTTAGCTTATGAACACCTGCAATACTAGGGGTATAAAGTGCGCATTGCAGACCCTAAAATTATCTACAATTCCACAGCCGTTTTCCAACTAGAAATTTGTGGTAAATTTACAATTACAGTTGGATTTGACTTATTTTCCACAAGAGATTTAATCAATACAAAGTGTTTAACTTTTCAAATTTCAAACTAACTTTACCAATTTTTTTGCTGTTATTTTATTATTTTTGAATTATTTTTAGTACATAAATTAACTAGTAAATAAATTAACATAAATATTATATAAAAACTATATACAAATACATTTTAAACTTTTTGCTCTGTAGAAATCGGGTTAAAAATATATTTATATATGAAAATAAAAATAGGAATAATATATGAATAGAATAGGAAATATTTACATTTAACGAATCTAACTATAAACAATTTTTGGTATTTCAAAATCAAACAGATTAACAAAATATATAATTTAATTTAATTAAAAACTATGTTATATTATCATTAAAAATCAATACAAATTAGCATATCCTATAAATATTACAAAAGGGAAAGCTTATAATGATGTAGTTCATCCATTCATCCTGTTGGTTACTCCTTCAAACAAAAGCTACTAAGTGAATTTTAATTAAATTTAGTACATGGGTTGATTATATCCTAACATAACATATAGATTATATACATACACTTATACATTATAAACTTATTAATTTATATGGGCAAAGCCACAGAATTTTTTACCCTTATTCAATTTCACTGTTACTGTATTTTTTTTTATAAATAATTAGATTTTACCAAAGACTTCATCCATAAGAAATACACAGTGATTATTTATATGGTGAGTACTCTGCAGTTTGAAATTTTACACAAGAACAGTCACCCAAATGAAAATGTAGTTTTAGCTGCTATTAGAATAATGAAATTAGAGTTGAACAACTCTGAATTAAATATTATATTTTTATATATTTGTATACCACATACTATGATGACAGGCAGTGATACATTACTGTTAACACGAGGAAAAATAAATCATTAGGGTGTACCTGTATAAAGTAAATTAAATATATACATTAATTTGTCTGAAAGTATAGGAATTGATTGGACATCAATACTGAGTCTATAGAGATAAAACATCTGCATTGTTTATATAGCTAACAGCTAAATATTATATAAGCAAAATATTAATATATAAAATATACTTAAATCCAGTCAAAACAGATTATCTTACCTTTGGAATCAAATTCAAATTCAGGCAGTTTGGTATATTTGATAACTGTGTTCCTTTGTTTTGCGGTAGGAAATGTGGAATTTTCTATCTTTAGAAAAAAACCATACACTTTATCGAAATCGGCATCGACCTGTGGTGATGCCGAAGCATCCATTATTACACACTAATTTTATTCTACATGTGATGGCTCTCAATCTATCGTGACAATTTGATATTGCAAAAAAATATAAACGTTAACACAAAAGCAGTGTTGTTATGGTTAATTTTGGCAAATTTTTACATTTTGTAATTGCAAAAGATCGCTAAATATTTTTTGTTGATATTTTTTTTAAATCATAGACAAAATAATCTGTTTTATATAGATTTATCTATGTAAAGGAAGCAACACACTGTTCAACGTAGATAACGTTATGATTTTAAAGGATTTTAATAAACCAGAAGCTATAAACTAAATTATAAAATGTGATTTATAGTATGTGTATTAAATAGATATAATAAGATAAAAATTAAACTATGAATAATAATGACGGTCATTTCTCGTGTATATATGAGAATGAGAAAAAACAAAACAACGTATGTTGTTATCTCATTCTATCTCACGGAGCAATAAAGCAAGTTACGTTAGCTATAACTAATAAGAGATAAAACCGCCAATAGATTTTTTGCACTTGCTCAGAGAGACAGGTACTTACAAAATTATAAGAAAAGTATTAATTCTTCTCTTTCCGCTTCTAGGGAAAGTAGATAAAGTTTTGTTTAAGAAATCAGTTCATGGTACGATAGGACTGATATACCTGAAAAAGGTAAAAGCTCTTAAAATAATAATAATAAAAAAAGAAAAGTGTAAAAGTTCCTTTAGCTCAATTAAACTAATGGCAATTTGTAACAAAAATGGAAAAAATTGCTGCAAACCTAAGACTGAGATAAATGTTTAATGAGTTAAAATGACTTACTAAAAGAAGTTTACCTCGGAACAAAATGTCAAATAACCACACTTAGGGGTTTAAAAATAAAAAAATCAAACTGTTGTATGAAGTTGTTGGCCCTCCTGTAGATTGCGTCCCTAGATGGTTGTTAGGGGAACGCTCCAACAGGGTACCACACATCGTGAAGAATCCCTGTCTAAACAATGTTTCTTGGAACAGAGCTCAGACTGCCCCATAGATTCAGATTCTGATGTGAGTGTGATGTGGGGGGGGAGGGGTTATTAAATATACTAAATAAAGAAACGAGTGACCCAAAACCGTCTCTTAGCAAATATTTCACAAAGAAATGTTCTTAAACAGACCTAGATAAAATTTATTTTCAGCGGACTCTTGACTTCATCTAAAGTTGAAGTAATCAAATATAACCCTGCGACTCCCCACAAACTTCACTTTATACTGAAGGAACGGTTATAAACGAATCACTTGACACACAAAACTGGCAAGAGGTGATTAATCGCGAATGGCTAAGAAATAATTCTGAAGCAAAGACATAAAATCAGAAACAAACGAAGCTCAATAATTACTGGCTTTCAGTCTGATACCAATTTCGAATAGCTTTTTTAAACTGGAAAATTTTAACCATTCAAAAACTATATAGTAGAAAACACAAAAAGCAATCAGACCTCTACCTCTTTTTGTTAACAGGGTTAGCAATATCCAGCGTCTTACGAAAATGTTAATAAATGTAGCAACTTATTACAGGAAGAACGTGTGATGGCAAAATCTCCAGTGTTTTACTCCATTATATACAAAGAATTGAAAAACAGAAACATCGAGTTTTTCACGTATCAGCCAAAGCAGGAGAGGAGCATTAGAGTGGTACTTAAACATATCCAGCCCTCAACGGATATTGAAGAATTAAAATACACCTTAGAAGATCAGTATCACAAACCTACTAATATCTGGAATATAAAAAAAAACAGTAAAACAAAACTCCTTTACCCATGTTCTACATAGATTTACAACCCAGTTCTAATAACAAAGACATTTATAATATAAAGTTTCTACTCAACTGCTGTGTTCAGTTTGAAACACTAAGAATTAAATGTATAATTCTCCAATATTCCAACTGTCAGCAGTTAGGCATACACAAAAATTCTGTCTAAGACAACCTAAATGTGTCAAATGTGCAGGATCCCACCACACATCTAACTGTGTTAGAAAGGAATGTTCAGATAAAGTGAAATGTATACTATGTGAAGGAAACCATCCTGCTAATCACAAAGGTTGTATCGTGTATAAAGAACTACAAAAGACAAAATATCAACCTCTTAACATTAAAATACCTCAAACAAACAAACCAGATTCAACTATCACGGCGAATCAAACATACAATCACACAAGAAAATCATCGTATACTTGAGCCCACAAATAAACATCAAAATCTACCTAATAAATGATAGCCCTACAAAACACCGAACATCACATGTGAGACATCTTTCGCATTTTTAATAAATCAATACAAACACTCACAGACCAAATATTAAAAATAATCCAAATGCTAGCAAAAAATATGTCAAGATTGATGATTCATTCACTGCACTAAAAATATATAGCCTGTCAAACCACTGAAATAAGTTAACAAAATTCTTACAAGATTGACATTATGTTATCTCTGAAACTTTACAAGAACTTTTTCAAAGTCCCAGATTACACTTTACACCATACTATGCATCCAAATGGCAAAGCTTATAGTGGTTCCGCTGTTTTGATAAAAACCAATATCAAACACTCTCAGTCCCAGTCATATTATAAGGACTACATCCAAGTAATCAGTGTGTTTTTTTTTAATGGATGATAATGGAATAGTATTCCGCCAGCGCTAACGGTATACGCTGGCGGAGCACCAGTAAGAAATGATAGATGAGAATGAAAAAAAGGCAGGTCAGTTAGCCCATCGTGATTAATACCAACCATCGTGCTGAATTCCAAGTGTATTAATCCACGGGGAGGTCGACCTGGTTGAGTATATTGCTAGCAATAGAGCTCTTAGTCTTTCCGAACCGATACGACTATGACCGATAGGTATATGCTCTTTTTTTGAAGGTTAACATAACCTTCAAGAAAAGAGCATATTCCTTTTTAAAAGGCCGGCAGCACAGCAATGCCGTTAGTGTTGTGGGTGATAATGGGCGGCGGTAGTCATTTACCACCAGGTGAGCCGCATGCTCGTTTGCCCACTATATTGTAAAAAAAAGTCTCCATTACTAACAAACCCTTCTCCCCTAACGAGTGTGTTAACCAGTAATCATAGTTTGCGATTGGATCAGCAATTTTACAGTACAGCTTTACTGCCCTTCAAAACACATTCTCAAAGATCAAGAGCTTGATGATTATTTCGGAAGACTTGAAAGTAGTTTCATAGCTGCTGGTGACTACAACGCCAAATACATGTTTTGGGGCTCCAGAGTCATTTTACTTAGGGCCGTGAACTTCTCAAATGTGTGCAGGCAGGGTCTATGAATGTAACATTTCGGTTTACACAGGTACTTACCGAACACGGTTGTTTCGGTAAGTACCTGTGCGAGATTGATCGCTAAGAACGCAGCACCGGATGTCACGAGTGCGAGGATTATGACGTCGACACGGCGCAACATACGTTGGAGACATGTCCCGCATTCGCGAGGGAGCGCAACGACCTAGTCTGTTGGAAGTGACTTCTCGTTGCCTTCAGTTATAAAGGAGATGGTGAGCGACGAGAGGTCCTGGATGGCGGTCCTCGATTCCTGTGAGGCCATAATGGCAAGAAAGAAGAAGAGAGCGCGAGATTGTATCTTCTGGTGATGCTATCCGCCGAAGAAGAATTAGGCGACGAAGGAGGGACTCCGACGATCCGTCCCTTCCGACGTTTAGGCCTGAGGTAGTAACCGCGGGGGCGGTTGCTGTTTCGCACAGATCCTGAGGTAGAGGCGTGCGCGTGTTCCCGCACGCCTCCCTGGAATAGAACGGACATAACCACACTCTTCTGAAAAGAGGCCCGCTGCCAGAGCGAGCCATCGCCGTCGGGGCCGCGGCAGACTGCTGATGTGCCCCTGTTGCCTCCACGTTGGCGCGAGTAAGAAACACCGGAGGGTTTTAGCCGGTAGAAGTCTGGCAGTACACACATATCTCCCCGAGGTATGTAGGTCTGCATGAAGCATTTCCCCTCGACAAAAAAAAGGATCTATGAATGTGATTTCATTTGGTCAACTTACATATTGGCCTAGAGTCAAATGGAAAATACCGGATGTTATTGATTTCTGCATTATCAAAGGTAAAGCAAAACCAACATATCCTGCTATAGTTGTCGGGACCTATCATCGGATCATTCTCCTATCTAACTAATCTAACTTAATTACAACTAGGGTCAAAGAAACAAGTAAAAAAATGCAAGTTATACAACCAAAAGACTAATTGGCTTTTTTTCGGGATCTTGTGGACGTAGCATTTGCTGCACCAGTTTCACTCTAAACAAAAAACTGTATTATAAAAACTGTTGAATATTTCAACACTACTATTAAAAATGATGCATGGAATTCGGCTCTTTAAGTCAATATAAATCTGCCGACCAACAAATATCCTCAAGAATTCAGAATTAAATCAAGGACAAACGAGAAGTCTTTAAGAGAATTGTAGCAAAAAAGTAAATGCCCTAAATTAAAAAAGCACCTAAACAAAAAGTAAAGGAGCTGAAGCCCATATTAGAACTAGACCGTAATTCAGGAATTCAGCCACATCTCGAATGTCTTGATGCAACTAAAACTACAAATTATTCCCTAAGGGAAGCTACCAGAAAAATCAAACAGCCGATACAAATTTCACCTCCACATAGAAAAGTAGAAAACAATTGGGCACGAAGTGACGAGGAACAAGTTAACACATTTTCGGAATATCTATTAAAGCTTTTCCAATATCATTCTTATGAAGGCCCACCAGAACATGAGACCAAGGTGAAGGAATTTTTGGACTCTCAAGATCAAGATGTTATTACACCAGAGAAATTCACAAAAAAGGAGGTAATGTAATATGTATATGTAAATGTAAAAATGTAATCCTAAAAGCCAATTCTAAAAAATCACCTGGCTACGACCTAATTACTAATAAGATTCTACAAAAATTACTCGACTCTTGTTTGACGCTAGTCACAGCAATTTATAATGCAATTACCAAACTACACTTCATTCTGCTTCAGTGAAAGATTACACAAACATAATCTACAAAGGCGAGCTTATCTCTAATAAGAGATTTCTTCCAGCAAAACCTTTTCATGTAAATTGTGTTATTTTAAAAATAAAAATAAGCAGTCATACGACCTGCATATATTATATAAACACATAATATATGTATATACAAAGAATAATACAAGTTACTTTTTTTTTTTTATACAACTTAGAATGGCAAACAAGCTGACGGTCCACCTGATGGAAAGTGATAACCGTCGCCTATAGACATGAGCAGTACCATGGACATAACAGAGTATACTGTTTCGCCCATAATACCCCCCATGCGTTGCCATTCCTGAGGACTCAGGTGTTATTCCTCTATACCCAGTAAATTCACGCCATATCCCACCCTTTAAACCGAAACACAGCCATTCAAACACAACTGCTTCACGGTTGAAACACGAATGGGACAGAGGTACCCAAGCAGTCGACTTTTGTACAAAGTTTCTTTGTACAAACTACACATTATAAATTACATAAAATACATAAACCCTGTAAACATAGACATATACTTACACATACATACATATACACATATATACACATACATATATATATATACACATATAAACATATATAAATATACATACACATTATGTTGCTAAAGCCAGACAAACAACCAGAAGACCCAAAATCATACAGACCGCTTAGCCTTCTTTCAATACCTGCAAAAATTTATGAGGTCCTATTATCAAAAAGAAGTGTTACCAATAGTAGAACAACACTAGCTGATATCAGAACATCAATTCTGTTTCTGTCGAAAACAAGCCACGATAGATCAGATCCACAGGCTAGTAAATGTAATAGATAAATCTTTTGAAGATAAGAAGTATTGCATTAGTGTATTTCTCGACATTTTACAAGCATTCGATAGTGTGGCATGAAGGTTTATTATTTAAATTGAAACCTTTCTACCCAACTACATTTACAAAATTTTGAAATCCTTCATACAAAACAGACTCTTTTTAGTCCGACAAGGCGAGGCATTATCAGGCTTTTATCCTATTAATGCAGGAGTCCCATAAGATAGCGTACTAGAGCCAATACTCTGTACGTTTGACCTATCATCAAAAAATATCACCACTGGAACATTTGCAGATGATACTGTCATATTAGCATTTCATGAAGATCCATCGATTGCGACGCAGATCCTGCAAACGAGTTTAGATAACATTTAATCTTAAGTAAAAAAAAAAAATGGAGAATCCAAGGTAATGAATTTAAATCGGTCAATGTTGCCTTCGCACTAAAAAAAAGATATTTGCATCCCAGTCAAGTGAAATTCTCTCAGGCTACTGGAAACTCAAGCAGACTATGTAATAAAATGTAAATGCAGATATTTAGATCTGTACTTGGATAGACGGCTTATCTGGCTTACATAATAAACATAAACAATTAGGTTAACAAATGCAAAAGTTTTACTGGTTATTAGGTTACCAGTTACAATTATCACTTAGCAGTAAACTCATTCTGTACAAAATGATACTAAAACCTATCCGAACCTATGAAATCAAGCTCTGGAAACGTCTCCCTCCAATATCGAGATTTTGCAAAGTTTCCAAAATAAAATGTGGAGAATAATAATAAATGCTCCTTGTCATAATTTTTTTGTCAAAACTCTTTGTCACAAATGAGCAACTGCGTCTAGATCTATAAATTGGAACTGTTAGACAGGAAATATAATATACAAGTAGTTCTAATTGAACACATAAGTACTGCATGTGTATGGGATGCATTAAAATATTACAAAATTACTCAGTGCTGATGCAAAAAAAAAAAAAACTATTCTTTATGTTTCTTCATCAAGAATAACCATAGACAAAAATAAGTTGAGCGATTCTCGTAAAGATTGTACAATAATTAAAATCAATTTCTTGATAAATGAAACGCAATATTCTATTACATCTTCTATGTGCTTGGTGCTTATGAACTGGAATGTTATATTTTGTCTCTATTTACACGATTTTTTGCACATTAATGAACTCCTCTAACGTGATCTTTAAGCTAATCTCGGTGGCCTAATAAAGTCACAGTTGGTCTCTTTGTTGATGCAATGAACTGTCTATAATCAATCGTGATCGTCCAGATTCCAGATGTATTTATGAGTGCACTCCTAATCCTGTGTCAACTATGACATTGCAATCAGTGGAATTCCATCATAGATTCAAAAGATAGGTGTATAAAATGATGTATTTTTTTAATATTATCGAGAACTACTGTGCTCCTCTGTGAAAGCATTGTTTTTGTTCCTCAAGTATTTGCAGTGTTAATAAAGGTATGTACTGTCCTTGATTTATTAAGTGCTATAGACTATAGTAATAATCAATCAGGTAGCCATTTTATATTACTATGTACATAGTGATACCTAGTTGACCACGACAGGTAGATAGCAGATCTAATACCTAACATACTATTGTTATGGGTGCTACATAAGGATGTCAATTACACAAATTTGTCTGCTCTTTAGTGTGTATTTTTTGTCATGGCAATTTTTACAGGTAAACTTAAATATAGTTACTGAGGTAATTATTGCAACTAAAATAAGTAGGCAAAACATTTACTGTGCCTGGCAGTTTCAGTTGACTTTTGCTTAAAATTACTCATTTAAAAAAAATCTAATGAAATAATGGTTTAATTTGTAAATACCCACTGTTATTAGGAGTATCAGTGGGGATCAACATGTCAAATAATATTTATTATAGTACCTGTTTTTTAATAAAAATGTATATGAGGGGTAATTTTGTGTGATATAAATTGGACTATACATAATCTGAGGTGTGCAATAAATCTTTGGTATCCTGGTGTTATAGTTAAAGTATAAAATTGATTTTTTTTTATTTGCCAAATGTGGTTGAAACAGTTTGATGTGTAAGTATGACTAATATATCTAATAATATTAATTTAAGTATTCCTTATTTATTAGTTAGATTGAAAGTATAAATCTTTTTTTGCTATTTTATATAAACCAACCAAAACTAGTATATAAAGATTAACTCATTACCTTTTTATGTATACTGTATAAAACAGAACAAACAACTATATATAAAATCTAAGCAAGTAATAAACAATCTGAAATAGTTTGCAAAAAAGATACAGAACTGTAAAAAAATAATATAGACAAAGAAGAAAAAATCATTGAATTTTCTTTTTTTGTTGAAATTATTTAATGACAAATATACCTTAATAATTTAACCCATTTCTTACTGCCTGCCTACTGCTGTTTGCTGTCTGTGTTCCCAATTGGGACCACTCATTTAAGTACCCACATATTTTAATATATTTTGTTTGAATGCTAAATTGGAGATCGGTAGACAGCAGAGGTCGCCAGTTCGGAGGCCGACTACATACTTATTTGTTGCAGTATCTGGCCATTCATTTACCTTCCTCATGCTTCTCAAATATTGTACAAAAATTGTTAGTGAATACACCATGTACCCTCTGGTGTAGGCATTCCATCACCCATATTTAATTGAGGACAGGATATCTTTAATACTATCCTGCAAATCATGAAAAAAAGAGTATGAAAGAGTGTTTATTTTATTATTATTGTAGCTTTTTATCCGCTTCAGTGGTCCCCAAGGGTAAAAGCCTCCTCCATCTTTTTCCACTTCTCCTTATCTATAGCAATACTTGTCCAGTTTTTTCCTGCTGTCTTTATTATGTCATCCTACTACTACTCTACCCTACTCTTCATCAAATAAAATAACAAATACCAAAAACAAAAAGGTAAGTAGCAATAAAATTTACTTAAGCAATATAAAAGAAAAAAACAAAATTAAAAATAGATCATACATACATACGTATCTGTCATGCCTGTTTCCCATTAGGGTAGGCAGAAACAATGGAACACCAAATGCTTCAATTCAAACAAACCTCTTTTGTTTCTTCCACATTCATCAATCTTTTCATACACGCTCGCCGGTTACGGGTACTTTTAATTTGGCCCTTCTTCAGCACGTAAAATAGATCAATACCTAAAAATATGCACATACAATGAAAGAGTATTTATTATTTTATAATAAAAAATATTATTTTATGATTTATTGAATATAATATTTACTGCATGAAATTAATAATTTTATTTATTAAGCAGACAATTGTTTAACCAAAATTTATATTGACATTTACATTATTTTCTTATATATTTCACTTGGCCATAGTTTCTACTAGTAAATCTACCTACTAGTATTATATCAGATATTTTTGTTTTTATTTGATTATAAATGAAGGCATTTTGGTGTGATGCTCCCAAATGGGGCCATTGTTTGATTGGTAAGTTTTCCCATTTATACTTTTAATTAAGATATAAATGATAGCTGAGTGAACATGCAATGTTACAAATATGTGTGTCTGTGAATAATGTTCAGAAATCAATACTTTATAAACAAAAGTCCAAACTCTATCGACCACTGTCGCCAGACTAAAAAGTTTTTAGAGACTGGAGAGACTTCTTCTGTCAGCGGCTGCATGAAAACAGCTCCTACAATAGCAATAGAGTTGGCCCTCAACATAACACCCCTAGACCTGCACATACAGCAGGAAGCGGCCTTAGCCGCTATCCGACTAATGCATCTGGATCTATGGGGTAAAAATCACTACAGTCCCCACACTTCTATTCTGAACCAGACAATCGAATATGAACCTTTGATTGCGGCTCCGTGTGACAGGACTCATAATCATTATATATTTAACTAAAAAATACCAAGTACAAATAAAAGAAGAGGAAAAGAACCAATCCGGTGTACATGAATTACGCATATACACCAATGGCTCCAAAACTGAGAATGGTTCAGGAGCCAGAATCTTTTCCTTGGACCTTAATTTAAACATGCACATTCCTCTTGGCGTACACAGCTCAATATTCCAATGCGAATGTGTAGCAATAACTGAGGCTGCTGCAGCTGTACATAAGCTAGGAATAAATGGTATTAGCATTAGATTCTTATCTGACAGCACAGCAGTACTAAAAGCATTAGGAAACAAAAAACAAACAACAAATTAATAATTGAATGCCACCATTCACTGGATATCTTCCAATAACCAAGTTATCCTCCAATGGATAAGAGGGCACAGTGGATTTTATGGTAACGATGCCGCAGACGAACTAGCTAGAAGAGGTTCAGGAACGAGGGTGGTAGGCCCGTTCCACTTCTTCCTCTTCCGTTCTCGCAATTTCGAATATGGATTCGTCCAAGATCCGCTGACATACAAAACCAAAGATGAATACAGGCTACTGATTGCAGACAATCAAAATTGGCCGTGCCTACGTTGAATCAACGACTATCAAAACGTTTATAACATCTAGATAGGAAAAACTTCAAAATAGTGATAGGGACAATAACTGGCCATTGTCCATTAAACAAACATTTATACACAATAGGAGCCACAGACAGCTCTCTATGTCGAGGTTATTTCGACGCCGAAGAAACGGCTGCTCACGTAATCCTGGAATGTGAAGTTGTGGCCCATCAACGTTTAGAAATCCTTGGAACGGTGAGGTCGCTCTGTGAGGCCCGTGAAGATCCCAGGAAGCTTCTGTGCTTCTGGGCGAAGCTAGGTTGGCTGTACTAGCCACGACTCATACGCACAACGGCCTAAATGAGAGGCTAAGCGCGGAAAATAGAGTCCTATTTATATTACATTACAAGGCCAAACTCTTGCTGTTATTGTTTATGAAAAAAATATTTGATATGCAGGTGTTTGTGTAATTATTATGAATATCAAGTTATGTGATGCACATCACAATGAAATTACCATTGATGGCCTCAAATGTTTTTTTGATATTTTACTGTCCAGTAATATTACTCAGTTCCATAAGAAAGATTATATAGGTATCGAGGCGAGGACTACAACATTCCATTGTTTTATAAGTAGTGTCATTGAACAGGCTCTTGGAAATGAAGTTTTGCATTTCTGCAATAATGAAGCTGCTGCTAGATATATTGACAAAATATAGTATAACCAATTGGTATATTCTTAATCAAGACATATGTTAAGGACATGAAAAAGAAAACTTGTGCAGATTTGACTATTGATTGATATAACCAATGAAATTATTTGTGCGATGGCTTGACAACAGTATTTGTATTATGGTTATACAAACACTGTTATCTTGTTTTAGTTGTAAGTGTTTGTAATATGACAAACTATAACTTTGTTTATCTTCTGGGTAAAGGAAGAATAAGAATTTAATACTTTCAGCAATAACGACTTTATTATTACTATTATAAAGTAAGAAGATGGATATCTGCAAAAGGAAGAAAAGTGGATGTAGATATTTCTTTTCTCTTCCCAAAAGTAAAATAAAGGTATGGGAATAGTTGATCAGACAGTTGCTAAATACAGGACAGTTTTATGATGTAAAACATGGTGGTAGGTGCTGTCTCTATCTTTATAATAGATTTAGCTGTAATTAATGCTTGGAATCATTAGGTTTTGATCGCTGAAGATAAACTAGACCAGTTCCAGTTCCAACGAAGCATTGCTTATTTATATTTGAGGCTTTGGATACTGAAACATAATTTATTTAAAGATAAACAATGTCACAAGAAGCATCTTAAACATAAAATTAAAAGATAAAATAACAATAGACCAAGGGCGGATCCAGCTTTGGCGCCAGGAGGGGGTCACATAGTCGTGGTCAAGTCAAGAACTTATAATTTAATTTTGATAACAATAGGTACAAGTAAAAAGTAGGTGATTTATTAATGTACGTAAGTACTGTACATAAAAATATTTCTTCTTTATTGTACTCTTAAAAAAGTTAACACATAATAACTTGTCCATATACACGTACATATTGCCATCTTCACTTGAAGACATCCAGAGAAGCACTATCACCCACAGAATGAGGCAGCCTATTTATATTCCATAACCGTGGTGAATGATTTGTCATAACAGCTAGAGGTATGTCGAGGGGTATGACGCAAAATTGAAGCGGTGGTACGACAAGGGTTTCCAACAAACAAAATAGAAACAGACAAAATACATATATTAAAATAACAAAATCAATTTATCTTTTACGTCTTCTCCCGAAACGCGTTATTACGTCATTTACGTCAATGGGTACGATTTTATTAACGTGAAGAAGTGCCAGTCCGCTTAGGCGATCTTCAACCATTGAAGATCTTAGCCACGATTTAATTCTGCGCAACGTAGAGAAAGGATTTTCTGCTGTCGCTACACTGACAGGTAGTGTAGCCATAATACATAAAAATGTTCTTACATTAGGATACATATCGATGTCACAGTTTAAAATAAGATCAGAAATCGATTATGGTATGTCCTGGCTCCGCTACCACGCCTGGCCACTTTACAATCCGTCCACTTAAGTCCTAGAACCAGCTTAATCAAGTTTAAGGTTTTTGTTTCGACTGGTTACGGCAGGAATTTTTAAGTTTTGGTTTATTTTTGTTTGGTTTAGGGGTTTTTTAATGCATGATAATGAAACGGTACCCCGCCTGCATTACGGTGGCGGGGCACCAGTGAGGTGAGAATGAAAACCCTTAGCTCTTCAATATTAATATACCTGGAATTCAGCACGATGGTCTCTAGGGGGGACCACGTGGAGGCCGACCTGACAGAGTATGTTGCTAGTAATAGGACTGTTTTTTTAAATGGGTGAAATTCGATTGGCAACCCCGCCCACACTATCGGTATACATCGACATAGCATCAGTAGAATATGATAGGTGAGAATGAATGCTGGTCAGTTGGCCTAACATGATGAATTCGACGAGAATTAACCATGATGGTTTCCAGGGGGAACCGCGTGGAGGTCGCCCTGAGAGGGAATATTGCTAGCAATGGTGCTATTAGACCTCATTACTATCAATCCCTTTCCCCCCAGTAATAGGACTGTTAGTTTACATTACTAACAATCCCTTTGGTGTAGAGTTTACTTATTTGTTAGTTTAATTTTAATTTTATGGCTATTAAAACTGCTATTTATTTTTGTTAAGGAAAAACTGCTAACTGCCATTTCAAATCTATAGATATATAAACACGTAAATCTATATTTTAAATATTTGCGATATAGAGTATCTACAAAACTTCTCATATGTCGAATAGGTATCCACAAAAAGTACGAGCAATCAAAATAACGGTGCAATACATAGTTGTTATCCATTAATCTTATGGTGTCTGGTAATTTGATATTCGTGTTTGTTATTATTATTTTCGAATTCACTGTTTCCAGGAATAATTAATATTTAATAATAAAACATAGTTGCATATCGTCTTACTTTTGTAATAAACAAGTACAAGTTGTTTTATAAGTAGGTTAGTGCACTTTATTCTTTCTGGGTAAAGAATATTTCTCGTAGGACAATTAATATTTAGAAATAATTGAATTTAAAACTTATTTCGTGCGTTTACATAGATATTTTAATTTGTAACAGGCAGTTTTTCTTTGTAAAGAAAAATGCCCATTTCATTCAATTGCTACAAAATTAGAAAAGGAGTATTATGGATTTAGAATTAACAACATAATCACCCAAATTAACCAATTTGTAATTGCAATAATGCCATTACCAAATTCACCCATAGGGGTGCAAAATTTAAAGCAAAATAATTAGGTATTAATTCTTACTTTGTACAGTCAAATTTAGAAATTTAGCTATTACAATCTAATCATAGTGTGAAAATTAAAAATCCCAATTATTCCTGTCTCCATGATAGAATAGAACTATGTAATCTTTATTTAAATAGACTTGTTTACGAGCTCTTTTAAATTGTCAATTTTTTATGATTCTACTGCTGGGTTCGGGATGTTTTTATCTGCTGAAAGGAACTTGCAAGAAACTAAGTTACTCTTTTTAAATTATTATGTATAAAATAATTTTACATTTGCATGAGTGACTGTAATTAGTATTAGATTAGGTATAAAGTGGTAATTTATTATAGATTTTTGGGGCCATATTCAATGTAAGTTTATTTGAAAGAGCAATATATGAAAGTGGATTACAAAGTTTGTCTTTAGATCTGGTGCTATTATATTTACGAAACATGTCTATATTATTTTTTGATAAATATAGCAGTTTTGTATATATATACACAAACATGGCACTTAATATTTTTAATGGTTTAGAATAATGCTTACAACTATCTCTTTGATTTAGTTTGCATATGCTTCTTATGCATTTCTATTGTGTTTTAAAAACAGGCTATTAGTTGAGATCTTCTAGAAACCTGCACCATATTTTAATGTTAATGCAACAATTTGATATGCTGTCAATAGTTGGGTTTAGGGTTTTGTTGATATAAATTTTCCAATTAAAGTCAGCGTGTAATGTGATGCCTAAGAATTTTGTGGAATATGAAAAAGTTTAGTTTATTATTACAAGAAATAAGCATTATTTCTATATATTAGCTAAAATATTGTTTATACTAGTCTGAAGAGATGGAATATTTTTATTTAAAAATATAGTGGTAACATCATCTATAAATGGTTATAATATTTTATTATTGTATCAACTGTTAACTGTCCACTGTTGAACATAGATCTTTCCCATAAAGTTTTGCCAGTAATTGCCACGCTTGGCAAGCGGGTTGGCAATTGAATTTAGGCTTTGGTGATATTTTAAGAAAGACGCTGCTGTCCATTCCTCGACCATTAAGTTCCTATAATCGCCTCTAACGGCAAAATTTGTGAAATTTGTGCCATTCTAAAATTTACAGCATTAGAAAACCCATTATTGATATACATCAAAAACAGTTTATCAAAAATAAAGTATCACTGTATGACATATTTTGTAGGCTTGATTTTATTAATAAGTTTCCTATGAATACATGGAATACATTTCATAATAGACCTGTTGAGTTATAATTGAACATTTTATTGTATTAATTATGCACAAAAAATATTTGAACCATTTTTCTAACTTTTGTTTTAGGTTTAAAATGGCTGTAAAGAAACATGAACTTGTTCATGATAATCGTAACCAACTAGATCTGACAGCGCTGGCGCAATACATACAGTTGATGAATGATCAACCATCTTACCTACCTCCGCCTAATGAACTTGTCAAAAATTGTCAAGATATTGTCAAGTGTCTTGGTAAGCTTCATATTATAAACTTTCATTCAGCTTTAAGAAAAAGTATTTTCTATTTTCTTTAGCATGTTTGTGGTTAAGATTTGATTTATTGAAAAAAAGGGTACACTGAATTATTTAACCTTTATATTAAAATAAGATTAATTTTTATTTAAGTAAACCTATGAGCATTTTTGTATAGTAATTATTTTATGATTGTACCCAGCATTGGTTTTAATTGTTTTCTTAAAGTTTGTTCAGTTTATAAAATTACATTTTGAATTTTCAACTTATATTTGGTATATATTTAATGGTAAAAATATTTTTTAGCACGTGCTTCTGGCAATGAAGACCAACTATGGAATTTGCTGCAATCTGTTGAAGTGTACCTACACCGTATTGTGAACAGTGTTCATCGTAGTGTCCGACATGAAATTGTTACGGCCATCCTTGACAAATTTTATTCTTTCATTTCTGATCCTCGTAAGTATTTTTATGTTTAAAAATAAATTGTAAATAGAATTATTTAAAATTGACCTTTAAGTAATATTTTCATTGAATGGTTACTCTGCAAACAATGATTTCTTATTGTAGTATGTACTCTGTCCATATTTGGACATGACTATGATATTATAATAATATTGGGCTTGTACAGATGAAAGATAATCTGTGGTGTGTACTTTTTGTCTAACAAAATAGAACATATACAATCGTTTAAGTTGTCTATTTTGTTGGAATAGATTAATTTACCACATGACATAAAAAGAATTTTGTCTTCTGCATATGAATTTTTTCTTATAAATAACTTGAATAAGACCATAAAATAGTGATAATAAATAACTATAAAACTTGGTAGTAAGCTGTGATGATGCACTCATGCATGAATTTCGTTTATATAGAATCCGATGCGTGTCCTGCCACATCAGTTGTGTTGATTGTCTTGGATGGATCAAATAGTGAAGCGACTTTATCCGCTGCGCGTTGGTTAGTTCAGCAAGGGCAGAATGGGCCTGCTGGTGCTGGACTCAGGGCATCTTTATCATGCTTGTATCGCTGGATGTATGAATGGCATGGCACTCCGGCTTTAGGAGACTGGGTGCTGGCTTATATCAAGGCTTTAGAGGTATGCCACCCTATTTTTGTGGATCTTTTTTAATTAATTTATTCAATGTAATAAATGTTGTTTAATTCTAAGTTTAAGGTGGATCAAACAAAGTCACATAATCTCAATTATAAAATAGGATTTTTATGGTCTTTGCATGCTATATTTATTTCCCTTAAGCCTAAGGAGAGATTTATGCCTCACTCTGCGTGTTCTAGCGCTTGCACAACGGAATTGTTCAATATGATGTCCATGGCCACTTTCTACTATCGTACGGCTCGTTATTTGCGGGGAGTTCATCCTCATACCTTACAGCCTAGATGGTTATGTACAACGCGGTTTTAGAGATGTTTTCTTCCATGAACACTCAGCTTATGGAATGAGCTCCCTGCCGAGGTTTATCCAAGAAACTATAGCATGGGGTTCTTCAAAAGGGGGGTAAAGATGTTTTTTAAGGTCTGCAACGCACGCGTAATACCCCTGGTATTGCAGACGTTCATATGCTGCGGTAACCGCTTACCATCAGGTGGGCCGTACGCCTGTTTGCCACCTCAGTGGTATAAAAAAAATAATTATAATGTTATCAAGTTGCCTTCGATAATTAAGTTATATTTAACTTATGTTGTACTTGCACAACATAGATTTGGATCTTAGATTATAAAGTGTATTGGCTATATAAAAGAGAGAAAATAAAAGCAATCAATATGAATCAATACATATAATAAAATCATAACTGGTTGCTGTCTGTATATGGAAGATATATAAGAAAAACTATTATAAAAATATAATATAATAAATATAATATATAAGAAAAACGGCTTAACCGATTTTAATGCGGTTTTCACTAATACGTTGCGCTTTGTTCCACTTAATATTTAGTGTTTGATTTATTTCAAATAATTTATAAATAAAAAAGTTATATAAATCTAAAGAATCACATAAAAAATACTATAAAATAACTGATTAGTTGAATTGGCTGAAACTTTTTTTATTATTTGTATTGATTGTCGAAAATTCTGTCTACTCATCCGAAGCTAGGACGGATTGCTAGTTTATTATATAAATTACAACAAATAATTAAAAATAATTTTTGAATTATCACCACCACAGATGCAAAAAAAAAAAAATTATATCATCGTTAATCTATTGTAATAAAAGTTTTTCATTTTAATCTTATTACGACCCATTCATAATACATGGCTGAGCAAAGACTTCTACATTACGATTAAAGTAATATTTTTACTCTATATCGTCAATACTTATATAAAAAGTAAGTAAATATTTGGATACTTTCTTGATATATGTTATTTTTTTTTTGTTGACAAGAATGTTTCCCAATTCGACTATACCTTTTATATTATACAACATCTTTGCTAATTGTGAGCCGATTTTGGTAAGTCTTTTATTAATATAATGGGGTATAGTTCTGTATCTGTCGTATTATTTGTGTTTCAGTTTTAAGGTTGTCGGATTAAAAAAAAAATCTATGTTAATCCTTGCTATTTTTTTCAAACAAGCTGACGACCCTTTTAATTGAAAGTGGTAACCATCGTCTGTAGATATGAACAGTACCATGCCCATAATACTAATTTGCCCGTGATACCTTTTACATGACATAACAAACATAAGAAAATACAAACAAATGAAGAATTTCCTCCTATTTTTGAAGTCGGTTAAAAATACACATATGTATAATATCATATATTGTATAAAGTCCATAAAGATATTTGGTTCCTAAAAATATAATAATTTTACAACGGAATTATTACAATATATATGCGTATACTGCATACACTTTATTTCATGTATATTTAACTTAAATTATAATTACCTTTCATAATTACTATTTATTAAATAAAAATAAAAGTTTTGAGTTTCAATTTACAATCGTATACAAAATCGGTAATCGCGGTCGGTTTTGTAATTGCAATACCAGTCTGTTAGTATATATATATATATATATATATATATATAGTACGTTATACTAAGTCAAGGGTTTGAACATACATTTGTGGGTTCAGTAATAAATTAAATATATCTAATTGAAATTATATATCAAAAGGTAAGGGATATAGAAGTAAATTAATGAGTGTATTATTATTCATTCTAGTGCTCATATATGTTACATGCATTTTTTCGTAGTATTAACTCTGTAATCTATTATCTCTATTAATATGATATCTATCATATGATGAAATAGAAATTATATATAGATATATTTATGGAGAGCCATAGCTCTGAATGCTATGCTCGGAGTTTCTTTGCATGACAGAATCCGAAATGAGGATATCTGCAAGAGAACCAAAGGCACCGAAATAGCCCGAAGGATAAGCAAGCTGAAGTGGCAATGGACTGGTCACATAGCTCGAAGGACTTTTTTTTATTGCATGAAAATGGAGTGGTAACCCCGCCTGCGCTAATGGGATACGTTGGCGGGGCACCAGTGAAGGGTGATCGATGAGGATGAAAACAGGCCAGTTAGCCCATAATGATGAATTCATCAGGAATTAATCATGATAGTTTCACCACCACGAGGAGGTCGACCTGGTTGGATATATTGCTAGCAATGGGATTCTTAGTCTCCATTACTAACAATCCCTTCTCCCCCCTAAGCTCGAAGGACTGAAGACCGATGGGAAGGAAAAATGTTTGAGTGGCGACTCCGTACAGGCAAACGCAGTATAGGACGACCTCCTACTAGATGGAATGACGACTTCGAATACATTGTAGGGAGTCGGTGGATGCAGGCGACTCAGGACCGTTCTTTATGGCAGTTTATGAGGGAAGCCTATGTTCAGCAGTGTATGCATAATGGCTGAGACGATGATGAACCCCGTTTCAATTATGTACTAATAAATATTAAATATATTATTAAATAACATTTTATTTCTCTTTATTAGGAAAATGAGCGCTTCGACATTTTAATTGAAGTGTCTGTGGACAACCTGAGTCGATTATTTCTTGCTATGAAAGACCCTATCGGATTACGCCAGTCAGTAGCTGACGTTATGTTCCACATTTTAGCAGCATTACGCGAGTCCACCGAAGCTCTTGACCGGGTGTGTAATTGATTTAATTTAACATATATCTTTTTTAAATTAATGAAATAAAAAAAAATTTAAATTTAAAAATATATAGTTAATAAATAACAGTGTAATTTATATAATTGTATGACGTGTGCAATTGTGAACTTTTATTGTGAATTTTGTGGCTAACCTGTTACACATGTATCTAAAATTGAAGGTTATAATTATAATTTCTGAGTTTTATTTTAAATAATATTTTATTTATTCATGCTAATTATTTAACAATATTTTATTTATAGAAAAGTTAATGTTTACCGAAAACCTTTACAGATTTCTCCACATGTCGGTCATGTATTAGTAAACTTAGCTGCTGATAGTGGTCAGTGGAGTCGTCAGCTCTTGCAGAACGTGGTTGATATTCTTACTGCGACTATCGATCGTCTTCTGGATACGCTCAAAGGGGACGCTTTAGACGTATTTCGTGATAAATACTCTGAAATCGTAAGTACAAATTCTATATTGACATTGAATTTTTTTAATCAAATTGTTTTGTATTGTATTGAAAAATTATTATTCTACATAACTTACATTAGACATAAAAAGATTTAATACACAATGACGGATTTATCCCATAAAGGAATCTCCTCCAGGAAATTTTTAAGGAGCTGTAAGAAAACTATAATATTCAAGGTTAAAAACCGTACAGCTAAAGATAAAATCCAATAATACCTAGTTAAAATTTAATATATAATAAAAAGTGACATTATACTTATGTAAATAATAATAATACCTAAATATAAAAATAACATTAATACACAAATAAAATGTGTTGTATAATTTATCATAGTATATAATGATAATCTGTAAAGATTCCCTATATAGAGTTTATTAAAAAATGGAATTATATATAATATATAAAACACAAAAAAGTCATGTCTTGTAAAATGGCAATTATTTAGAACTCATACTAATTTTAATATTAGGAGGCTTATTATTTTTTGTCTTTGTATGCCTTAAGATGTCCAGTATTACTGCTAGACATTACCTTCAAAAGTTGCTCACAATTATTATATTATATTTAATTGAAAGAATTATATTTAAATCTGTATTACCTTTTTTTAGATTTTGTGTTTGGAACGACACATGGCGTCCCGCGATTGCCGCTACCTGATGCTGCCACCATGGCGTGCTCGCAACGTTTGTCTCACCACTATGAACGCAAGTGCGCCGATGCGTAAGGTTGGCCTGCTGAACCTTGGAAATACATGTTACATGAACAGTGTACTGCAGGCCTTACTTGTTACCAGGCAGTAAGTAACAACAACAACAATAGATACCTATATATAAGTGAAATAAAAGCACAATTTAGTGTAAACGTCTTAAATGTAATTGTAATCTATTTTCTGAGAATTAAGCAGTGCACTCTTTAATGTTATTCTTAATAATTTATATTTAAATATTTTGTAGTAAGTAGTATGCTTTTTTCAATGCGAATTTATTTATTCTTTTTTATGTGTTTGTGTTGCGACATCTTCACCAATTGAGCATCAGTTTTGATGATATTTTCAAACAATAGGATTTTAACTTGCTTAGTCTTATACAAATTTTGTTCTTAAACAGTGCATTAAAAATTTCAGTAGTAATAAAAGATAACATATCTTTTATATAACTCTAGCGTATTAGTTATAAAATACACGCTGACGCCTTAACCGTCGCCTTTAACATCTAGACATGGTAGTCGAAATGGACGTCACAGGATATACTATGCAGTCACCAATTCCATCATATTGCGTTCTACGCATTAGTAATGTGTGTAATAATATTATGTTACGCCATATACATAGAAAAATATGAAATAAAAAATACCTAGGCAAGTTGCATAATTTTTTCTGATAACGAAACATATAAGGCCTTAATATACTCTTCTCACTAATATGGGTAAATTGTATCTAAACGATGTCCTTACATAGAATGTATTTAAGAAAAATTAATATGAGGGGTCTTAAAAAGCTAATGGAGATCAAAACAATATTTTTCAGAAATTATGTCTGTTTGTTCCGGTATCATCCAAAAACTATTATGTCTTCAGAAGGCGAATTAATGTGAATTTTTATGTATTAACAATTATTCATGACTGTTTTATTTGCATTTTTTCTTGGCAATTGCAAAAGCGAAAGAATATCTGTGAATTTTGTTATATCGGCTAAATTTATTAAAATATTCGCTTTGTTCTATTTAGTTAATACCTTTAATTTTTGAAAGCTATTACGTTCATTTCAAAAACTGAATCGATTATTAAATCTTGTTTCTTTTTGCCTATTTATTTCCAATTTGCACCTACATAATTGTCATTATACAGTTTTATTTAAATTTGCACAGCGAATTTTATGTTCTTTGTAATATATTTTTTATGGATCATAAAGTTACGATCCATATGCATATTATATTCATTGAATACAATGCATACAATGCCAAATACAATGCGAAAATTTGTGATTCTAACCTCACCTGCGCTATTCATATAAGCTGGCGATAAATATACTTATTTCTACGCTTTTACATGATGTAGAACAACTTCTGTGCGTTAACAACAATTGAATAAGGGGCTTAATGTTTGTATAAATATTTATATGATATTCTTTCAATCTAAAAGAGTATTAAATAGATTGTTCATTATAATCTTTACCGTCTTTTTTGTTTTTAGACGTGTTATGTAATCTTTTCAGATTCAGCACTCATGTGGTACTGCGGATGAACGCCGTGCCCTACTGGTCGAAGATGGGTATCTTGTTTGCGAAGATGATGCACTCCATCACTACGAAATTGAATCCTGATGAGTTCTTTGCTGTGGTGAAACCACCTTTCTTCACCAGGAACAACCAACACGACAGTTCTGAGTTCCTAGGGTAATATATAAAAACATTATATTGGCATTGACTAAGTGATTTATGGATACAGTTTTTCTTTATGTAATTTTGAATAGCATACAAGCTGATGGCCTAACTGATGAAAATTGGTACTGTCGCCATTATACATGTACATCACAGAGTAAACTGAGACCCCTGTGGTACTCCTTAGGACTACCACAGGCCACTCCTGAAGACTAAAGTATTTTGTCCCTAGATTCTGTAATTTAACTGTCATATCTCATCCTTTAAAACAACCATACAAGCACTGCTGAGTGATCCGAGTATTATTCATGGATTATAATTACAGATACCTGTTCGAGTTGCTTCAGTCGTATGAACATGGATCAGATCGCAACTTCGATTATTCGCGGCCAGCAGGGTTGTCAGGTGTTAACCGAATGCGTGCCATCGTTAATTCAAACAACGCCCAGTCTTCAAACTCCAAGTACTATTTTTGAGTTCTATTTTAATTTTGATCCTATATATGTATACACCTGTAGAATTTTCTATAATCAGGATATAATTCTATCTCTATTGGAGCAAACAATGCATAGTTACAAAATAGGTTAAACAGTTTTACAACTAGTCCGGCCATAAATACTGTTACATAAAATCTTTACTTTCTTCAACTTTTTAATTATTTTGTATTTGGAACACGTTTATTATATTAAAAACTTCTTTTGATTTCGCGACATTTCACATAGTTTTTCGTGTTCGTTATCAAATTACAATATAGAATGGGATGTAAAAGAAAATAGGATTGCAGTGATCGCCTTGCACAAAGTTAGTATGGAGCAATCGGTCATTTTCTAGACACTCCAAAAGCTTGGTATCAGACGTATGTCCATGTATCGTACTATCAACAGATACAACAACACTTCCTCTGTCAAAGACAAGATCGGGGCGGCCCCGTCTAATAGCATGCAGCTACAAAGACTGATAATGCTGTTAAAACCAGAATTCGACGAAACCCCATGAGGAAGCAAAAAATCTTATCGCGAGAAATGAAGATACCCGCTAGGACTCTGTGAATGTGAATGTGAAAAAGACTCTATTTTCCGCGCTTAGCCTCTCATTTGGGCCATTGTGCGTATGAGTCGTGGCTAGTACAGCCAACCTAGCTCCGCCCAGAAGTGGAGAAGCTTTCTGGGTTCTTCACAGACCTCACGGAGCGACCTCACCATTCCGAGGATTTCTAAACGTTGATGGGCCACAACTTTACATTCCAGGATTACGTGAGCAGCCGTTTCTTCGGCGTCGAAACAGCTTCGACATAGGGGGCTGTATGTGGCTGCTATTGTGTATAAATGTTTGTTTAATGGACAACGGCCCGTTATTGTCCCTATGAATGATTTTGAGGTTTTTTCTATCTAGATGTAATAAACGTTTTGATAGTCGTTGATTCAACGTAGGTATGGCCAATTTTGATTGTCTGCAATCAGTAGCCTGTATCCATCTTTGGTTTTGTATGTCAGCGGATCTTGGACGAATCCATATTTGAAGTTGCGAGAATGGCAGAGGAAGAAGTGGATATGGGCCTACCACCCTCGTTTCTGAGCCTCTTCTAGCTAGTTCGTCTGCGGCATCGTTACCACAAGATCCACTATGCTCTCTTATCCATTGGAGTATAACTCGATTATTGGAAGATATCCTATCCAGTGAATGGTGGCATTCAATTATTAATTTGTTGTTTATCTTGTTGTTTCGTAATGCTTTTAGTACTGCTGTGCTGTCAAATAAGAATCTAATGCTAATACCATTTATTCCTAACTTATGTACAGCTGCAGCAGCCTCAGTTATTGCAACACATTCGCATTGGAATATTGAGCTGTGTACGCCAAGCGGTATGTGCACGTTTCTATTAAGGTCTAAGAAAAATACTCCGGCTCCTGAACCATTCTTAGTTTTGGAGCCATTGGTGTATATGCGTAATTCATGTACACCGGATTGGTCCTTTTCCTCTTCTTTTATTTGTACTTGGTATTTTTTGTTAAATATATAATGATTATGAGTCCTGTCACACGGAGCCGTAATCAAAGGTTCATATTCGATTGTCTGGTTCAGAATAGAAGTGTGGGGACTAGTGATTTTTACCCCATAGATCCAAATGCATTAGTTGGATAGCGGTTGAGGCCGCTTCCTGTTGTATGTGCAGATCTAGGGGTGTTATGTTGAGGGCCAACTCTTTTGCTGTTGTAGGAGCTGTTTTCATGCAGCCGCTGATAGAAGAGCAAATCAGTCTCTAAAAGCTTTTTAGTTTGGCGCCAGTGGTCGATAGTTTTGTCCTCGGCCATCAAACCAGTGCACCATAGACCAACATTGGCCAGAGGGCCTACCATGAAATGTTTTCCGAAATTTCGGATCCGAACGAAACAAAAATTTAATGCTAAAATTACATGATATGTACCGTTTAAAAATATTAAAAATGCTAAAATATCGTTCCTTTGAACTTTTATGGTAAGATTTATGACAAACGAATTGTTAAACTCCATTTACAGGGTCCATTTCGCTACGAATAAAAACAGGAAATTGAGCCCGAAAATTCGGAATTTCATTTCATGGTAGACCTCCTGGTTACAGCTCTGTACAACCATAGAGTTATTTTTGGCGAAAGACCGCATTTGTTTCCTAGCACCTTTTTGCACTGGTAGAATGCAATTGTGCTTTTGTTAAGTTTATAGTCGAGATGTTTATTCCAAAGCAATTTACTGTCTAGTATTATGCCAAGGTACTTGATTTCTTCCTTAAGTTTCAGTTCCATATTGAAGAGTTTTGATAAGGACATGTAACTCTTCTATTTGTGAACATGATTAATTCTGTTTTTGTAGGATTAACTGAGATTTCATGCTGTGCACCATCTCTCAATTATTTCAAAAGGTACTCTCATCCGATCACACAAAGTACTTTCGAAGCTTCCTGTTAAAAGTACAGCTATATCATCCGCATAACCTACTGTGTAGAGGCTGTTATCGTTGAGCTCTATTATGTGCTCATTTACGACTATGTTCCACAATAGTGGTGACAGTACACCACCTTGTGGACAGCCCCTACCGACGATTCCTCGTGTGGTAGTATTTACAGTAAATTGTATAGCTCGTTGTTTAAGCATGTTATGTATCCATTCTCTAAGTGTTATTTCTACTCTATGTGTAGCTAGTGCCCGACTTATACTGGCAAAGTTTGTTTTTTCGAATGCCCCTTCGATGTCTATAAATGCACCTAAGGTTGGCTGCTTCGATTGCAATGCGTTGCCTATTCGAGATACTACGTTATGAAGTGCTGATTCTGTTGACATGCCTTCACTGTAAGCATGTTGGTTAGGATGTAAAGGTTTGCACAAGGAGACTTGACATCTAATCCCTTTCTCACATAGTCTCTCCAAATTTTTCAAAAAGAACGGGGTGAGACTGATGATGAAAAAAGATAATTATTTTATCACGAATATTTCCCTGACATATATAGGTAGTCCTAGTTGTGTTTGGACTCATCTGCTTTATCTTTGTAAGTGTTATAGCCCTAGGTGGTTTCCAGGGTCTGATGATGGAGTCAGAAGATGGCCATAGCAAGTACTGAACTAAATTAGATAACCTAGTCATGTTTGGGATTATTTATCTTCACAATAGTTACAGTATTAGGTGATTTCCAGAATTTGATGGTGAAATCGGAAGGTGGTCATAGTAATTATTGAAGTATATTAGATAACCTAGTCGTATTTGGGCTCATTTGATTTATCTTCACAAATGTTATAGCACTAGGTGTTTTCCAGGGTCTGTTGAAGAAGGCGGAAGGTGTCCATAGCAACTACTGAACTGAATTAGATAACCTAGTCATGTTTGTACTCATCTGCTTTATCTTCACAAATGTTACAGCGCTAGGTGATTTTTAGGATCTGATGATATAGACGAAAGGTGGTAATAGCATTTATTGAAATAAATTGGATAATCTAGTTGTATTTGGGCTCATTTGATTTATCTTCTCAAATGTTACAGCACTAGGCGATTTCTTGAATCTGATAATGGAGTCGAAAGGTGGCTATAGCAACTACTGAACTAAATTAGATGACCTAGTTGTGTTTGCGGTTATTTAAATTTATCTTCGCAAATATTACAGTACTGGTTGATTTCCAGAGTCTGACGATGGTATCGGAATATATATACATATACATATTTATAAATTTAAACTTTTTAAATCTTGGAATATCTATTGATTATTTATCTGATGCTAGTACTTTAAGAAAGACCTTTCTTTATTTGTAGGTGAATAAAATTGACGGTTTTTTACTGCCCATTTTTACGTCCATGCTCAATAAAATAACTGAGATCAAAGTTTAACCATTATATTTTACATTTGATTTTTGTTATATAGTAAGATTTTATTATTTGATTGTTATTGTAATATTTAAATGATTAAGAAGCTTGAATTTGTTAACAGTGATAACGAAAACGGAGATCAAGGCCCAAATCAGCCCCCCGTGTCACCACGACCCAGTAGCAGTGCAGGCGGTGAGTCGTGTTACTTCTTCTTTCGAACATTTTTTTTATTTTTAAGCGGTATCAGAAAGTAGTTTTCAATTCATCTGTATCTTTTTGTGTTTTCTATTATCTTTCATTTTGAACCGATTTTGATCTTTTTACAACACAATAGGGTTTGTGTGATCATATTGATTTTGTCACAATTGAAGGGCTGTTTTTTTTTACGGAATAAAACCTTAATAAAAACGAGGGCAGATAGCAGTAGTCTGTGGCAAATAGATAAGTCCGGTAAAAATAAGTGAAGGTGTAATACTAATATATGAGTTATAACATGTTTGGACAGGTCATTGGTTTGAGAATACATACACAAAATTTCATACTGATATTTGTATTACAATTACTTTATAAGTCGTTCAGATCAGATAAGTCGATCTTTCTCCCTTTAACAGGAAAAAAGTAAATCGAGTGTTAATAAAACATTACTTTTTACACAAGAAACCCATCACGGTAACCACTCCAGAAATAGTCACGAAAATCCACGATATCGTATTGGGAGATCAACGAGTGAAGTTGAGAGAGATAGTTATCTACCTCTCTCAACTACAGTCTATAGTCAACTCTGTCTAGTGTTATCATTGTAAATATCTCATATGAACGAGTTTTCAACACATCACATGATCATTTGCATATGGAAAAGCTTTCGGCATGATAGGTGCTGCGTTTGTGGATAATTGACCAAAAATGTGAAACTCAGATGAGATTTTGCGCGGTTTCATCACTAGATGAAACGTGTTTATTTTTACACACCAGAGACAATTAAAAAAATCTAAGTAGTGGGTGGAAGCCGGTAGCAGTGCTCTGAAGAAGGCCAAGGTGGCTCCATCAGCAGAGAAATTATGGATACGGTTTGCTGGAATGCATAAGATACAATCTTGAGTTCCTCCACCAAGGGAAGACAATAAATGGAGAGTCAAGAAATTAAAACCAAAATGGCTTATCTTGCCAAGAAGAAAAATCTGTTTCATCACGATAATGCTCCTGCTCATTCTTCCGCCATTGCAATGGTTAAGCTGATGGAGTTACGCTACGAAACGCTTATCCATCCACCATATTGTTCTGACTTAGCTCCGAGTGATTTCTCCCTTTTTTCAAACATGAAAAAATGGCTGGGAAAAACGAACATTTGGAACTGATTTGGATATATCTATAAAACTAAGGCGTATTTTGAGGACATTGGAAAAGATTGCTAAAAAGAAGAGATAAAATACTTTAGAATTAACCAAGTGTATAGTTTTAAAAGGAGACTATGTTGAAAAATAAATGACATTCATTCGAGAAAAGTAACTCTTTGTTTAATTTTTATCGGACTTATCTAACTTCGTAATTTTTCGTAATTGTGCCTTTTAATGATTATAAATTATAATACTAACATAAAGACAGTTTTCATTACTTACTGTATTTCTATATATATTATAGACGTAAATAAAAAAAAAAACGTAAGAGACAATATGTAAATATTAAAAAAATACTTAAATTTAGGTTTGGTTGAATCTATAAAACGATATTTATGTTAAAAAATATTATGAAAATGTGCCATTAAACTAAGCATTTTTCTTTATGTATCTATATTCGTTTACAGGATCCAGTTCTAGTGGACAAAAACGCCCATCTTCTGATCCGGAAAGCCACGTTTTGCCTAAGAAACGTATACGTATTGAGTCCGCATTTTTGCGGCGTGATTCATTCATCGACAGCATGTTCGGTGGCGTACTGCTGACGCGAGTTGAGTGTACCGAATGCCATTCGTCGTCTCTCTCCCGTGACGTGTTCCGTGATCTTCAACTTGCTTTTCCTGAGAAACCAGAGGGATGGCAGCACAATGTGCAGAATCTTCTAGAGTACTACTGCTCTAAAGAACGCCTCAATGGGGATAACCAATACGAATGCCGCGATTGTGGAGGTCTACGGGACGCCGAACGTAGCGTTCTTATTGAAACAACGCCCAAGTATCTTATTCTCGTACTCAAGAATTTTAAGTAAGTACACCCCTTTAATTATAACATTGTAATGGTATGTATAAGGTAATGAATTATCGATCAAGATTTATTTATTTTTTTGTATTCTCAGATTCGACCCAAAGCTGCAAGTGCAAACTAAATTGTTGCATTCAATGTACCATAATCATACGGTGACATTGCCTACGGTACGTTCCCAGGCAGACCACTCAGCGTATGCGTTGTATGCAGCTGTTATTCATACCGGGACCACGCTTGACTCCGGACACTATTACACGGTGGCTAAGGATAATGACCAGTGGCATATGTACAACGATGATATAGTTTCTGTCACTAATGAGTCTGAACTAAATGGTTTGAATCGAGCAAGTACCCCATACATATTATTCTATAGACGTACTGATATTGAGGAAGGAACTGCTCCCTCACTGGAGGAGCTACCACCGAGGCTCCAGGAGAGTGTGATGGCCCACAACAAGCATTACGTTGAGACTATCAAGAAGAGGCGATTGACACGCCCATGACAATTAAGATCGGACAAATACATCGATTTCACGGTGTTGGATTATGTCGACTCCAAGTAAAGATCTTGCCTATATTTTTATTATAAAGTGACACAAATTGATTAAATTTATGTATTTGCTATTTTTTTTTTGTTATTTTTTATTAGAGCACATCTCTCGAAAATATATATAAATTAATTTAATATTCATAAATGGCCATTGAGTTCTTAATGTTTTAAAAACCTTTATATATATATATATCTTACCGTGTTATTTCATATACTATATTACATATATTGCGTCTAATCATCAAATCAAATTTAAAATGACGTAATTAAGATAGATATACATAGTTTCAACAAGATTGATTTATATTGATGCAATGATATGAAATTTAATTTTAAAAAGTATTTGCTATAAACGTGATAAGTACAGAAAGTAGTAATATGGATGCAATTTAAAAGTAAGCTATTACACTAGCTAGCTGGTTTGAAAGTCTACATATATTTATCGAGACTAGCAAGTCCGAATGCGATGGGATTTTCTTGTTTTATTACAATTTGCTATAGACCATTTCAAGTCTTTTATCAAGTAACATATGTTTGCAAACTTTTAGCTCAATTAATATTGTTTCAATATAAAAGTAAGCTTTTACACTAGCTAGTTGCTTTGAAAGTCTTCATAAATTTATCGAGAATAGCACGCCCAAACGCAACGTGGTTTTCCTGTTTTATTACTAAGTTCCTATAAACTATATCAAGTACTTTATCAAGTAACATATGTTTCTACACTTTTAGCTCAATTAATAGTGTTACAATTTAAAAGTAAGCTTTTACACTAGCTAGCTAGTTTGAAAGTCACCATAAATTAATCGAGAGTAGCAAGCCCAAACACGATCTAGTTGTAATGTTTTATTGCAAATTTCCTAGACCATTCAAGTCTTTTATCATGTAACATATGTTTGCAAACTTATAGCTCAATTAATATTGTTTCAGTTTAAAAATAAGCTTTTAACACTAGCTATCTAGTTTGAAAGTCTTCATAAATTTATAGAGACTAGCAAGTCCGAACGCATGGCGTTTTCTTATTTTATTACAAAGTTCCTATAGACCATTTCAACTCTTTTATCAAGTGTTACTTGATTGTTTGCAAACTTTTAGTTCAATTGAACGTAAAGAAGAACGGAAAGTAGGTTAATTTTAATTTGTAATATTTGATTATATCTATTAGAACTGTGGAAGCTTAATAAAAGCATAACCGTTCTAAATATTATTGGTAACTATACAATAATATTTTAAGATCATTGCCTCTTTCTTATTACTACAATATATTTTAATAAATGCGAACCACTTTTCCATCTTTAGACGTCTAACCGCATTAATTTGGAACTAGTTTGAAAAGTTATTACTCATCGTGCTTGAGGTTTTGAAAATTTAATTTCCTTGCTTATATATTTATGTATGGGACCGTTATATATCAAGAAATAATTGATCAAGTCGGATATAGGCACAAAAGCAAGACAACTGTGCTTTATAGCAAGGTCGTGTTTGTAATTGCACATAATATCTTTACTATAATATATATTATTAGTATAAATGTGAATATTTCCGTGTAAAATGGATACTACTGAACCGATTTGAAGGAAATTTGACAGAGTGTAAAATTTAGGAATGAATATAACCAGTAATGTACTAGTTTAAGTAATTAATTTTTATTGTTTTAAATAGTATATTGGGATTTATTCATTCTTTTTTTATATACAGTTCTTTGCAAAAAGGTCACTTTTCATTTTCTTCAATTAATTGAAATAAAAGCGTAGGGAAATAAATTTTTACAATAAAATGAAATAAATATTCCAATACATTACAAATAAAATATTATTGCTTTAAAAATTAAATTAATAATCAATCAATATAGTAAATTAATTAATAAAGAGAAGTACTTAGAGTAAAGCTTAAAATACGTGATTTTTTGCTGGAAAAAAGTGTACGATATTTTAATAGGTTAATACAGTAACATAATTGTGTTCTTGGAAAATCATAGACTAAGAACACAAAATCTATTTTTAGTTTATTTTTGTATATCTCAAATTTAATGTTGTAATGAAATTTAACTGCTCGATTTTTATACAAAAGGGTTTATACAAATCAAAAAAAATTTAATCCAATGTCTGTTACATATTAAGAATGCAGTGTAACATAATAGATATTATTTATTTATTTATGTATATTCATCATACCATTTATTATTGTTATGTATAGCATAATAGATGCTTAGTGAACAAAAACGTACAGTAATATTACATCTTTCAATTTGTGTCACTTTTAAAAATTTAAATCATCATCCATAATCCGTATTAACATGATCAGAATATGTTCGGATTTACACAGACCGATACTCGGGCGCAATGTGTTCATGGCCATTTTATGAAAAATATATGTTTAAGAAATATAAACTATCATTAAGGTCATGTAACCATTAGCTGTGTACTCTGAAGCTAATTCGTAGGGGTGGGTTTATTCAGTCCGAACATACTCTGAACATGTTAAAATAACATCATTATAACAACACAAATACCGTAGAAATATATTACAGTTTCTAGTATTTGCCACTGTACGATCACTAAATGTTTTGGGAATGGTTTAAGCAAGCCTAATTCTCTTTGCAATGTAGGTGCTCGATTTAATGAAGACTGTCCATTTAGTAACACTGGAAACAAAATGGCTCTGACCATTTCACTGTTTGTTGGAAAATAAATGGATAACTTAATTAAAAAATATTCAGTAAGTCGTTCGTTGTCATTATATTTAGATAAATATGTAGTAGTACCTTATTCAAAATGGATATCATACAATCTCTATAATTGTTTCAACATTATCTATGTGTCAACCAATAATCGTTATTCTAAGATGTAAAGTTCACCATTTGTCTTGGACACTTGTATTGAATTTTATTTATGCATAATAATATCTTGGCGGTTATTATTATACATAAACTTATATAGCGACCTTTGTAAGCGTACATGAGAGATATATATGAGAGAGACATACAATCTAATCGAGTGTAACTTCCTAGTAACGAAGTCACGTTTGTACGTAACTTTAATTAAGACCACAGTTATTTAACAAAATTAAGGCACTTATTTAATTCGTATACATAAGGAGTATGTTCCTTTTGTATCGCAGTACTTGGCATATCGTTTATGGTAATAAAAGTCATCGGTAATGATGTTAATACTGTAAGATTTTTAACTGCGTTTATCTATGCATAAAAACTTGTGATCTCCAGCTAATGTAATTGGAACATATGACTCCCAAAAGAGAAATATCTTTTTTGGGAATCAGCAAAATTTTTGTATTATACTGTTGATTTTGCAAGTACTTGACGATAAAGTATCGGCACATGATTGTATGTGTGGTGCTCGGATATATATATATATATATATAAATATATATATATATATATATATATATATATACAGAGAACTTATCCATATATATATATATATATATATATATACACACAGAGAACTTATCCATATATATATATATATATATATATATATATATATATATATATATATATATATATAGTCTATTCGAGCCAAATATGACGCATAAAACTCCTCATCTGTTGCTGAACTCGGGTACGCTTACAACAGTCCCACTAATGTAAATAACAGTGATCTCGTAGAGATCTTTTCAATACTTTGCCGAAACTTTCTTTGGCGTTTACTTATATTAATAGAATGTTATTTACACCCAGTTTTAATACATTGCAAGTGTGCTGAGAACTAGCTGACATTTTGCACTATATACTTAAGGTACATTGAAATTCATTTATTTTTCAAATATAGCAGACCTGAATGGTACTAAATCACTTATATATTTTGTGTTTCGTGAAATATTGTTAATATTATCTCAGTGATTACTTTTTTTTTTGTAGAAAATGAATTTATATTATTATACAATTTTATTTATTTTTAATGTGCTGCAAATGTGTATTTCAAAATGTTCACTATTTCTTAGTTTAAATAATTATATAGCTGTAACGGAAAATGTATTACAAGTTAAAACCCAATGATAGTGTTCAACTATAAACAGTAAGGAACTTTCCCCAAATAGTTAAAAATTAAAATTTTGAATATTTCATACTAAATGATCACGTGAACACGCGAGTTGTACGAAGATTTCTTGGTATAAATTTCTGGAATACTATCGTTGAGTTTCTGATCGTTATACCATCCCCTTTATACTTTAATTGTAGTTGTCAAATTTTTGTTATTTAAAATAATGTTCAGACAAAGTGTTGAGCAAATTGTAATTTAAAATTGTAAATTATTGGTAAGTTTAAGATATAAATGCGGGTGGTTATAAACTATACCCTAATAGTTATCGTTTTATTTTTTATCAATTTGGACATGCAATATATACTAATAATTTGGCAATAATTATTTTTTCCCCTAGTAAAATTGGGATGCACACAAATGCGGATAATTTTTTTATTCACATATTTTTTATGTTTATGATTCATGTTTGAGAGTTGAGACATGAATAATGGATACATAATTTATTAAAATTGTTTTTAAAAATTTATTAATGAGAAATATAAATATGCTACGTCATTAATATATACGATCAGTGAAGATTTGTATAAGAATGTAACATACTTGTATTGCATATGCATGAATGCATCTACGAGCCAACTTTTAAAACTATTTCACATACTCGGAATATTCGTCGACGGTCTGCAAAGTGGGAGTAAAATAGCGTTCGGATTGCAGTTTATTTCGAGCCAGTTGCATCGGTGACTTCGCCCGTGTTGTATTTGAAATGAATTAGTATTAAGTATGTATTTACGTTTTTCTTTTACTATTTACCTTCTTCTAATTTCTTACTCATTCACCGAAATTATATGCAGTTTATTTTCTAATTGTAAATTCCAGTTTCGTGACGGTTCAGCAGTTAAAGCGGCAAGAAATAAACAGATAAACCTCGTTACACATTTATGGTGTACTAGTTTTTACTAGTTTAGTCTAGTTAATAGTATTTCTCTGTCATAAATACTACGTATATTTACGAGTACGTGTACAAAACAAATGAGTGTGTGACGTAAAGTGTGTTATCTAAATTTTTATTGTTATAATAAAATATGAATATTATTATTTACTTTTCAACACTATTATTTTTCAGCCGTTTGGCTATCACGTTTACCGTTTTGAGTCTTTTAACAAATATCTAACCGAATTCCTTTTACATACGCTTTGCAAATTGTCTACGCTGTGTAACGTATACACAAGTCGTAGTCTGAGATAAATAAAGCTTTTTATTAAAATGTTAAGGTCTTTAACACGAACTTGTATCTTTAATTTCTAGAGCCTATAATACCAGTTGGCTTATTATCAATCGATCAAATACAACGAGGATACAGTATCTTCAGAAACGTTTATATCTTTAATCTGCTTTGTAAATTGTAAACTATTTTTGTTATTCGTTACATTCCATTTAAGATTTTTTATAATTGTAATAATTTTTATTTCGTCGGTTAGAAAAGTGAGATATGACAGTGAATTTACAGGGTACAAAGGCAAAATATCTTTGTCCTCAGGAATGGCAATGTATGGGAGGTATCATGGGAGAAACAGTATACTCTGTTATGTCCATGGTACTATTCATGTCTATAGGTGACGGTAACCACTTAACATCAGGTGGGTCTTTAGTTTGTTTGCCATTCTAAGTTACATAAAAACAAACCTTATTAAGCGACTTTAAAAAAAAGGGAGGATAAGACGAAATTATCTATTTCTATGAAACATCTTGTCGTTTATCAATGTGTTGTGCATTTTCATAATTAAAAATGTTATTATTATTGAGCAATATCTACTTGTTGACAGAGTATTTTAGGTATTGTCAAACAGCAAATTCATGAAAGTAATTCATCAATATTAGTGTATTAGTTATTACTCCAGTCGTGCTCGAGGTATTTTTTAATTTAGTATCCAAATTCTTTGTAAACCATTGGTGGATTTGCTTAGCTTAATTTTTATGTTCTTGATGTGAAGTATTAACCAAGTATTAAAAAAAAAAAAAAAACTTGCCATCTCCCAATAATATATCATGCAATCAGTATAGTTAGTACATATCATCGTGCGAGTAACGCCCTCAAGTTTTAGCGTACATTTCAGACAAATTGTCTGAAGCCCATAACAAGTAATAATTATTTTCAATAAATTTTCAAAATTCTGTCGTTTGCAATTCTCAAAAGAATCCATTTTTGTAAAGTAACATCTGTTTTAAAATTTGACACTGGCTTACACTGTATCTTCTGTTTGTATTTGATCGATGGGGTGGTTATACTAACTACTGAATTTGCCATAATACACCAGGGTGGAAAAAAGGCTGGATAGTTATAAAAGATTATTTGTCTTTTTTTCCACCCTGTACACATACCTAAGGATTAAATAATTTTTTTCTTAGTTTTACACGGATTTACATATGGCTCTTGTTCAGTATTCATTCATATCATTCATACTGACTCATTCACGCACTCTTTTTGCCTGCGTACATGTGACTAGAAACATCACAGTTTCTTCATAATGTTTTTAAAAATATCAAATAGTGATCAAAACCAGTGCCGTTTTACTAAAACAGTTCACCCAAACCTGCAAGTCTTAGAAACTAGAAAATATCAAATATGTTGCTAGTTCTTATAACTTGTAGGATTGGATGAACTGTTTTAATGATATAAGTACTAGATTTAATCACTATTTGTTCTTAATATTTTAGTTTATTTCTTATTGTCATTTTCCCATAAAGTTTTGCATAATAATATAAACAATATGGAATTAAATTATAAAAGTATAAAATTTTAATCTTTTTTTTGATAATATGCAATAAATATAATCATATATAACAACGTCATCACAATAATTTAAATTTGTATATTTATCTTTACTTAAATATATCACTATTTAATATGTTTAAAGAAATTACAAAGGTACTGTGATGTTTCTAGTCACACGTACGCAAGCAGAGAGACGGCGTGAATGTTATGAATGATTACTGAACAGCTCTCATAAAAACAAAATATAAAATTACAAATTCATTTAATGTATATTATAATAATAATATCTATTTAAATTGTTATAAATGTGTTTGATAGGTGCTGAATGGTAATTTTCCAGAATTACTACTAATAAGAATAGTTTGTCTAGATAAGTTGATCACATTGAATTTCATTCAACCGAACATTCTATATAAGAATGAATGTACTTTAAAAAAAAAAAAAAACGTTCTGATATTTTATTGCTTTTAAAAACATAATTATAACACGTATTTTTTACTAGTAGAAGAATAATTTCTAATATATTTCTCTATCGAGACAATCTGTCTTTTATCTATGCATGTTACTATATCTACAGTATTTTTATTAGTAGTAATGTAAATAAAATTTTTGGAAAATGTCTTGTTGAACAAATGGTAAGGTGCGAGTAATGAATAGTCGTTTGCGTTCGAATTCTGGGACGTGCAATCGTTCATTTGTTGAGTTTACTTTGATTATATATTGTACATGTAGTGCACGTACCGGAATTCAGGTAATTAAGAGGGCGTATGGTGTAAGACTGTCACCATTTTACCTGTCAAATTTCAAAGAAAATTACAAATTACATATTTCTAAATGAATTTAATTGTAGTTTAAAAGTAATGCATGTTTTTATTATTGATCGTAAAACTACTAAAAACTGCGCCACTAATAGTATTATATATTAATTTTGTTGAGTTTATTTCAATTATGTTTTGTATATGTAGCGCACTTACCAGAATTAAGGGCGCATAGTGTAAGATTGTCATTATTTAATTTGTCAACTTTCAAAGAAAATTACAAATATTTCTGATTGAATTTAATAAATGAAATTTAAAAGTATGTGATGTTTTTATTATTCATCGAAAAACTACTAAAAACTGCGACACTAAAAGTATTATATATTTATTTCATATTCAATTTTTTAAGTTTCATAAGAGTATCATATATAGTTTATAGTAATCGTATTAATTATATGTATTATTTTGTGATTTACATAAGAGGTATTTTTTTAAATAAACACTTATAATTATTTAATGTTTAAGGTTTGACAGGTAATAAATGGATGTTGGAAATCTTATGGGAAGCGGCCTCTTAAGTGATTTAGGTTCGATGGCGAACTCGTCATCCGTCACATTGGTCAGAAATATTGATTTTCAAATTAAACGTGTATATCTAAGATGAATATTTTTGAAAAATGTGTAAAATGAAGATGGGTCCTGAATCGTGAGAAGCAAACGAATGTATTTTTGATAATATATGTTAAATTTACTATTGCAATAAACTGTATGTAATAGAGTATTTCAATATGAATTATGTAACATTTTGCAATATGTATGCCTATAAAAGTTGTAATATATTTTATTGACTACACCCCTTGCTTGTAAAATCACTAACTGTCCATTGAAAATTCTTTACATATTAATAGCAATTGAATATACTTATTTAGCGTTTAAAGTAAGGGGATAGATAGATTAAAAATAGGATTTACTGTATTTATCATGAATGCTCATTAATACCGTTATTTTTGGTATATTAATATAATACTTTGTGGACAGATTATTGATGGGTATTATTGTATTAAAGTATATTTGTGCAGTAAGACAAGTTGCATCCCGCAATTTCGTCTGCATAAAAAATGTGGGCGCTAAGTGTTTCTTTAAAATTTGTGATCTCGCTTCTTATCCAGTCGGGATAAGGATATACATTACAACATCCTGTTGGTACACCGTGATATAAAGTATTTTATGTTATAAAACAAACTTATTATCAATATTAATAGTAACTGATACAAGGAAATCAATTTATCCAGTTTAACTTATAGTCACAGTATTTAAATATTAATGTCGTAGATTCAGTATTTAAAAAGCTATTTTTCAAAAAAAAATAATTCAATGGGTGTGTTTTTAAAATTAATGAATGTATTCTCAAATTACCAATGAAATAATCCAGTCAGTATAAAATAGTCACGGTTTCTAAAGTTTTTAATTACTCAGTTGGCATATTTCTATTAAAAAAGTATTCTTTGGGTATTTTATTTCAAATATTTCAAAAATATGTGCATAAACCGACAAGTGATATGGAATATTTTATGCTTATACTATGCTTTCTAACATTTTGCTATTGTTTGTATTTTTTAATATTTTGTAACAAAATTATATTTTCTTTTTCATATATTATGATCCTGTTTAAAATTATGTTATAGTTATTATAATTGTTTCACGTTTACCTTTTATGTAAATACATAAAGCATTTAAATATTAAGATCTAGATATTCAGTCATGATTAACAGTTGTATAAGTAGGAATATTATTATTATGTTTGGGGCCTAGTTGAAGCCCTTTATGAATGTGACTTTTTGATTTATGATTTAGAAAAAAAAATAAACAAAATGTAAATCGGTTTTTGGTTAATGAAATAAATCTTTTAAAAATCGTACAATTTTATTATTATAAACCAATAAGCCTTCCACCTAGGTTGTTAAGTTTATCCGAAGCTGCTTTGGTAATTTTTCGAATAATTGTACCGGGCACCTGAAAATAAAAAGGCAATATAAAATCATGAACTATAATGTATGTATGTATTGTATATATTCGTGGGTAAACCCACGAGTATATACAATACATGTACAATACGATACACTCACTATTTGGAATGCAATTCTTTCCTTGCTATAGAATTAATCAATAAATTTACTAGTAACACTGTTACCCCTCGCGTTGCCCGCGTGAATCAGTTTATCTTATCGATATATATATATACCTGTGTCATTCGATTTAATTAATTAATTTTATTTTATTAATTTAATTTTATAAATTTTATAAATTTTATTTTATAAATTTAATTAATTAATTTTATTCATTCGATTTATATTTATTTTAATATTTATACCTGTGTCATTCGATTCGTTCAGCCGTTTGAGTAACAAACATTTGTACAAATTTTCATATATACGTGGGACACAAAGTTTTGCGACATTAAAAAAATGTTCTATAGGTAAATATATTTTTATTACATCTTTTCAAAGTACTCTCCATCAGCCTCTATACAAAGTTTCATGCGTCTGAACCAGTTTTGAAACACTTTTTCCAGTCCATCGCATATACCTCATTTACAGCCTGCTCGAACGCTGAGACCGCATCATCCGGCGATGAAAATTGTATCCCTTCGAACTCATTTCTTATTTTTGGGAATAAGAATAAGTCACACGGTGCTAGGTCAGGGCTGTAAGGAGGGTGACCTAGGAGTTTGACCGGTGTGTTGTCTAGGAAACACAACAGAGAAAAATGCCACGCATTTGGTAGTATACCATTCGGTGTTAATGTTTCTTTGCTTTCGTAAAGGAATTGACACGAAGTAGCCAGTCAAATTAAAAAAAGCTCGCGGAAAAATATTTTCGTCCCGCTTCTAGGTCGCTTTACTTTGGTAAGCGTTGATTCGTTTTGAAACACCCAATCCGTCGACTGACGATTTGTTTCTGGATCGTATTGATGAATTCAGAATTCATCACCTGTAACGATGTCGTAAACACGCCGAGACGAGCCTGATTCAAATTTGTCTATCATATCACCATTCCACCCTTGCCTGCTTCTGAACATCGGTGAGGTTGTGCGGCACCCAGCGTGAAACTATCCTCCGCACCCGTAGATGCACGTGTAGAATCTCGTGAAGGCTTCCTGATCCAATCTGCAGTATATGCTGAATCTCTTGGTATGTAACTCGTCTATTGTCTTGGATCAATTTTATCACTGCTAGCACGTTTTCTTCCGTAATAGCCGTCAAAGGCCGACCACTTCTTTCTTCAAGTAATAATAAAATTATTTAAAAGAGCAACACGCAAGTTTCTTGCTCGTTCTTCTTGTGATGAGACAGCTTTCCGAACGAGCGGTAGATTAAAAAAAAAAAATTAATGACTATTCAAAAGTGCTTCAATGTAAGTTTATTTGAATAAATGATTTTCTATTCTATTCTTCATCCCCCAAAATTAGTTGAGCGCTCTTAAATTCATTATACCGTTGCCTTAGAAGGGCCTTCATCCATGAATGCCATTTTGAAGTCTATCGTACGATTCGTCCGGTTTCAGGCGACACTTAATAGCGTAAAAAATCATAGCGCGAAAATGTTCTCGACGCAAATCCATTTTTTAATGAGACGTAGTAGTTTTAATTAGCTCGCAAAAAATGTGGAGGGAAGTTTTGAATTTCAAACGTACCTATTTTTACTTTAATCATATTTTTAAATATAGAATGTTAATTGCCAAATTACTAACTTTTAATTTTGACAAGATTGTGATTCATAATTAGAATTAAATTATAATCGTTGTACAAAAAGGCAACACATTAATTTATTAAATTAAAAAAAAAATTATAACCTTTACAATAAGCAACTATTTACTTAATAATTAAAACTAGTATTTTCTCACCTCTATAATCGAGTTAACAAAATTAGAGACACCTTCAGCACCTTTGACTATCGCTCGGCCAGTTCCGTAGAATTTGTCTCCTGTATTACCATATTTTTCTTCTTCCTCAATTGTATCTACTAATGGTTTAGGCTGTAGATGCAAATTATAACAATTTACTAATGAAATAATTGTAAATTATTCTGACAAGGTTTTATTACATTTATCACTAGGTATATAATAATGGATAATACAATTTAAGTGAATATCTAAAACTAACCTTTATTTTTGATTCAACAGAGAATTTAAAATTAATTTCTTTATTTTAAATATTTTACGCTCACATGAAGATTGAATTAATTATTAGTTTTTACGATTTTCATTAATTTATAGAAGTTTTAGCAGTTTCATAGATGAATCAATATTACTGTTACTGTTTAAAAACAACAGTATCCGTTTACCATCATTCGTACCGAATGCTTGTTTTTTTTTTTACTCATATTAGTTATTGGTCTTACTTGTTTTAAATCTATTTTAAATAATAGCTAAAATGTATCTTTAAATATAGATAATATAGTTTCTAATAGATATAATGAGTGTTATTTTTAGGTGTGTTAGTTTAAACGCAATAAAAACATTTAAATAATTTACTTGTAATATTCCAGCCACTATATGCTGCAGATTTTCCTTTACGGACAGCGTTTTGCTACCCAAACCTTCCGTTTCTAACAAGGCACCTTCTAGAGTCGTGATCGGCGGAGCAAACCAACCATCTGCTCCTTGAATATTTAGAGATCCTGCCTGTAAATTTCAAACATTTGAAAATGACGATTTAAAAGTAAAAGGAAATAATTTTCTTTTTTCTTTTTATTTTGAAAGAATTGCACTTTTCAGATGATCTCACGTGTACTAATATCAATATCTCATGGCAACCATCGCTCGCCATTGACAGGGAATTCATCTTTACACGCTTGAGCCTAAATGGTCATGTAAAGTGCGGTTTTAGAGAAATTTTCTCCTATGAACGCTCAGGCTTTGAAATGAGCTCCCTGCTGACTGCAGTATGGGGTACTTCAAAAACCGTATATTAAGGTTTCTTTAGGGTCGGCAACGCGCACATGACACCCCTGGTGTTACAGGCGTCTATAGGTTACAGTGACCGTTTATCATCAGACGGGCTGTATGCTTGTTTGCCATTTTTGTACAAAAGTCGATTGCTTGGGTACCTCTGTCCCATTCGTGTTTCAACCGTAAAGCAGCTGTGTTTGCATGGCTGTGTTTCGGTTTGAAGGGTGGGATATGGCGTGAATTTACTGGTTATAGAGGAATAACACTCGAGTCCTCAGGAATGGCAACGCATGGGGGGTATCATGGGTAAAACAGTATACTCTGCTATGTCCATGGTACTGCTCATGTCTATAGGTGACGGTTACCACTTTCCATCAGGTGGGCCGTCAGCTTGTTTGCCATTCTATTTTGTATATATAAAAAAAAAAAAACAAAATAATTAATCTCAACATTTTTTTTTTGCTGTGAAATAGACATTTTTCATTTTAATGTCTTGTAACAACTAACTAACTTGTCGGTAACAACTAAATAAAACTGCAATAACCTTAGCGGTGTTTACACCAGAGTTTATTCTGTGCGAAAGGAGTTCTGATAAAGAAGTATCGCTGCTGATGGCGCCTTGTTGATTGGTGTAAATATTGGAACTTTCTTGTGGCTGGTCGTAGACTGGAAGGTCGACGCGGATAGGTTCGTCTGCCGGGGCTGATAAACAACCGACTACTGACAAGACTACCACAAGCAAGGCGTAAGACATTCTGCAAAGGAAATTGTTGTTTGATACTTACAACTGGTACATACATATAGATTTGCTTTTGCTTTTGTACTTTGAAAGGAGAAAAGAAACTTTATTTTGTACAAATACATGACAGCACCCACACAATGGTTACAAAATAGTTAAACCAATAATAATAATAATAATAAAAAAAAACTACTGTAGCAGTCTAGCAAGAATGTGTGTGTGTGTGTGTGTGCGTTGCAACATTTGTCAAAACGAGGTTCGTGCTCAGCATGTCACTGTAGTGTCAGAAACGCTATAGTTAGGGCTGCCGACTCTCGAAAGGACCAATCCGGGAGAATTTTATATTTAAGAATTTTATCGAGGGGAAGGGGGATTAATTAAAGAAAATCATTAATTAATTTTTAAATTTATATATTTTTTGTTTTCCAGCTGCATTTATTGTTTGTCGGTTTTTCGCCACAAAATCATAAAAGTGTAAAACTTGAAAAATCGAAGTTTTGTACTTGTAACTTTGTTTTTATTGAAGAAATACTCATTCGGTTTCTTTCCTTATTCTATACTTGCTCCATCATACTGAATACGTACTCGCATGAAGCATTAGAGACCACAATGCGAGTAAGTAGCGACGAGCGAGCGAAGAATGCATTTAATTTTTAGAAAAATCGTAGAAATTGTTGCACTCTGGGAGGTCGGGAGGATAACCATTATTATTGGAGTCTCTCGGGCAATCTGGGAGGGTAGGCAACCCTAGCAACAGCGCTGATTTCCTGCACGAGCCTCAACAGCCCATCGAGTCCTAATTAATAAGAATAAATTTAGATGGATGATTTTAACTGATGCAGTGGTGTGCTTGAAGTGTTTTGTGTACCAATTACAGAAAAATAAAATATTTAAATATAATAAATTTGTAGTTTGTATATATTAAATAACAAAATATGGCCTTGCTAATGATAGGCGTTCTAACTGCACGTAAAGAATAACAATAATAACAAAAAGAAAAACAAAACAGGTATTATTCGCATAGACTCTAAATATCGTGCATCATACGAATATATCAGTGCAATGGCTGGCTCATATTGTCAAATCATCCCCATACTCAACCGAGGATCACAAAAACTAGGTAAGTACCAAGGTAGGTAAGCAGTAAGTAGAGTGAATTATAGTTACATACTTTAAAATATTTGTATGTACAAAGGATATTGTATGTTTACAAAGTTATCTAAAATAGCTATTTCGTTCATTATATCTTTATCGTTACTAATAAGTTTGTTTATTTATTTTTTACTTTCCACTTGGCATGAAATTGAGTGCTTATTTATATTAAAATCATGAAATATGATAGGTCGGTTGGTATCTATATGTGCCTATCCTGGTCATGCAGACGAAGTCGCGGAAAAATTATCCATAAATTACGGTAGGAAGAATTAGAGCTCATATACAAGCACGTAAATAATAAGTTAAAATTAGCATCGATTAGATCTATTAATGATTGTTTTCCTTCCATTTTATAATAACATCTAGGGAAATAATTAAAATAAAGATAATAGGTACTTAGTAAATCAATGTACGGTACTTAATAAATTAGTGTTCTTTTGTAACCACTGTAACAACCTATTTATTCATAGATAAAAATCTATCAATATCTTTGATATAACCAAATTTTCCTTTGTCACGAAAAATAATAAACTGTCAATATACTAGAACTGATGCTGTCGGTCTTGTCATCTGCAGGTTAAAATATTTACAATCAATTATTATTATTTGCAATTAAATAACAATATGGATATGCCAGAGGTGAATAAATTATTTGGGATATTTCCTCTTAAATATGGAAGTTATTTGATCTCTTTATTTGGCTTGGGTTCTGGTGGTGTCGGAATAGCGGGAATAATTTTATATGGAATAGCGGAGAACATTATAATGGCCATTTTTTGTGGACATACTTCTATAGATGAAGGTATAAAGAAAACTGTATTGATGTCTATTGGCCTGACGTCTCTCCTTATGTTGGTCGCGAACGCACTTTTGTTTCTCGGTGTGACCTTTACAATACCTGGCTGCGTAAATTCTGCGGTGCGCGTCATGTTAGCAATGTGCGTTTTAATAATGCTTGGAGCAATAATTTTGCCTGTCTCATGTTTCTTTTTGTCGAGTATGTGTCTTGTTAAAAAAATTTCCTCAGTTGTTATGGTTTTGGTTGTATTAACTGTTACTATTTTTCTTGAGTTATGGTTGTACTTTATGGTTGTAGCTTGGAATTTTGAGCAAACGTTGTAGTGATGGTTTTTGTAAAGATGTTATTAAATATATGTGGTTTTACTGAATTTTATAAGAAGGCGACATAATGAAATCGACGCGCAACTTTTGTATTCTTTCTGTATTTATTATATTCAATTATAACTAGAGCTTTTAAGTTTTTCTATTACATCACATCGACCCTAGATTTTTATTTCCGAAGTACTTAAATTTATACTATTAAAATTTTGAATGGATATATGAATATGAAAAATCTTGTCCGCAGCTTCGTAAGCGTGGGCTTTGCAAGTAGAAAAACTGAATAGTCTTTGATGACGTAGGTAAATTATATACCAAATTTTAAATTTGATCTTTAAGAATACAAATGTATTTAATTGGTGTTAGTTTTTGCGTGATGTTGAAACACTGATAGACAAATTATGAAAAATATTATAAAAAATATTGTTATGGCTTCCTTATTGTCATACACATTTTTTTATCATCAATCAATATATAAAGCATTGTGTTTAGGTAGGAAATTCAATAATTTCATTAAAATCAGTTCAGCCGTTTAAGTGTGAATAAGTAAGAAGCATCCAAACATCTGTACAAACTTTCACACTTATACTATTCGTAAAATGTACAGACATCGTCTAGTTACAATGTCATTATATGTATATAGGTTATAGAAATTTTAGAAAATTGATGACTAAAAAATATCAGTATCTTCATATAATACTTCATATAAACTCGGAAGAGAAGTAACTATCTATAGCAATTGTTTTATAAAATATGTGCCTTCAGTTGTAGATGAAGTAGTCACAGGAATTTGTTAATTAACATTGTGGTAAATGTAGGTACAGTAATTAGCCCTTGTTACGAGTATAAAGTTGTTTCAAAGAAATAACTATGTCCAAATAAATTCGCAATAAATAAATAAATATGTAATATTTGTTATATCTATTAAGTATTTATGTAGATTAGAATTGTTGTTAATTTCGCATGAGCACTTAGAAAAATTCGTACAAGAAAATAATAAGTAGGTATAATAAGTAAAGTTAACTACAAACATAAGTTAATTATTAGTTACTCAATACATAAAACGTACTTAGTTACTGTACTCGTAAACTATTATCATATATATTCTTCAAATTATAATAGATACGGTTACAGTAAATAGAATCCAAAAAATGCAGACAGAAGACAATAAAAAAGTAAATATAAATTAACTTTAGGGTTTATTTAAAGGCCAAAAATCTAATTAATTTTATAAATAAAAAAATTATATTTTTAGTTCGGTAGTTTTCATAACAGTCCAGATAAGGTTTATATGGGAAAAAAATAGAAATTTAGTTAGGACCAAAGTTAGGACGTCTGTCACCTAACAAATACATAATAACTATTAAGTAATCATAGTTAAAATCAAATATTACGTAAAAGATATGTATATACTTACATAAAAGATATCACTTACTGCTTTTATATTTAACTAAGTTTTATTAAATAATTAATTACGAGCATATTTATAGTGAACTCAGTTATTTTGCATCGCTACTTACTTGTGATCCTTCTTCAAGACACGAGTATGATGCACATAAGCCACCCGACCACTGCTGACTCTAACACCTCGCGGTAACTCGCACTTTCACATTACGTCACAACTCACAACCTTGCTACTCACCAAACGTGGTAAACTCGCGGGCACAATGGATTCGTTGATCATTAACAAACATTAAAAAATTGGCATCCAGTTACGTGTGTGAAGATAATAAATATATAGATATTAAACGTGGTAAGTATATAGGTATGTTATTATTATTATTTAGATAGGTATTTATTTAGATAGATAGTTCTCTCCGTTCATGACATAGATACAAAATGCTAGTCAGGTAATAATATCATATTACCTAAATTGGTTACATTATAATATGATATTATTAGCGGAAATTATTAAATGACCTGTTATTCAGAATTCGAGAATTGCGAAATGCAATTAATAACATTAATTAGCTGTGATTATTTGTTTAGAACGAGGCATTTCCGAATTTGAATATAGATTATTTGGGGGGAAAGGGATTGTTAGTAATGGACACTGAGAATCCCATTGCTAGCAATATACCTAACCAGGTCGACCTCCTCGCGGTTCCCTCTGGAAACTATCATGGTTAATTCCTGATGAATTCATCATGATGGGCTAACTGGTCTGTTTTAATTGTCATCTATCACCCTTCACTGGTGCTACGCCAGCGTATCCCGTTAGCACAGGCGGGATTACTATACCATTTTCACCCATAAAAAAAAAAAAATAGATTATTTGGTGAATTTACATTATTATGTATCTTTTTTTTTCTGGATGATGATGGAATAGTAACCCCGCCTGTACTATCGGTATTCGCTATGATATATGAAAGGTGAGGATGAAAGCAGGTCAGTTAATCCTTCGTGACAAATTCCATAATAATTAACCACGATGGTTTCCAGGGGGAATCGCGGTGAAGTCGACCTGATAAGGCATATTTCTAGTAATACCTTCATATATGCATACTTCTTCCACCCAATATTCTGTACCTAGGTACTTTAGTATAAACAATAGTTTAGTATAAACCAACTTACCAAGGTACTTCAACTATAGTTGTAGTATCATAATTGAGGATTGTTAGTAATGGGAACGTTAGTCTTTGTCTCATTGCTATCAATACCCTAAGCTCATATACCCTAAGCTCGACTTTTAAACAATCTTCCTTGGAAACGATCACGGTTAATGCCTAATGAATTTCCCACGTAGAACAAACTGACCTGGCTTCTTCCTTATCGTTTCATAGTCCGCTGATACCCTGTATACTAGTTAGTAGATCTCCTGTGTTTTCGTTCGCGTGGATGATATCGCATTATATTTCCCATTATATGATGTTGACATCCTTTAGGGAACTTTATAGTAAATATAATTATTAAATACACAAAGCTATGCCTTGTAATTTGCTTGACCCGTTTTGATATAATATACAGCACGATTTAAGTTAGGCTACACCAATTATAAAATGTTTTTGAAATTCTTTCGGTATCTTATCGTGATGACAAGAGAGAGTATTAACTCAAAATGTAACTGAATAGGGTTTCATTGATTATTTATCATCTTCCTTGCTAATTATTGTGAAAAATTAGATCATTAGATATTAATTTATTCTCCTCTATTATTAAAAAAAATCTAAACAGTTTATTTTGTATGTAGAAAGAGCGCAGATTCTATCACAGTATAAGTAATAGTATTAAAATAGTACTATCCCTAATCTATGCTTTTATTATATTCACTTGCAGCGTTTCCAGAGTTTGTAATTTTTATTGCAAAAGGTAAAACATAATCTTTTCGCGAAATTTTGAAGTAAAGAAATTCTTAGAAAATTTGAGTAATTTTTTAACAGTTTTTGTATTAGTTTATAATTGTATACATACTCGTACAATAAAATTTTGTAAAGAAGGCAGCAAAATAGAGGGCAAGAGAAGTTAAACGTAGGCGACGACTGTATTTTTTCTGTTCGTCATTCACTTTGTGGTTGTTTAGAAAAACGTAGTGAAAATTCAACACTAGTTTGTGATTTGGTAAGAGAGACAGAAATCGTATCAATTTCAAGAAACAAAATTTGATATTTGAGTAAAAATAAAAAATAGCATGTGACAATCATCTGGCTAAATTAATGAATTGTTAGGTACAGTGCCAATTCATTAGTTATTATTAACTGTTTAAATAATATATTGATAAAATTGCAGTGTTTTTTTCAACTTTGACATTAGCAAAATCATCAGAATCCCAATGGAGCTATATTTAAAAACAAAACATGAAAATGTTTTACTTATAATAAACTATACAGGGAATTTTAAAAATCTTATGCAATTAATCGTATGTATGTAGGTACGTACATAGGTATATCTATAATCATTAGCGGATAGTCCATGAACCAAGTTCTATGGGAGCATACATGACCTATTGGCCGCCAATGTATTGTTTCTCTCGTGTAAAGATAATTAACATCTCAATTATCAAACGTCTTTACCTAATTACAATATACCGCTAAGTTGGTTCGGTACTTAGTTTTTTTATCTGGAATTGTATGGTCCGGAGGTTGATAAGACGCGTAGGTATATAGGAATTAATACATACTATAATATCCACTGACTGACATGATAATGATGATAATAATGTCTACTGCTATGTGGTCCCGGTATAGAATGAGCCACCTCTTCCTTTACCGTGAATGCCGTAAGAGACAACTAATGGTCGGTGGATGGGCAGCAGCGTCCCTATTAAAACATAACTAAAAACTAACTGCCAACCCGCCTGTTCTGCGTGGTAACTACTGGCAAAATTTCCCTTATGGGGAAGGCTTATGTTCAGCAGTGGACTGTTAACGGCTGAAATAATAATTTATTATCATCATCATATCAGGCTTTAACTTACTACTGCTGAACATAAGCCTCCTTTTTAGCGGTTGCCACGCTTGCCAGGCGAATTGATAATCTGCAGGTAGGGTTTGGAGATGTTTTGAGAGGGACGCCCCTGCCTATCCCTCGACCATTAAGTATTATTGCCATTACCAGAGGGAGACTTTGTACAAAACTCGTTTGCTTAGGTACCTTTGTATCATTCGTGATTCAACCGTAAAGCAGTCGTGTTTGCATGGCTGTGTTTCGGTTTGAAGGGGGGATATGGCGTGAATTTACTGGGTACAGAGGAATAACACCTGAGTCCTCAGGAATGGCAACGCATGGGGGTATCATGAGCGAAACAGTATACTCTGTTGTCTATGGTACTGCTCATGTTTATAGGCGACGGTTACCACTTTTCATCAGGTGAGCCGTTAGCTTGTTTGCCATTCTAAGTTGTATAAAAAAAATTATAGTCACCTCTTTTTATATATTAAGTTTACATTGTCGTTCACGCATCATCACAAACATAATGACATCGATTGCTTAATTTACACGTAGTTCTAAACATTAACTATAAAGTAGATTTTGAAATAACATCTTATGTAATCAATGAGGAATCATAAAATATGTGACTGACGACGACGGTCTTAGTAAGGACGGACTTCTTATTCTCTAGGTTTTCACTAAGTATATACTTTTATTTACTTTGTATGTACGTAAATATTGTCGCCGTTTCTACCCAGAATCAATAGTACCGGTGATTACCCCGAACATCCAAACTTACAAATTTTACCTCTATATAATATTGGTATAGATAAGTATTTTAAATTTTAAAACTTTTTTCTTTCCTAGTTATCTATCTAAACTATAACTATATTTGTATTTCGAACAGTCATTTGGTGACAATTTAAATTATAACTGACAAATTTTAAATCACAAATACAGTACAATAATACAGTAGATTTAATCTAATGGAATATGTAATCTGTTGTAGAAACGAACAATTTATTGCCATATATGAATAGGTTCTTGTAAAAAAGTACACGAAATGAATTTTTTAAATCAGAGTTACTTAGCCCGGTATGGTCGACTGGCTTTTTGGACTACACCATGCTGCAAGGACATTAAGTCAACAAATTTGAAAAATAGTAAAGAAAATGGACTTCAACTCTGTAAATGTAATACACTAGGAAAGGTACACACCAAATTATGTACGGGAAATCTATGTTTAATGTCTGGATTGACTTTGTGGATGCAAGTTCGTACTTGGGTCCAGTATCAGAAAGATTGTCCTCGACTCCATCGAGATGTAGAATTTCCAAATTTTGATGCATACAGGAAAGACGATTACATTGACGCCAGGAAAACAGGTTGGGGTTCGGGCGATAGTAAACCAGGATTTACATATGTCGTAGGTTTCTTTGGCTTTCTTTGTGGAACTTACGCAGTGAAGTCAGAAGTTTTTCATTTTGTATCATATATGGCGGCAGCAGCAGATGTACTGGCGTCAGCAAGTATCGAAGTAGATATATCAAAAGTGGCCCCAGGAGCGTGTGTGTCATACAAGTGGAGGGGTAAGCCTCTATTTATCAAGCATCGAACACAGGCTGATATTGATTTCGAAGCCAATACCCCTCTGTCTTCTCTACGGGATCCAGAAACTCCTGAGCAACGCACAGTAAATCCAGAATGGCTTGTTGTCATAGGCATTTGTACACACTTAGGATGTGTTCCTATTCCAAATTCAGGGGATTGGGCTGGAGGATTCTACTGCCCTTGCCACGGTAGTCATTACGATAATGTGGGTAGGGCTCGAAAAGGCCCAGCACCCCTTAATTTAGAAGTGCCACCTTATAAATTTATGAGTAATACCCTTATAATGGTAGGCTAATATTACATTTTTGTTCTTATACACATTATGTATCCTTTCCTAAAAATAAATAATATTGTTAATATTTATTGTATGTTTAATTAAAGCTAGTTCCTAGAGGTAAGATTTTGGTAAGGCAAAATATTTTTTTTTGCATGGATGTTATTACATATCTTTCTATTGGTAAAAAAATTATAAACTTTATAATAATATTTTTAAAAAAAAAAAACGAATCGCTTTTGCTAAAATTAGTTTCTGTAAGCAAAATTAATAAATGTTTATTTAGATGGCAGATTATTTTTCTAGTGGGAATGCACCACAGCCATATAATTATCCTTATATTACAAAGTAAGTACAGTATACTAAGTCTATGTAATAAACGATTCTTAGTTTTGACGCCGTGCAAGGCGCGCTCAATCACTTCTTCGTAGGCAGTTTTCGTATGCTTGGTGTGTTGTCCTTACGCAACTGATTCCGCGCGTCGTGGTAGGATTTTAATACGTATGTTAGATCCCTGTTTTTTGGTATTTCATAGTATTTCACTGTAAAATATTATAATTTTTTTAAATTATGACATAGATTACAATAGTAAAAAAAACAGGAAAATAAAAATTGAAATTTTCCGGAAAGAATTTCCACTGGTTTTCAGTTTACTTATAATCTTTGAATTGTTTTAGAATTCGCCAACCTGTCCCTTATACCCTGTATAGGTCGCAGAAGAAAACGAACCGGAAATGGTACATTATATCGTAAAAACTTTTTTTTAATAGGTGATAATGAAATGGCAACTGCCGGCGCTACTGGTATACGCTGGCGGGGCACCAGTGAAGGGTGATAGATGACAGCGTGAAAAGAAGGGATGACCTATTCTACGCTGGGACCATACGGCAATTTTTTTTAGCTTTTCAAATATCGCGCTCAAACTTATAATTAATACGCTATGTACCCACTATTACAAGCATTCCGTCACCTGTATTCAATAGCGAGAACAGTATGCCTTAATTATTGTATCGCAAATCCTAAATATATCCTGCTTAGAATTCTATACGTATATTTGCGCCCTGCTAAGTAACTAACCAGTAAAAAGAAGCTTATTGATCATTCAATCAATTCTTGACGTATAATTTTGACAGTTCTGTAATGTCGAAGTGACAATGACAACTAAACCAGTTAAGTCAAATATTTCGGATTTCTTAGAGTTAAATTGACTCGATGACAACGTTTGTTCGGTTTTTCTCTTTTTCTTATAGTTTTTGTCTTCCACATTTTGAAAGTGGATAATTAATTATATATGGAATGTGTTATTTATTTTGTTAAAAGGATTAAATAATTATGTATTTCATCGTATTAAACATATGCTATTTATATTAATGAATTAATTTCTGTTATTTTTTATATGCTCTAGTGTTTTGTAACAGTGCACTAAATTTTATTATGGTACAATAGCCAAATTGAATATTGAACATATTTTTATAACGATTTCAAAGTGAATATAATCTATTTTAATGTAGATACGAACAATGGGCAAGATAAACAATTCGTTCTTATGGGGCATTATTTTTGCGTCGGCGACGTGGAGTGTGTCTTTGTATCTCTACTGGATATTGAATATGAATGGTAAGTGATTGTTATTTTTTTTCTATATAGTTCAATAAGTCTTCTATTGAATACACAACAATTTAAACTTAGTATTATTCTTTATCATGTAAGTATTGATTTACATATTTATTATTACCTATGTCCACGACTTCGTTCACACATCTGGGGTATATTAATTGCGATAAAAAGTAGTGTATTTCTTTCTCGATGCCAAGTGTTATCTGTATACTAAATTTCATTATGATTTGTTAAGACATACCACCATTACAATTAATATATAAATATGAAATTGGGTTTGTTTGTTACTTTTAACACCTTAACAGCTCAACCAATTATCTTGAAATTTGGTACACATAGTATTTAAGGTTGCAAAAGATATTTGCTATCCCATTCAATGAATATACTCCAGTTACATAGATGAAGTCGTAGGCATAGCTAGTTATGGTTTGGTGTGGTGTTTTATAATATTTCTTTAATTTTTCTATATTATTTCCTTATTATTAGTATATCTCTATCTATTCTATTATAGTCATTTATTTATCTTATTATTATAGCTTTATTTTTCTATACTTTATAGGATTAATTTTGCAATATTATTAAAGTTTTATCATTACATTTTATCTAAAATTGGTTATTATTTGTTTCCAAGATTCATGAATACAAAGTTGCGGACAAATGTTAATTATATAAATATAGATAAATTGTATAAATATGCATCAGACAAACAACTTTTGTACAAAGTCTCCCTTGTACAAAAGTTGTTTGCTTGGACACCTCTGTTTTTTGTTTTTATTTAATGGATGATAATGAAATGGTTATCCCACCCATGCTATTGGTGTACACTGGCGGGCCACCAGTGAGGGATGATAGGTGAGGATGAAAGCAGGTCAGTTAGTCCATCCTGACGAAACTCCATTAGACTTAATCATGATGGTTTACAGGGGGATCCCATGGAGGTCGATCTGATAGGGTGTATTGCTAGCAATGGGTCAGTTAGATCCTATTACTCACAATCTCTTTCCCCCTCCCATTCATGTTTCTATTATAAAGCAGTATTCTTTGCATGGCTGTCTTTTGGTTTGAAGGGTGGGATATGGCAGTGAATTTACAGGGTACAGAGGAATAACACCTGAATGCTCAGGAATGACAACACATGGGAGGTATCAAAGGCAAAATAGTATACTCTGTTATGTCCATGGTTACTGCTCATGTCTATAGGTGATGATTACCACTTTCCATCAAGTGGTCTGTCAGCTTGTTTGTCATTCTAAGTTGCATAAAAAAATAGATAGTTATGTATGTTTTTAAATAATATAATTATTATTATTGTATATTAATATGCTAATTGCCATTTTAGGAGAGAATGTTATAAATAAGACAGAGAATAAAATGCACTATCGCTTAGCAAATACAGATGAAAAAGATAGAATAAAAAACAATGACAAATCTATTGCAGCATTGGAGGGTAAAAATTTACTCTCAGATACTCCGCAGACTAATGACAAATACTCTGGAAATATTTGGAAATATCAACGTAGTGGGTCTAATTACCAGAGAAAGATGATGCTTAAAGAAAAATATGCTAAGCAACTTGGAATGAAATTGTCAGCAAATCCAGATAAAAGTTTGGGTAAGTATAATAATAATAAATAAATAAGGGATTATAAAGAATAAACTAAAGGTGGAGTTTCATACTTAATTATTTCACAGGCCATATAAAAATTCAAAAAATGTCCAAATGTGGTTTATTTTTAGTGTCTATGAAGTACTTTAATTTTTTTTATTATTATTTAGAGGTTTATTAACTCTCTAAAACACTTTAATTATAGGCTTTATAAAATGGTTGAGAAAGGCATAACTTTCAAAGAATGAAAAAATACTTAAATATAATTTTCATGAATCAAGATGATTATACTATTCTATTGGATTGCGCAGGTTATGCAAAACTGCTTTAATTATTAGTAGTTCACACAAGATTTTTAAATATTTGAATATTGGTCTGACAATATTAATACACAATTCCACTGGGGCATACTAGTGCTTGACAACATTGTTCGACATGGCCCATTTGAAAAGACATAGATTTATAGCTTAGTTTTCAAAGTGTTAAAGGATTTTTTAAATTGTTAGTCATACAGGTTATTTATATTTTTTTACATAATTTAAACAGTAAAAAGATTCTAAGTATATGGGATCATGAATAATATAATCAACTCATATTATATATATATTTTTAAATTTATGTAACTATTCTTTTTAATTTAATTTCATTCAATAAATTACCTTTTGACAGACTGATATAATTTTTATTTGGTCATGACTTAGCCTTCTTCTGGTTTATTGTACTTATTTTTATTTCTATTCATACATTTTATTATGATTTAATTTAAGGAACTTAAGAGATGTATTTTCTGTTGATATTTCGTTCAGTTTCAGTTCTTTTTATTATTTTGTTCTCATTTTTCTTTTATATTGTTTTAATTTTGAATCACAAGTAATGATTAAAATAATGACTGTGACTAGTTTCTCTCAGTTTAACCCATAAGAGATCTGGAGTGAAGATGAACATATAGTATAACGGTAAGTAAATGCTCATTGCTCAGACAACTACAGAGTTGGTTTATGCAGTCCTTTCTTATTTTTACTAATAATAACATGCGGAATAAGTTGTGGGTGTTAGTTTTAAATAGTAGTAATTAATTATAATTTATTTTTTTTACAGAATGTCTATATTAAGTAGCCATTTTATGATTTTTTTTATATACATGTTGATTTTTAATAAATTTATATTATTGTAGATGGCCAGGTTGGTTTAATACGTAATGCTGAAGACGTAAGAATGAGAGATAAGGGTTATAATCTGCACGCATTCAATACCCTTATATCACAAAGAATTGGTAATCACAGAGGGTTGCCTGATACTAGGAATAAGTTGTAAGTGCCTTATAGAAATTCTTTATTATCTTTTGATATATATATTTTGATTGTGAATAATGTTTCGATACTTTACTACACTCATGTTGATTAAAATCAGTTTTTTTTTTGGTGATTTATTAAAATTATTAATAAAGGACGAAGTGGAATAACAGATAAATGAACCTTGATATTCGATTTACATCTCTTATGAGAGTACTAATTTGATATCGCTTTCATAACTTTGCAGGTGTAGATTGCAAAAGTTTTCCTCAATACTACCAAAAGCTTCCATTATTATTTGTTTTTACAATGAACATTTTGAAACATTAATGAGATCTGTTCATTCTATATTAGATCGTACAGATCAAAATCATTTGAAAGAAATCATATTAATTGATGACTATAGTGATATAGAAGGCCTACATGATGAAGTACAAAAAGCTGTGAATAAATTAAATAGTAAGATGCGTAAAGATGAAGAAATGCTGGAAACTAATAATATAGATGATAATGTTGTAGTTGATTATATAAATGATGACAATAATGTGGATAAGAAAACTACAGATAAGAATTCTGCGAAATCAAGAGATGGAATGAACATAAGGTTGCTAAGAACTAGTAAAAGAGAGGGACTTATTCGGGCGAGATTGTACGGCGCTGATAATAGTGTAGGTGATGTAAGTAAAGAGTTTACAATTTAAAGATTAGTTATTTATAATAATATATGATTACTTGAACATTATGTGTTTTATGATGCTTTCTTTGTTATTTATTAAAAAGACAAATAAGAAAACACTGTTATGGTTTATAAATATATTATTTAAATTATTCTTTATATAATGGGGTTGTCTACTCCAATATAAGGTGATGTTACTTAATCTTATTTTATGACTGTAGATTTTGTATATAATTCTGAATTAATTTTCAAGATTCTTTCTCAGTAACAAAAGTATACTTCCATATTGGTGTCATAATAATTTTGTCAAGAATTAAGATTTTTATAAAAGAAAAACTAATAGATTATATCATTGATTTCTTTTTTAAATTATTAGGTTTTAGTATTTTTGGATTCCCATATTGAGGTGAATGTGGACTGGCTCCCGCCGCTTTTAGCTCGTCTTGTTGAGGGCGTGGATGGAATGAAGGTGAGGTTCTCATCGAGGGCTGTGGCTCCAGTTATCGACGTCATAAACGCTGATACTTTTGATTATACGGCCAGTCCATTAGTTCGGGGTGGGTTTAATTGGGGTTTGCACTTCAAGTGGGACAATCTACCAAAAGGAACTCTCAAAGGTTAGTTCTAATTGAATATATTTGATTAACAGTGTTACGACTTATAAGTACAATAATTTGTAGGGGCGTTAATAGGTGTTGCCAAATGTAAGTATAATTGTATTTTGTTAGTATACTAGCGTATATACGAAATATGATCTTAGAACATTGTATATTTTCTTTTAATATATATCGTTTCTGAAAAAGATAGTTTTATTCTGTTGTTTTATTATGTAACAGTCTTGTATAAATAGTATACAAGACTGTTACATAATAAAACAAAAACAACAACAAGTAGAATACTACTTGTTTTAAGGTAAATAATTAATGCAACAATAAATATAAAATAATTATATGTTTGTAGCGGATGAAGACTTTGTGAAACCGATAAAATCGCCGACAATGGCCGGTGGATTGTTTGCAATATACCGTGATTACTTCAATTATATTGGGAAGTATGACTCAGGAATGAACGTATGGGGAGGAGAGAACTTGGAGATTTCATTTAGGGTAATTATTATTATATATATTATATAATTATTGACCGATTTTATTTTCTATTTTTATTATTATTGGTATTTTTTTATTTTCATGAACATTTTTTAAATTTTCGCCTATAGTACTTTGGTAATACTTAAAATGAATTCTTAACGGCATATCCGCCATGTCTACACTGCGAATAGTTTCGTTCATTTTTTTTTGGCACAATTAGATATTATTATAGGAGCTGAATGAAGTAGTTATATTGTACAGAGGATACGCATAAATTAATGAAATTAGTGTATTATGTACTAAATACTTGGAAATCCGCAGTGCAGATATGCTCTTTTATGTTCAAAGTATTATACATTAACAAATTCCGAAACATATACTTATTTACCCATTTTTTTTAAAATTAATCCTTCTACAAAACTAACAGAGTATGTTATTTTTCAAACTAAAAAAAATACCAAATAAGAAACATTAGATGTACTTTGACAACTAAATGGGTTATTATTGATTAACCCATAAATAACGTTACATCCCTATTTAGGGGTGTAACGTCTATCTTATAAGTCTATAATTTATATTTTTTAGATATGGATGTGTGGCGGCACCTTGGAGTTGATACCGTGTAGTCGTGTGGGACATGTATTCCGTAAGCGACGACCCTACGGTTTAGGCGAGAAGCAAGATTATATGTTGCAAAACTCGATGCGTATGGCTCACGTTTGGATGGATGACTATGTTGTAAGCAAACTTGTTGATCGCACAGAAAATAAAAAAAAATCGATCTTGCCATAAAAAATATTTAAGCTTGTGTTTCACAGAAAAAAAAATCTTTCAGTTGTGGCAAAATCAGTATGCCCACATGTTTAAATTTAAAAACCAAAATACTGAGTCGATTTTGATGAAATTTCTATAGGACCCATCTGTAAGGATATCCTTTCAAATAAAAATATGAATTTTCCAAATGACTAACGAATATACAAACATAAAAAAATACAATCAAATTGTGAACCTTTTTTTTTTAAGTCGATTGAAAAGTAGATGACCGGGATTTGATGGCAAATTATATTGCTTGCTTTATATTGTGTATTTGCAATGCCACGCCTTGAAATTTGTCTTGTTTTCAGAAAAAAGTAATTGAACATAATCCATCGGCGGCACATATAGATGTAGGTGACTTATCAGAGAGAAAGGTTTTACGTGAAAATCTGCATTGTAAATCGTTCAAGTGGTATTTGGACAATGTGTATCCAGAACTGGAGTTAGGTGACGATACAGCCGCCAAGAAGAGAGTGGCAGCACTTAACGATCCAGACAAGAATAAATTCCAACCATGGCATTCTAGGTACGTATTCAGATTCTTTATTTGCATTAAACATGGTTACATTAGATATTCAGTTGTGTACACTTCGAGCTACATTTTTCACCGAAATACTGCTATGCAAAATTTATTAAAATACTATAACCTAGTCATTTTGTACATAATATAGGTATATAAAAAATAAATGATTATCATCAGAGTAAATTAAATGTCCATTATTATTTAGGTAAATTGGATAAAATACAAAATTAACATTCACAATAAAAAGAATATTGTAATTGATAAGTTGTTACCTTAGATTGTTATATATAATATAATACTTATACTACTTATATACATATACTACATATTTCTGGATATGTTTTAATTTATGTAAACGTGAGATATTTTAATTTCAACACAATTCAAACTAGTGTATTAATGTGAAATTTTGATATGTCTAAAGCATAAATAATAATAAAATCCCGTTTCGCGACGTTCGTTTCTATTAATCTTAGGAAACGCTCAGTTGTCTTTGTTCCCATCGTCGCCTTTTATGATATTGCCTGAGAATGGAACGAGCGGATGACAAGTGACATTTTTAATCCGTCACCGTACAGATATGTTAATTTATGTATTTATGACTTAAAATTATATTTGTTATATTTTTAGGAAACGAAATTATACGGACTCCTTTCAAATCCGTTTAAAAAGTACTTCCCTTTGTATACAAAGTGCCAAAGATATTAAGACGAAAGGCAGCGGACTTATACTTTCAAGTTGTATAAGGACTTTAAATCAGGTAATTTTTTTATTGACATTATTAACATAAAGTAAATTACTAATTATATACAAATTTATATAAAAGGTAACGTTGGCGTATTGTTTTATCTGTGATATATATCAAGTACGTATATATGCATGTATTTGGATAAAACTATGCTTTGTGTTTTATTTACACAAGCATGGATGTTATTATTGATGTTAATAATTATTTGTTGCTTTTTTATTTTTACATTATTTTATCTCTTTTACTGTGTATGTCTGTATTATGTGTATGTGTGTGTTATAATTTGTGTGCTGTAAGTAATGCAAATAAATTATCTATCTATTAATTTTATTGCAGATGTGGTTTGAAACATCTCGGAACGAGTTAGTTTTAGGAAGGACGTTATGTTTGGACGCATCCAACAACGTTGCACCATCTCTTGGCAAATGTCACGAATTGGGTGGTTCACAGGAGTGGAAACATAAAGGGACTGTAAGTTAATTTTTTTTTGAGCATAGAATCCTTTGTCACTTATACTGCTTTAAATTCTTGCGTCGTTAATGTTTTGTTAACTATAAAAAACACTTTAAAATGTCTTTAAAATGTTATATTCCAGTTGTAGTAGTATTTATAAATTTTGCTTAGATTTAGATTTGATGGCATTGTATTTATTTAATTAAAATAACATTTAATATTTCAGGCGGGCAGTCCAGTGTATAATACGGCCGCTGGTATGTGCCTCGGGGTCGATCGAGCTTACCGTAATGAACCTTTAATTATGGTGATATGTGACAATCAGCCTACAAACCAGTGGGACTTTGTTAGATCATAATTGGCTACAATTATTAAATAAACGTATTGTTTATAAACACTAAATAAATATATTATGTAGCTAATTAACGTGTAAAGTATTTTTTTCCATGAATTTGACATTGAATGTCATTGATTATTGAGAATTTTTTATAATCGGAAGATATAGGCCCGATATCACAATACTTTATTTACAGTATTTTAGTTAATAGGTATTTCGTACGGCCATCAAACAAATGTATCGTGTAATGTAATTTATTTTTTATGTTAAGCGCTACGTCTCCGACAATTGTGAATCGATTTATTTATAATTATCCCGAATGGAAAAGGTATGTTGGTTTTGTTTAAAAAATGTAATACATAGTGTAAAAAATGTAATACATTATTGTGATCACAGACATGGATTTAGTTAGATGTCGTTATTGTATTTATTTTATGTGCAACTTTTTTTACAGATAAAAAAAAGCCTTAAGCTTAGTTAAATTTTATGCTCCTATACGAAATTTTATCAAGTGTTTAGAGGATTGACGGAAATAGTATTACTGATGGTATTTATGATAAGGTTTGGTGCTTTGGAGTGGGGAATGTTTTATTAACATTGCAATATTTAGAAAATTGTGGTACGTTTACTTTTCATATAGATTTGCGTCCACTATCTGTATTACAAGTCTGTGGTTGTGTCTAATATAATTTGCATAAAAAGACCGGTGATAAATATAACATGTTACCATTGTTGTTATCTGACACAAAATATATGTTTAATAGTGTTTATAAGATTATTAGGTACCTAAAGATTAGAGAGAAATCAATAATAGTAAGTACATCCTGGCGTTAACAAACTAATCCTCTATAAGTTGAACAATTTGAACACTTTTAAGAAATACTATATATTAGTATAAGAAGGGGAAAAGTGACAGAACAGTAAATTTATAGGAATTGTAATTATAATAACTACGATTATAATTTATTCAAACTCGTCAAAATTCACTTTACACTTTATCGTATTACGTCTTTCTTCTTTTTATTTTTATAATTTGAAAATGTTTCGTTTTCAATCGCTAATTCTAAAGAGAAAAATCCGTTTCTTCTTTATTGAATCTATTTTTTCTATAATTAGTATCGTTTTTAAAAAGGAATTGAGGACTTGTAATTTAATGGTTGACAAAAATTACTATTGAGTTGAATTTAACACTTCCTCTTACCTTTTGTGAAATTGTTTAAAACGATATTGTTTATGTCTAAAGAATTATACGCTTATTTCAGTATTTTGGTCACCTGATGTAAGTGTTCTGAAATATAATAGTTATATTTTTAGGAAATTTCAATGTACGAACAATTGTGTTATCTATTATATACATATCATTCTACCACTCTAGAACCACTGAAGGTAAATTGGTAATAACATCTGGAATCTTGTTTTGAATTTCGAGCGCATATTTAATTTTAGGTGGCACCACAGTAAAGTGGAAACTATTCTATTTTTAACTGACATATCAACTTTCTGATAAAATCAATAAACATAGAAACTTAAGTTTATTTTAGAGATATATAAATAAGATGGGTCATCAATTTCATTAGTTAGCATATTTATATATGCCTTTTAGATATAGCTTGCCCATTTTACTAATTTTATTGTTTTTGAGGGAAATTATTACCTTGAAGAATTACTATCTTGTACATAAAAACTAAAACTGTGAACTTTTGTGAACGGTATATAAGTTCGTAATTACAAAAAAATATTTCCATCTCAGAAGAATTGTATTGAAAGTGAGTGTTCGTGAAATCACTTCTCTTTAAAAAGTTTTAGTCATTATACATTTTTAAAATAAGAAAAAATATTTTAAATATTTTAAGTTCCACACGATGAACAAATTGTTGGTTGAAAAGAAATACTAAAGAAATTAAACAGGAATAAAGTTGTGGATACTATTTAGATTAATAATAATTAATAATATATTAGTTTTATAATATCGTAATTTTGAGACTGGAACAAAATCTCACTATGTTATCTTGATTATTGTTGTTGTGCGTACGTCGGTCAAAATAATTAGTTCCATAATTAGATGTTGGTTGTATGTTATTTAGTTAAAGTTTTCTAAAGTATAGGTATGAATATTATTATATATTATTATTATACTCAGAAGAAGTATAAAACACTAAGCGTCTAAATAAAACAAAACAAAAAATTAAATAAAAAACATACAGAACAAATATAAATGCGTAAAAGTAAACGCTATAGGACAAAATTCCATTTAAATGTCGTTACTTTTATTCGTCGTAGGATTTAATGCTTTATTAACTTGGAATCGGCTTAATACCAAGTGCAGTTATAAATATCGGTTTGTACCTTGAGATTTTTTTATATATACCAACCGGCCTAAATCTATGGCAGTTATAAGTTGTAGAAATTATTTATAAATTTATATTCGTACCGTGTAATTTTAACGAATTTTATCCTGCTTTGTCATTCAAATAAAGAATTTTGCTCTAAAGAAAGATATAGAATATATATATGTATGGGAGTGTAGATTATTTGATTAGTTCGAATTTATTTTCATTTAATGGGTATATTTACCTTAGTCTTATTTTTATACCTATTTTTTATATTTTTTGGACGTGGTTGTGAAATAATATGACTATTTCTAAAGACGTGTGTGTTGTTATAACATTCGTCCATATTACTAATTTATACATTTTAGTAACCTTTTTTTGTATAGGCAGTAGTTTACATTAAAGAATTTTGTAGTTGCAGTCACTTATATATAATGTGGAAGGGAAAGGGTTTTTCTATTAGTATTCTAGGGGTTTTATGTGAAATAGACTAGTGGTTTTTCTATTAAAAAATTTCGATTTGCGATCTCTTGTCAAGTTGTTATAGGTTTTAATTTTTTTGATTATTGTAATCTGTGTAATATAATAATATACAATTATATAAACCGATCTTATTTAAATATATATATATATATATATATATATATATAAATACAACTCAGATATAAAATTGACTATGATTTTTTATACAAAATACAAAGAATTTAATGTTAATACTAATGAAGAATTACAAAACGTAAGGAAGTTACGATATTATTTTTTAAATACGAAAGGGATTTGTTTGTATTTTTATAATCTGTGTCATTTTAAGTCAATAATAATAGATTTAAATTTGAAAAAAATAGTCGTCGCATCAAAACAAAGTGATTTCAATTACTCGTTTAATTACCAATTAGGTCAAAACAAAATTCAATATTGAAATATTGAATTTCTTAGGTTTCATATCACGAGTAGATATACGAGTATATGTAATATTATATCTTTGTCACACGTAGTGTAACAAAACGGGTATACCGTTTTGTTATACTAAGTATATACTTTCCGAGTTACTCGGTCGCTTGTTTGATCAATATTTTTATATTGCAATTAAAAAAAAAGAGAGAGATATAATAAAAATACCAGTGGTAAATTTGTACTTTTGTACTTATGTGTTAGTTTGTATTGAATATGGAATCTCATGATGAAATTTGTGAGTTGAATTAACAAAGGTTTCATTTTCAGCACGATTGTATTTGACTGTAACTTTTTTCTTTTTTATGCTACTTATTTATTATATACAACTTAGAATGGCACACAAGTTGACGGCTTATCTGATGAAAAGTGGTAGAACCATGGATATAACAGAGTACACTGTGTCGCCCTTCATATGTGGTAATATATAAAGGGCAACACTGTATACTCTATGCACACACACACAGGAATGGTAATTCCTGAGGACGAAGGTGTTATGTTTTAATGCCCTGATTTTTATTAGTCTTGAAAGTGACCGTACATTTTATTTTTAAATTGTATTTTTTAATTACAATATGTAATATGCTATGCTGTGTATTGTGCTTTTTGTTATAAGAATATATGAAGCCGTCCTATATATGTATTTATTTTAGAAATAATTTATTCCTATTTATATATACTATTTATGTTTTAGTATCTCCCTAAAAGTTTTTATAATAAAAAATATGTTAAAAATGCCCGTATTTAATTTAATAACACAACACCTCGAGTATTAATTAAGTTGCGGGTAAAAGCTAGTATAAAATAAAACACCGATATTTTGATATGTTAATCAACATTTATTTTAACATTTAAAATTACATAAAAAGAAGGCATTCTGCCTTAAAAGTCTTTGATTATTTATTAATTATGTACCTACAGAATTGATTTCATTTATAGAGTGATTAGTGACTTAATAGAAACGTGCATCAAGTGTGAACATGCTATCATCCAATCAATACATCAACTAAATTTTGTGGGACCCCATAGAAATGTATGATAGAGACAATATTATTTAGTTATTAGAGTTACATTTCATCTAAAATATGAAGAAATAATCTGTAGTAATCTTAGGTTTCATTTTGAACAAATATAATGACGAATAGTGTATAAATAGATAGCATATTAAAACTTCATGTTATAGGAGAAATAACTCAATCGATATGTTTTGCATAGGCAATATTCATTTAGTTAAGTGAGAATGTCATTTAATTTATAAATTAACTGCAATATACAAATCAAGTATCTAACATCAAGAACTCAATTATAAATCACACAGCTTTACACTTTCTGAAGTGATTTTTTAATAATAGATAGAATAAAAATATTGAATACTATTCGTAATTTATTTATGTGAGCAAATATCGAATCTAGATTGGAAATATAGAAGTTAAACGCTAAACGAATAACGTACAGGTAATAGTAGAATATTGTCTCCAACGCTTAATTGCTGGCTAGCACTGACCACCTACTGTTTATGAATTAATTTATTAAATAGTTTAGGCTGCGTTTGGTTGGATCTACAACATAAAGTTAGTAGTCAATTCAAAACCAGCACCAACTGCGTTAAACGTTTGAATGAATTTTACATTGGTCCCAACACTTTTCAAAGAGATCTTTTCGTTAGTAGATACAAATAGTATTAATACGTGCATTTTCTTTATTTCAAACATCACATTAAAATGGCTACCATGATCTTATTGCAGTGCTTATGATCTTTTTCTGTTTATTAATGTGCCAGCAGTAAAATTATGGAAAACGGATACGGCCATAATTCAGATAGATCAATTATCATGTAGAGAGAGTGTCTTCTGAGAACGACGAAAAAAAGACGAAACTAAACCTTTTTAAACGGCATTATCTTCGAAAGGTAGGAATTTAATTAATCTTCTCATTGGTGATTTGTTACAAACTGTCATTTTCTTTATTTATAGATATTTATTATGTTATGGTCTTACAAAATATTACAAAGTATAAAACAATTGCGTCAGCAAATAAATGATTGTCTCTAGGACGTTTTTGTCACTACACTCTATCTATATGTATAAATGATCTTTACATAATACATGTAATAAATAACTTTATAACAGGAAAATACTCTGAGACGAAATTTTGACACGAGGTGTAAGAATGATATTTAGTATGATGATATGATGTTATGATAAATGATCGGATACCCTTCTCGGTGTAAGTACACTACTAAGTAAAGTTTCTAATAGCTCTAGAAAAGCGAACAGGCGAAGTTTGTGTAGTATCTCGGTATTAATCATAATATTGTGTACGTACTTATAAATATTGGTCTTGCCAAATTTTACTACTGATATAGATTGGATGTAGGTACCTACCGAGAGAGTACGACCGATTGAACATTATACTATACATATTTAATTATAACAATATTTAAATAACACGGATGAGATACACAATTTAGAAATAAGAAAACATCGGTGAAGTATATTTCAAATTTCGTACTTATCATCGAATCGAAGAAATATACGATGAGTTACGGCCATTAATTATTAAAATATAGATTAATAAATTTGAATGGGAAAAATAACACCGAACATCTAGTACAACATTTGATATCATTAAGTATTAAATTCTCTTCGTCACGTTCAAAAACTGGATCACTCGTATTTGTTTTATTTGCTTTCGAATTGTTTTCTTAATAAATTGTAAAATTATTAATTAGCGAGCGGATGGATGCATGTGGACATTGTTATTTGAATCCAGTTTTTTAACGCTCGATTGACGAATGCAATGTTCGTAGATACGCTTACAAAAATTGTTTACATTCGTTGTACACAACCCACAGTTAAAACTTTCGTGTTTCAATCGACATACGTTTAAAATACAATAATTAATTTTAAATACATTTTAACTCTATAAAATGAAATACATTTTTGCAGGGACTTACTTAACGTTAAAATTTCCTTAGCTTACCTGTTTTCTTTTTAATATTGTTTACAATGTTAATATGTTGAGGATTTGTTCAGAGCTAGAGGTGACAGAGAGGTGCATAACTATGGTTATTGTCCGATCAGCATGTGGAGCTGCAGTGAATTATATGTCAACGGGCCTTAATTTTACAACATCAATTTGTATGCACGATTAAAGTACGGTAATATGTAGGTATATAACGTCCAGCTTAAATATACAATTTAATGTACAAATATACTGTAACATGGACTAGCCGTTTGTTTAACTTTTTGCATAGCAAGTATATCAATTTCTGGCCATAGAACATATTTTGAAAAATGACCACGCTTTTTTCGATTACAGGTCTCAAAAAAGATAGTCAACATTAAATAATATTTTAGTATTCCTATAATAAGCTGTAGACGTTATTGGTATCTATAATTACTGATACTTATTATGAATTATAATTATAACATCACTCAAGTGGCATAAATAATCTTAAATTCCAAACATTCATTTTAATGTACATTGTTTCATTTATGTTAAATATATATTTATATATTATATATATAAATGATAGGTGCTTTGCCTATAATATGATAATTGATACCACACTATCTTCATCTGTAGCTAATTGTACAGGATAAACATAACAAAAAATACAGTAATATTTAATTTTGACATTGCAGGATATTATATCTGAACTGCAACCTTATCTACAAAGTCCAATTGGGCGCCACTGAATATCTTGCAGCCTTTATATTCTACGTACGGTATAATTTTGTACAATACAACTAAACATCATCCTATCATATCTACAAAGTGGTTTACAATAATAATACCGAATAGCATATGAAAAACATAAAGAGTAAGTAGTACCTACTTACTCCACGAGTTAGACTGCAACATATTAAGTTTGTATTACTGTATTCATTATTATGTTTAAAACATATAAATTCTACATATTCACAACTAATTGTCTGTATTGCTTTCTACGAGAATAACACGTATCGTCCGTAAAACTATAAACTAATAATAGTAAACAATTAATTATAACACATAAACACATTTAAAGCATTGTTTATTATAATAAGTGGTTTGCATTGGGAATATTATACCACGAGAACCAGTGCCTAAAATTGTATGTAGTAGGTCGATGTTTTAATTCGTGTTCTCCGATAGATTACGATAGACCGATCCTTACTGAAGATATGCATCTATACACCTCCTCAGTCTTGCCACTAGCTCAAGGTAACATCAAGGGGACACATTAATTACGTTACTCTTAAACTGTTAATTGAAGGAACAGCAAGCACCCCGTTTCATCGAACGCAATTTATAATCTTATTAGTTTTAAGTATTACTGTGACGTCATTAAATGAAGCCTAATGCAGTGGATCGGCTATTTTTCAGTGTAAGGTGCAATTAATGGATTTATTATATAGGTTACGTTTGTAATTTGTGACGACGAAGGTGTGTGCTGTTTGTCGACGATTACGGGGTTAAGTGTCGAGGGAGTTAGTGGGTCTTATGTTATTGCGACAACAATTACATTGTGACATTGAAACATTCATGTATACTGAATAATGTATGCTTAATAATTATTACGTTAGGTGGCCACAAGGCTTAAGATGAGAGACTAGAGTTACTCGAGTAATTCGGCATCAGTCAGCCTTGTGACATTACGAGATAACACGCCGCGTCCGGAAATATTGAGTTCTAGCAAACAAAAATCACCTCTTGATAAAATTGGCCCTTTCACTATGGTCGCATATAGACCGTAATCACGTTACTAAAATATTCTCTCTCATAAAATTCGCTTAGTTACATCTATATTTGCGGAGGCAGTGCGATTGTATCCTTAGTGCCTGATTGAAGAAAACAAGAAGCACAGGGGGCTTATGTTGCCCTGGAGGCTCTTTTACCTCACGAAGTATACAACCTTAACATTTAAAACAGGTTAAAAAAATAGGAATAGACTTTGGATATACTATAGGTCGAGGGCCGGTCATGCACAGTAGCAAAGTTATTCACGCGCTGGACAAATTAGCTATAATTATACCTATACATTTCTCCTTTTCATTCATTCACTTTAGAACAATTGTGAATACCTACTATAAATCCAGTTTATTTTGCGTACGTTCTACCCGACCTCAATATATAGATTTTACGACATAAAAATAACAAGATCGGGTAATCGTTGACAATAATTGCTAATATTTAATCAGCATGTCACTAACTCAAATTCTATGGACGGCCTGCCCTCGGTCTAAAAGGCCACTACTTAAATATACGTAGAACACATATCTTAAATAACTAAATGCCGCCATTTTGAATTGATGCTGAACACAAAATGGCCGATTACATGGAGAGATTCTGTCGTGTATTCAAGTAGTGACCCTATGTAGGGGTTTGCCTGTAAAGGCAGTGATAGTGGAAGATCGTGGGAGCGCAAGGCGAAGGGCGCTGGGGATAGGCGTGAAACATTACGCGATGATTATGCTTCTACGTACATCAATTATTAAGCTTCGAAATATGTACTCATTGAAACGAAGATTAGCTATAATAATTAATGTCAATAGTAGCAGCAATTTATGGGAGTAGATCTCTGAACGGTAACCGCAAACCATAAATTCGAAACATGTCTATCTAAACCTGTCGTATATACATCCGCGCTCTTAACTAATAGCATAATACATATTGTCACTATTCAGAAATCTACTACTTCACTTAAAACATCAACAACCAATTTAAAACATCGGTATTATTGATATTTTTGAGATCATTAAATTATTGTTGTCACTCTTAATGGATAATAATAAAGTACAATGTATATCTGTGCACTTGGTAACCTAAATTCCGAATATACGCGACTAGAAAATGGAATGTATTAACGAGTACACAGCATACGAAATACGGCAAAGCAGCGCGTATTCTAGAACGCACAATGTCCTAATATCTAGTTAAAAATGTCTTACTATTAATTTATACTGATATAATACTGCCCGATTTCCTATTTAACCTACGCAGTCTGTACGAATTGCCCGAGATATCATGTTGGGGTGAACTCGGGCAAGATGACAAGCTGTCGATATGCACTTATAAGTACCAACTTAAACTATTATGTATAGCTAATGAAATGAGTGAAGCTTCGTAATGTAACGACGATATTGTCGTTGGGTCGTTGGTATTGTAGCTATATTAGGTCCGTAACCGAAATTTCTACGGTATGATGATCAGCCACTATTTTCAAAGCGAACCAGCAGGCAACGAGTCATCCCATTACTCCTCATGTGGCTCCTGAGCGGTAGTTAAGCAACTTCGTAGAAAAATCAAAATTGAATAGCAATAACACTATATCCATAATATGGATGTTAAAACTATTTTCATTACGTCTTATAGATTTTTATCACAGTCCTGGTGAAAAGAGGTTGTAATTCTAGATAACTCTGCATTTATAGAATGATATTCACGCCATTTCCTTAGACGATCGTTAGGAAGAATTGTATTAAAATATTAAAGTATCTAATGGACTATAATAGGAGAGGCTCTATTATTAAAATTTTGCTTTCTATAGAATCTGATAAAAATAAGTATTTGAGCATAAAACAAACGTGGAAAACCATTGCCCGTCTACTTATTTAAAAAGTTAAATTACCTAATATATCTCTACATGCTATTAAAATCGATTTATAATAAAGTTTTGAACCCATTATTATTTGATGAGGTTAGAAATTATAAGATATGGCTTTGGTCATTCATATAAGTATCATGAGCTAGTTAGGCGTGATTTGACTGACTGATGGATATATCAGTGCACAGTTCAAATCGATGCATCTACTTAGAAACTTGAAGTTTTACAAAAGGATTCATACATTACGTAGGCATCCACTAAAAAAAGATTTAAAACTCCTACGAAAACAGGAGATAAAGGCTTATGCACGGGCGAAGATACAGTTTCTTCTAGTCCCGCATTTCGCTGTCCGTTGCATGCTGGGAGCATCATTTACTCGGAAATAGTGGATACGAGTCCTATTTAGCGTTTCGGTGGCTTATAACCATGGGTCATACGTTCTAAGAATCGATGTAAATCGTGGAACCGGGGTCGCTGCATGGGTTCCCTCCTCCAGCACTCGTGCATCAAATCGTACAGCTCCCGACGGCAGCGTGGTGGGGGCGCGGCTGGAACTCGTGCACTACGCCCGCCACAGCGCCATTCACTTGCATTTGCAACAACCTAGAATGGCAAATGTAATGTGTTTTTTTGCTAAATTCTGTCAATATTATATAAATGTATATTAAACTGTATGTATATATTTCAAAAAGCGGTAAGTGGTATACTTTAGTCGATAGATATGAACTAATAGCTATATATAAATTTTCAGTGCTGCTTTTTTATGCTTCGTTATCCTTAAAGAAAAATGGAAATATTATGTTATTATACTATCTAAATAACTACCTTTATTTTTTTTAAATTGTATTTAGATAGTCGATGTTAGGTCGCTAATATAAGTGATATAGATTATTTTTAAATTTTATAGATGGTAAATACTAAGAAAAAAAAAAATAGAAGACAACTGCGAAAAAATTCTTACTTGATCGTCATTCATTTCCTCAAATGGTTTGGACATACAGTAAGTGAGTACCTCCCACACGGTGACACCGAAAGACCACACGTCACTAGCTGGTGAATACATTCCCTGGAAAGATATCAGAAGGTAAATCAATGACTTTTAATAAACTTTGTAGTCATTACGTGGTAGTAGTAAAGAAGTTGTATTAGTCGACAACTTAAAATAGATGATACTTAGTGGACACTACTAAAAATGAAAGAATGATAAGAGTTAAAGCATGAACATTATGATTTTATATAGACTCGAATGGTTACCATGTGTGTGCTATTGGATATATGTAATCATCGTCACATCAATCAACTGTCCATTGTTGAACATAGGCCTCCGCCATAAGGGCAATTTTACCAATCGCAGTTAGGCTTCATTAAGTTCTCTTAGTCGCCTCTTTTGACACTCTGGAACGGGAAAAGGGATCGCACGTTCCGTGTTGAACCACATTATATATATATATATATATATATATATATATATATATATATATATATATATATATATATATATATACATTCAACCGTAATTAGGCTTTTTATGACGTTTTAAGAGGGATGCTGCTGCCCGTTCTTCGACTATTAAGTTTTCTTAGACGCCTCTTAGACATTATACATACCCTGACAATCAGAATAATTTCCTACATATATATTATTATTTTCTTTATTATTTTCTTATATTATTTAAGATATGATGATACCAATCGTAAACTTTATTCGATTTAATTAAGTTCAGTTATAGGACAATGTTTAGTCTTGAAATAGGGCTTGTTACACGTGTCTACATATATTTATGTATATTTCATATTTACCAATAGCAAGCTCTCCCATGCCATCCAGCGGAGCGGCAAGCGTGACCCGTCGGCCATCACGTGATAGTCACCGACAAATTCTTCACAGAACATCGCATAATCAGACACTTTAACGTTTAGATCCTCGCTCACTGTTACGTTTCTGGAAATCAGAAATGGGATATAATTAACAGAAGCAAGGGAGAATTAGTGACAATAAAGGTTTACAGGGGGAAGGGATAGTTAGTAATGCGGTTTACCACTCCCAATGCTAGATATATAAAACTATCACGTCAGTCTACACGTGTTCCCCCCTAGAATCCTTCATGCTGTATTCCAGGTGTATTTTGCACGATGGCCTCAGTTATTTTGTGCATTACACGTAATGGGGTTCATTTATAATAGTAGATATGAGTAATGAGGTAAACTATAAACAAATCTGTCTATTTAATTTAATTACCCAAAATAAATGTTCATAAATAAAATGTTGCAGTTAATTGACATGAGAGATCTCTCCAGTTACGTAATTTTAAAATTGGAAATAAGTCCCACATCGTTTAACCTCGATCAAAATGAGTTCAATTTGTAAAAGATTACATGTAAGATGTAATCTATTACACTATGAATCGGTTCTGGTCGAGTTTAAATAGTGTTGATTCTAGTTATATATCCATCAACTATGACTACACAGTGACCAAAAATACTTAAAGAAATACGAAAAACAAGAAAATAAGTACACATGACACGATCAAAAGAAACATAATAAGTAGTTATTTATAAGATGAAGTTATCATAAAAAATTTAGATTATTAAGTAGGTTAGTTAAGTAAGTAAGTTATATAGGTACATACCGAGCTGCGAGATCTCTGTGTACTAACTCGAACGATTCCAGATACTTCATGCCGGCTGCTATCTGGCAGCATATGTGAATCAAACTCGAATAACTGCAAAATATATTGTAACATGTAATTAATACGCGTGCAATAATAATGATAATGAATTTTTAAAACAATTATTTCTATTTATTTTATTTTTTTACAAAACAATTACAATATAAAATTTTATTTTTGAAACATTCTAAATAAATGACTATCGAATCTATCGAGAAATATGTTCAACCATATATATGAGACATAACAAGATAAGTAACGTCCATCATTTTGTTCTTTTCTAGTTTGTTTCAAATCAAATTTTAATTATTATAAAGCTCGCCATTAGTACAAATTTTATTATGCAATAAAGAATAAATAATATATACAAATAGTTAATAACAGTGAATTAATTATTAAAATATTTATTATTGTATTTATTATATTTTTATGATTATGCGTAGGTAAATAGTTTTTAGTAAAGAGGTCTTACTATGTCTTAATGTCTTACTAAACTACGAAAATTACGAAAAAATAATTAATTTCACAATACATTATTATAAATTGAGGTATATAATAATACTTAATATAACTAGTTAAGTACCTATGCAAATGAATAAAGTGATATAAATTGATTTGAATGATTTTTAGAACCTTACTTTAATGTAATAGGTAAGTATAAAACGAAAATTCCAAATATCTTGTTTTTTTTTGCGATTTTTTGTCTATAAAAAAGTCACATCGACAAGTAGGCATCTTTCGCTTGGCTTTTATTGATTTGCCATAAATTAGTAAAATTATGTACATATTTATAGGTGTTTTGGGACTTACTTCAATTTCCTGTCCAGTTTCAATATCGATGGCAGGGGAACGGCATCTCCGCGGTCTAGTGCAGCGCAAGGGGGCTCCAGAAGGCTCAAACCTAATACTCTGGCGAGTTGGGGGTGTTTCAGACCAGCGCCCCACGTAGCCTCGCGGGCGAACGCCGCCCTAGGAGCAAAAAGTAATGTTGACAACAATTATATTTCTAATATCTATTTTTATAGAACGGGGGAGTAGAGTTTGCTGTAAATAACTTGATGTTTGAAGAGTTTTAGAATACACACACACACTCACGACTCAGTAACAATTGAGTTGTTACTGAGTTAACAATTGTTTTGTATACGCGGTGTCTTTGTTGTGTGTATTTTTATATTACATGTTGATTTGTTTAGCCATTTTAATCTACGAGTGGTAACTGATTACGTGAATATAAATTATTCGTAAGCCATATCTGTTATGTGATATCAATGCTATGAAATAATCAGTGGAAGAATTTGTTTGAACAAACTAATATCTAAAATTAACAGTCACAATTAAATTATTTGCATTTGATAGCTCACTTTTTGAGGAAGGTTATAGGTCATTCAGTATTACAACATGACCACGAGCAACGTATAGTGCAGGTGCTTACTTGACTTCGCTATGGCAGCCACGCCACAGGGTCTTCACAACAACAAGGCGGCGTTGTTCCCCACTCGGCGACTCTTCGTCGCTCAGCTCTTCTATACCGTCCGTCTCGCAGATCTGGAGCTGCGGACGATTCAAATGCAGGTGTCAATATAATTAGAAAAAAAAGTTTTATAAATTCATGTGTAAATATTTGTATTATTATGAACTAAACAAGTGAATCAAAATGTGATATAATGAAAATGGTGTATATTGTTTATAATATGAGAAAAAACTATAAAGGCACAACTAATAAATAAAGTTTTATAGTTAAAAAATATATTTATAATCAATTAAGCTTCATTGAATTCTTTTACTTATACCTAATTATGAATTTTGTGTTCTTTCATATCCTATTTATGTTTTCAACTAAAGAATATATTATATTTATTATAATAAGTTTAGTCATATTTTCTATTATAAAATTGTTATGCAATGTTCTAGGTAAATAAATAATTGTCACTGCAATACCTTACTTATTTACTTACATATTGCAAATAGGATTTTTGAGTACAGATATGTGAAATAGCTGAATAGTATAAAACTTCTCATACAGAAAACTTGCAGGAGCGCTTTTACCAACAAATTGTATTTTTAAAGACATAAAAAGGATGCTGTGAATTTACATTTTTATTCCACGGCACGTGGGAACTTTTCGAGGAAATAGTTCTTAAGCACGTAATATAGTGAGGAAGGGTAGAGAATTTCCTGTATATTCGCAAAAGCCTACTTTGGCCCAGTTTCTAAGTTTACCGACCGTGGAAAATGGCTTCGCGCCTAGCGGATTTACAGGCCTTGAGAAAAAGCCTGCTACTGCTTACGGAGGTGCGGCTCTTTATAAATTGATATGTTTTGATATACATCTTTGGACCAATCGGATGTATTAGTCAATAAAATAAAGAAATAAATAAAAACTGATTCCAGATAGGTAATTTCAATAAAATGGCGTTTTAACAAATCTTGCTAACAGTTGTTTTGTTTTAACTAAATATTACTATACTCGTATCACAATTTTTTATAAAATGCGATGGATGCTGTTAGCGATTACACCTACCTGGCACAATCTTTTTTAACAAGCGTCAATTATGAGGAGGTCCTCATTTTGACTTTTTGCTTGTTTTTTACGCAATAGCATATCTGAGCTAATTTTAATAGTTATTTTTTATGTAAACAATCACATTTTATTTTCACTAATATTGAATTAAGGTTTTTCTTTGGACTAAACGACAGCCATAACTTGAGCCATGTCTAAGTTTTTACTCTGAGTTGAAATGAGGAGTTATCTGATATTATCAACAGCCGCAATAGACAAATTTTTGTTAGACTTTTGTAATTTATAGCATTGTAGGAAGTGCAAAATATATCAAACCTAAGGTTTTCATGTAGATTTGGTATCAGTAACTTATTGTAAAATTTGTCGGTGTTGCTTGCAAACCACTTTTGCTACTATAGGTTACAATTTGGTTCAAGTAGCGTTCGGACGATAAAGTGCTTGGCTAACATAGGTGTTAAGTCAACATATAATGTGCATATTATCTCAACATGAGAATTCGCGTCAGGATAAACTTAAAATTAGTAGACACAGAGGAGTTTATTTTTATAAAATTATTATCACAGTTATATTTAAAATTATGAAAATAATATTTAAATTTTTTGACTTTTAAGTTTCATGTGGAGTATTTTTAATATACAACAAGAATGAAACTAATGATGTAATCGTAAAAATATTACTATTTAAAAATGTTTTAATAAAATTAATTTATATAAGAAGTATTATTTATATTTGATTCTAAATAAATTTACAGATATTAATACAAATAATCTGATAAGATTTAGTTCCATATTGATCGCATATTACTTGTAATTATCGATGTAGTTATTTTAGGAGCAAAAATTTTTCTCAAAGTAATCATCCTATATAAAAAAAAAATCGGGAAGAGCTTTGTGTAATGTGCGTAGATAAATTAGGTATTGACTTTTTTTTACTTTCAAAAATATTGTATTAATGAAAGAAGAAAATGTAGATCTGCAACGTCTTTAGAGGAACAACGGTACGTTGTACTATTATGTCAAATATTTAACAAATTGAACATCGATAAGTATATAATGACGGAAATATATGGGTACTCATCAGATATTAAGGGCGTTTAATTACGTGGCGTCCATTTCGAGATAGCCGAGTGAAACTTTGCTTATACTTTTATAGTTGAGCGGATGTCATAACTTTTAGTCCCAAAGTAACTTTATACAAGGGAAGGCTCGAGATAAAGGTATGACGTAGTTATCATTCCGTTCACATCGACTCGACACTGAGACGGGACGGTGTGATTCGACGATTGTTTCAAGTCAATTGTTATTATCTATATATTTATATAACGAAAAGTTTTTTTCATACAGACTGAATGCATTAAAAAATAATAGAATGGATTTCAATTATTTTTAAATATTACTATTTCGCTTAATTTTAATCTTAGGTACACCTGTAAGCAATATTTAATTTTCTTATATATACAGTAACTATCATCACTACTTTGTTATAATTATCTTACAAAATAAAAGACAGAAAAAAACTTTTGTTTCAATGTGTACAAGAAACCGTATTTTGGTCGACTGATTCTAATTCCCACACAAAACTTTCAAGATTATCCAATCGTGTAATACTAACTAGATAAATGATAAGAGAAATCTTGTAACAAAAGAGTAAGAAACCGTGAGTTCCCTGTAAATCCGTCAACTAATGGAATTAGAGTATTGTTTGTTCAGGTGGTCCGCGGAACACACGTTCTGCGGTAAACATTGTACTGTAAAAGTCCGGTCTCTGTGCCCATAGAGGCGGACTGTTATTATTTCATTACCACTGAAATAACGTCGTTAAATGTCACGTTCACAGGAAAAAATACACTGTTTTAATTTATCGAGTTTGTTTGCTTTTGTTGGTAATAAAAGAAAACTTTGCGACCATGTGCGCGGAATAATGAAAAGATAAAACACGTCGGTGTTAAATATAAGTGTAGGCAGCTATAAAAATGTATATTGGAATGAAGTATTAAAATTAATAATAGCGTGAAAAATTATATAATACAGATAATAATTGAAAGATGTTTATAGATATAATACTTTAAACTGCTTGTTACTCGAATAAATATAATTTAGCAGAATGTCTTTTTACTGTGATCAAGGTACGTCCAGAAGTGGATTTGATTTATATTGAAATTTTACATTAACTCGACAGTTCATTATCTTAAATTGGTTTTAAGAATAAGGAAATATATTGTAAATATGACCGGATATTGAAATCGAGGGTGCCCGCCCTCGTGGAGACAGCAGCTCGCTACCGCACGCTGCAGAGTTAATATTAATAATATTTACCGCTGCGGCAAAACTATTATTGGATGAACTATGTGGCATAGGTATACAATGTCGACATGAGTACCAGTATATATCATATGAGACCGTGTAATATAAGTAAAAAGGTTGTTGTTGTTGTTGTGTGATTTCTTTTTGTTATGTATTGAGAAATTCCAATTATTAAAAAAAAACATAACTGATACAATTATCACCAAATATTAATTAACATGTGTAGGTGGATTACACAGCCCATGTCACACATGTATCATATTCACGTTAAGCCACTAGTAAGGAGAAATACGTAGTTTCTCATAATTGTAGCTCGTCATATACGTTGTTTGTCAAAATTGCAGTTTGTCATTATCGGAACTTGTTATAGTGGCAGTTAGTTATTTATATAAATAATTTGTCATAATCGCAATTTGCCACTATATAACTATTATTTTTTTCAGTAGGTTTTTTGATGAAATACCTGTTGGTATTTTGGTATTTCCTAAACCACAATAATATACTATTTTACAGATCATTTGTTAAGTGACGTCTAATTTTGATACCTTGCGATGTTCATTAAACACTGGTACTAATTTAGTAGAGTAAATATTGTTAATATTTGGAAATTTACAATTAGAAATACTTTGGTTTTCACTATAGTTAATTTTCTTTCAGATGTGATTAGCCAAAAATCAAAGATTTTATTCCTTGATATTTGGGTGTTAGGTTATGTCTTAATGTGAGGTTATTAATCTTGTGGGAGATATTGTAATTACTAGTTATCTTATTTTTTTTAAATTAAAAACAGCGACATACTTCTTTTATAATATTAAGATTTTGCTCCGTAAAAAATAGCATGTCTAATAGTGATGAATATGGTTATTAGTAAAAAAAAATCGTAGCTTATATATGACCCTGTAGTATGTATAGTAGCATGTATAATAACCAGTAACACGTTGGATAAGTTATATATATAAAAAAATAAAAGATCTTGGCTGTTATATGGAATCTATACTACTGAAGAGCGGGGTGGCGCTCCCAGCTCACGGAGTGCGGGGGTTGCGGCTAGATTGCATTTTCTTGCCACGGCCAGTAATCAATTTTTATGAGCATTTTTGTGAACCGACGCTCTCTATGACCCCTTCGTTTAGTGCGAAGCGCTGCTATGCACACATCGTCACTTATTTTTACTTACATTAAATACTGAGATGGGAACTGAAGTAAAGAAAACTTAAAAAAAATATTTTGCAAATACTCCAGATAATAATGAAACCATTATATTAAATATGTAAATAAGTATGTGTATTCTTAATGCACATACTTATTTACATATTTAATTAAATTCAAAAATATTTATAATCAACAATTAAAAATAGTATTTCACATAATTATTTTTTATCCATTTCTATAGATTTAATTTGGTTAATCGGATAGAATCGATCGTTCACACACATCGTACATACACCTAATCAACAAAATACTAATTCAGAGTGACGAAAATTAATAACAATTAATTGTATCATCATTTTTCTTTTATATTTAAGTTCCATGTAATGTGGGTGGTTACTAGATGTAATTATGTCTGTGCTCTCTGAAAAATTCCACAGGAAGCAGTCAACTGCTGAATGTAGTACTCGATTTACCCTTATTTCGCCGAGGATATTTAAATCCAACATGGCAGGAGGCGAGCCCACCGCTGCCTCTCGGATTAATTTGGTTTGTTATGGTTAATACATTTTGCTTCA